CCGCTCAACTGCTAGCCCACCTACCTCGTGGTTTTACAAGGCTGAACCCAGCGGACTCTAACTTCCGGTTCTCCAGTTGTGAGCATCACTTGCTCTTCACTCTGTGCTGAAATTTTAGTGGTCTCACCTAAACACTTCTGGAGATCTCTGCCACGTGGCCCCTGGTCCCTCCAACGTTTGACCCCAAGACTGACTCTCACCGTGAACAAAGTATGGCACAACTCTTCCATCTATGCCCAGGCGAGTCGGAGGGGTCACGGACCTTCGTCAAAACGGGTATCTTTGCTATTCAGTAAGCAGGGATTGGCGTGAACCCAATGGTAAAGTAGATCACAATGGTACCAGGTGCTGAAGCCGGGAATCCACACGTTTAGTTTGTAGCACTTACGGCTTGTTTCCCGAAGTTTGTGGGAAACTGCTGCTACAGGCCAGCATATGCTCAGCTGCAACCACTGCTGGAGGCTCATCCTGACAGGGATCACTTGCGGTGCCCCGTTCCAAGAAATGCACGTCCATGGCTCGTCGCATGCTACCAGGTGGTCTGATAGAGACTTCTTTCTCTGCGGGTCGTTCGTGAACTAGTGCGGCGACAGACTACAAGCGACAAAAAGCGACGGCAAAAAGACCTGCCGGAAAGCAGGGCATCATCTCTGGGTTGTCGGGGGTGTTGCCGTGTACCTCAGAAACTGGGCAGGCCGTTCAAAGCTCGCCTGCCCTGAGCCTTTCTGGCAATCACGCTGAGGCTCTTGCATTTGGCTAATGACACTTTGCCTTTTCAGCATCTCCAAATTGGTCTTGGCTTGCTCCAGAAACGCCTGAACCCCATTGCGGAGTGGCTAGATGCTAGAGCGTGGCAGCGGTTCTTGAGTGTCTCTGCCCGCTTCGACAAATGTGAAGCTACTCCAGCCCATAGTATATGACTCAATGGCCTGTCGCCTGGGCTCGTCCGCCTGGCTCTGTCGGCCTGGGTTGGTGCATTCTGCTCAGCCCTATAGCTGGAACCATGCTGGGGCTGCTACCAAACAGAGCCTCAGCTCGGAGCATACGACAGACCACGAAACCTATCAAAGGCAAGAGTCGAAACAGTCTTAGCGCGGTGCACGGAAGTCTTCTCGTGCCCGTCTCGCGAAATAGTGTCGAAAATTGTAATCCTGAACAGGCTATCTTGCAAAACCCAGCATGTGGCCTGCGGCTTTCCCTGGAACTGAGCTCTGTGCCGTGAAGGCCCGGGAAGCTCTCAAGGTGTGCCTGTACATCTGCATGGCCTGGCCGGGGCGAAACGGAGCGAAGTCACCTTGGGCACAGACCACCCAGGCCTCCAAGACTACAGCGACCCCCCCGGCTCCACAGCCGAATTCCCCCGGCCTCTTGAAGAGCCATGTGCCCGCAACCAGGTTTCAAGGCCTGTCCGGACGAAGCTTCAGGTGGGCATCAATCTTGCCGTTGGCCGAAGTGGCATGCCTTCTTAGCTTCGGTCTCTAAGACGCCGAGAAGCTACACAAACAACTGCCTCATGAGGTGAATGATGCAGGCCTGGGGCAGTGCCACCTTTCGGGCAAGTACTATAGACACAACAGGTCTGAACAGCTAATGGCAGCAGCGATCGGTTGATAATGACAGGGCGAGTAAAGTGATAACCGTGATGATGATTGTGATGGTGCTGCTGCTTCGGCTGCTGGCCTGCTTGCGACTGCGTCCTACGTCCGGATAGCGCAACAATGGCGAGCTCCTTTTCCACGCGGGTGATTCGGCCCTTCGTGTTCACCAGGCCCAGTCACACTCACAAGAAGGTCAAACCTTCGCACATGGAGCACACAGCATTCGCAGCGAAACTGCCAAACTTTTCATGCGCCTTCGTCCTCGTCTTCTTCTGCGGCCTTTGCATCCTTCTCTTCCTTCTCTTCCTTCTCCTCCTTTTTGGGCTCTGGTGTCGCTTCCGCGGCCTGGCAACATGTGAGACGGCGGCGCAAAGTGGCATATGAACTCCACTGGCTCCGCGCTGAAGGATGATCCTGCCTTGGCTTCTTCCTTGGCCTTCGCACCGTTTGCTTCGGAAGCCTGTGCAGGCAAGGGATTGGGGACTCTGATGCTACTCTGGGACGAATTCGGAACTGCACGGCCAAACAAACGTCACCCAGCACCGTGATGGCAAAGCTATTCGAGATGTGTCGAGTCTGATTTGCACATGCAAGCATTCCTATGCATCGGTCTGCAGATTTACGAGCGCTGCAGGCAGCTTCCGTCGCGCTTTGAGCTTCGACCGGCGCAGCCAATGGGTTTCTGGCCGCCCTCGGGTGGCCGCGCCCTCGGAACGTCGCGGAGCACGCCCTCCGCGTCGCAGCATCAGCTCTGGCTCGAGAAGACGAAGTCCAGAAGGTGGCGACAGCGATGCCCACGGGATCACTCCCTGCAAGACAAGGAAGAAAAAATGCATGTCAGAGACCATCCGTCAGTGGCCCTAGTTTTATGTGTTACGACTGACAGAAGCCGAACGGCCACTCGACAAAGGCCACTTCGTGCAGCGCGGCTGCGAACCCTAAGTAGCAGAGCCCGGCCACCCCAAGCCTTCGCTCACGAACAACTGGAGCACGCTCTGGATCAAAGCGCAGTCTCCTGGTCTCCTGAAAACACGCAGCCCCGCATGTCGTGCAGAAGATCCAAAGTCTGGAGAAAGCAGCCCAACGTCCAGCGTCAACTTGCTGCCGAAGATGTCGTAGATGTAGAAACCGCTATCCTGGGGCAGAAACCACACAGAAACGGGTCTCTGTCAGCCGTGGCTTGACAAGCGCTCGCACCAGAGCTTTGTGTTGAGGGTAGTGGGTTGATGCTTGCCATTGAGTGTGACATGGCCTGCAGCTGGCGGCTGTGCCCGCCGTCCGGCGGAAGACATGCAACAATCCGCGCTGTTCTCCGGCGACGTGGGTCTAACAGGTCCAGCAACTGCGAAACCTTCGGTGTCTGTGGACTCTCACCTGCCGCGGACTTCGCAGACGGACAACTCCACACCGAAAGAGAAATTGGAGATCGTGACGTTTTTGGTGGTGCAGGCTGCAGCCCCAGGGTTTCCCACGAACAGGGAGCAAACACATAAGCTACAGCCATGCTACCCAGTAATTGCGACTGGGATGCAAAAGCAAAATCCAGAGCAGCGCACTGTGACAACGCTCATTTCTGCCGAACTAACTGTCACAAGCAGAATCTGTAGAGAATCAGCGACATGTTCAATGTTCGAGATCTCTGAGTTGTGCAGAATTTCGAGTTCTCGACTCCAAAGCCGCACGCCCCTATTTTGCATCGAAACGACGAGTTCATGCTGATTCGTGTTCGCCGCCGCGTCCACAAAGCACGGGCAAGTTTCTCCAGAGCGTCGCTGCCGACCGAAGCCAGCGATGAGACCGTAATATGTATCTCTCTCCTCGCGATGCTGCCACGGCTCCCAAAACCACTTGGCGGCACAGACAGTGAATATCTCAGCCAGGCAAACCCACACATTACCGGCAACCAATGAGCAGCACATTTCGGGACAGACTAGGCATAATCACAGACTGAGGCCCGCTACAGAGACGGCGGCGATTCGATATGGCCCGGCCCATTTGAGCCGCTCCTCACAACGGAACAAGACTGCTCGACCTTCCAAAGTTTCAAAGGAGTGCTCAAACCCATGCATCCACTGAATCTCCGACTGTCAAGCTCAGCACGAGTCAGGCACTTTGTTTGACCGAAGAAGCTACACCACCATCAAGCCGTGACCGGGTCCGTAAGCGAGCGCGGCAGTTTCATGGCTGGCAAATGGGTCCCTTGCAAGGCCTGTGGTCCTCAATTTCAACTCTCAGGCTCAAGGAACCTGCTTGTGACGAGCTGCTAGGTGCCGAGTGCCAGAGTCTCATGTAAACAGAATAATTTTCCTAGATGATTCCCAAATCTGATTGCATGAAACGGTGCTTGCAGGAGCTGTTTTTGCATCTTACAGGGCTCTGGTGGTAAGTATATTGAGACTCGGGAACACAACATGCTTGACAGCGCGTACTGGTGCCCCAAAGTTAGGCAGCACATTTCTGGCAGGGTGATTGAGCCGATGTTGCAGCTTCTCTTGATAGCCAAACCTGTGCACAAGCGGCAACAGCTGCTGTTACCTGCCTCTTTGCTTTGCTGCGCAATGGCACGCCTTGGAAATCACACACACACACACACGCGCCATCGTGGAATAGCAAAAAGGCTTTACGACCTTGCGACTCTGACGACTTAAGTCTTACGACTTGGCAACATAAGGTGACCGATTGCACAAGCAAGAAGGGCAGTGCAGCTTGGGAGATGAGAGAAGGGCTGTCTCACCAGTTTCGGGCAGTCTTCCGCTTCCCATTCGCCCACTCTGTCTGCAATCGGGGAGCTCGTAGGCATCCACCTTCTGCCGCTTCACAGACGCAGCGGCTTCTTGACGCCTCACGAAGGGCTTCTGCGCTGGTTCAGCCGTGCGAGAAGAAATGCAACTTCCAGACCAGTTCTGTGCACGATCATCTGGCGACCACGCTGGAAGAAGCTGCATCACCAACGGTTTGGGCGTGGGCAACGGGCGGGAGAGAGCCCATCCATCTCAACTACTAGCGCAATTATCATTTCATTTACCAATAAAGACAACCTTCTCGTCACATTATAGACATACCGGTCGCAAGGAACAGGCGAGCCAATAGCCTGTGCTGAAAAGGCTGTAACCGCAGACCGCAGCTGACTGACCGCGACAAATTGCATATCGTTGCATTCAATAAGCGCTCCCATGGCAAAGAACGAAAGGCCTCTTTTTGGAGGCGGCAGCGGCTGACACGCCTGCACATCGTGAAGCTGTGCGACCGGACACTGGTGGCTTACCCCGCGGTCGCCATGGGGTGCGGGAAGGAGCCACTTCCCTACTTAATGAACGCCGTCGGGCAAAAGTTCGTGAGGTGCCTGGGCCTCTTGGGGACTCTCTCGAATGCCCCGGTGGTGGCCTTTGGAAGCGGCCTCGATCATGGCCTTGGCCAACGGGTGGTCCGCAGGCAGCGGCGCCTTCAGGCTCAGGCTCAGGGCTGTTGCTGGGTCTGGCAGCTGCGTGGGCGCAAGATGCAAACGGGCGGTTCTTTACAGCCCCCCACCCAAGGGTCATGCGCACATGTCCTGGCAGCACCTCCCGGGCTGCTCTGATTCAATTTGTGCAGTAGAAAGGCGTGCCTCCTCGTAACCACCTGTGCTGCACCAGTCTTGGATTGAAATGTGCAACACAATAGAAGGAGGCAGCAAAGCTCAGAAAAATGCACTCAGACTCGAGAGTCTGCTTGGAAGAAGCGTCGTCGGAACACTGCATGTGCAGTCAATGCTTGGAGGCAACACTACCACTACTACGTGCCACTGCAAGGCCCGGCCCAGGCCTTGCCACTGGAATCGCACGAAGATCACCGTCAGGTTGTCCTCTGAAGAAGGCGCTTTCGACAGCCCACGTCGCGAAACTCTACAAGCGCTCCTCGCTGCCGCGCTTGTAGGCTTCCTGCACCAGTGCGCCGCACGCTATTCGACAGCCTCACACCGCAAGAGCTGCAAGAAAGGAGCATCGGAGAGTTCCCGTTGCTGTGGCTCCCAGGCTCCCAGGGCCGCTGCGCTTCACCGGATCGGGAGGGCCCGGTCTGCGCATCTCGAGCTCTGCGCAGATCTGACACCAAGCGGACGGATTCCACAGTGGGCACACATTGGCACCAGTCATGTGCCTCATCGTCTTGCATGACGTCTGTGATGCCGTCGCACATCAGCGCCATGAACATGTGTGTCCTGAAGCAGGTGGGCTCAACGGAACTCAGAGTTTCGATCTTCCGAAGCATACCCTTCCGTCCCTTGCCCCATGCTGCGGTCCTATCCAGCTCAACACATCTGACGTCGGGCGTGGCTACCAGGAGCCCCTTGCCCGTGACTGCCTGTCATGCGCGTACGGAAGGAAACCATTCATGTTTCGAGTGGCCGATTGGTCCAGACCCAATGTGCTCTCAGCAGAAATCAAATTCGAGTTCCTCTGCATTGGGAGAGACATTGCCAGTTCCCCGAGCTTCTACATTCGGCACGCCCCTGCCTCACTAAAGGACACGACGCATGTTAGAGTTTTTATGGTTGTGGTGGTAGGCAGTTCTGAGAAGTCGTGGGCTACTTTCGCTGCAATTATCTTTACCAGCCCCGTCAAGCCTTTGGAGCTTCAGAAGACCTTCTGAACCGCCGAAATCAAAGTCCTAGTCTGCAGGCGCGCCTTGAAGTCACGGTCGCCAATGGCTCGAGACACTGCCAATGCCACCGGCTCCTGTTTATGTCAAGGAGCCAGACATTCAGTGCTTGGTGTTTCGCGTTTCTGCAACAATCTGCAATACTGTGCCATGTGCCATGGCCTTCCCGGCAAACCCCATGCCGAGCACTTGCTGCCGCCGGATTTCCCGCATCTTCTCCTGTAAGAGCACTGGTGCATGCGGAGTCAGATACAGATGACTCAAACATCATGTAAATGTACATCTCCCTAACTCGTTGCATCTGTATGTTTACACTCATCTGTCGAGACTAGTATACACAATAAAAACATAAATGCACGTGCGCGTGTATATGTATAAGAACTTCTGTTACTGCACAGTACATACGCGTATGTATGACATAGATGCATGTGTATGTCCGCCGAGAATGTGAGGCCTGGAACGTCTAGATCGAGTCTTGCAGGGTTTGACTTGACTTGATCTTTACCAGTTACCTACCGCTAGGTCACCTCTCCAATCACCGTCATTCCCAAATGCACCAACATCAACCGCGCTCACCATGCGCAGCTGCGATTGAACACATCGCCATTATCTTCATCGCCATGATCATCAGCAGCATTGTAACAGTATGAACATGCACTAAATCGTGCGACACAAACCAGAAGCAGAGAACAACAACGACAACGACAGCGACAACTGAACACCAGCAGCAACCAGAAGAAGAACAACAGCAGCAGCAACAACAACAACAACAGTCACCATCTATGGTAATGACTGGTCCTGCAGTGTGCCTGACTTCGTTCTATGCAATGAAGCATGTTAAGATGTGCAGTACAACCCTTTATTCTTCTCAAGCCGCAACTGGGAAGGTAAACACAATACCAAGCCCTCACACCTCACACCATAAGACGGCAAGACAATGACTTGGAACTATGTACTGCAATGCGCCACGTACAGTGCCAGCACAGATGAGACTCCATCTACAGAAACTACACAAGCGCAATGCTAAGAACTTGCCATGTGGTCTTACAGGAAGTTGTCACACATGGCAGCCGCTCAGGATGTGCCGACACAAGTTCGTGTGCATTTGCTGCAACGATTTGAATCGGAAACAAACAAGGATGGTATTTCGATCCGGTCAACGCCCTGCAGGTATCCGCCCACCGTTGCGCGCCTCGTAGCCGTCATGAGCAACTCTGTACCTGGGTGTTTTGTTGAAGGGCACACAGCTGCCGTGCGCATGTGAGTGGTGTAGGGCGTGGTCAAAACCCTCACCTAACATCTTTACTGTGGTTGTTTCGACAACTTTGACTTTCGCGACTAGTTTATGTATGAATGGTTGTGAATGCAAATAGCGCAGGGTTGCTACCAGCACCACTACCGCTGCACGTACGACTGCGACTACGCCAATGAGACTACGACTGCGCCTACGACTACTACGCTGCTACTACCAGTACCAGTACCAGTACCAGTACCACTACGACTACGACTACGACGACGACGACCACTACTATCACTACAACCACAACCACTACTACTACTACTACTACTACTACTACTACTACTACTACTACTACTACTACTACTACTAGTCGTCGTCCTCCTCGTCGCGGTAGTAATAGTAGTAGTAGTGGTAGCAGTAGTAGTAGGCAGCAGTAGCCGTAGCAATATCAGCTGCAGCAGTTCTTGTAGTTTTAGAAGTTGTAATAGTTGCGGTAGTCGTATTGCAAGTACAACCCAGCCATGCAGGAAGTGACCACTTTGCTGCGACAGCCAACCCGATGCAAGGATGTAAGCAGTACTTGTACGCACGGTGGCAGTCGCAAAGGGTGGCAGATTCTGAGGGAAAGCACACGCCCATCCCGAAGTCCAAGACGAGGCCGCCAGCATCTTTGACCCTCTGAGCCTGCCAGTACTTACTTGACATGAAACACACGCGGTAGCCCTGCACATTTCAGGCAGCCTCAGCCTCTAAGTTCGGCCGATGATCCTCGCGGGAACGGCACCAGAAGGACTTGTCAAAGGCAGCGGCAGCAGTATAGCTTTTTGCGTGGTTTTGCTTCAGCGGCTGCTTCAACCATCTGAGAATCTGAGACGTAGCCTGTGTTGGAAATACGGACAGCAAATGATAATAGTTCGCCTGTCAATTGGTTTTCTGAATGTGTTCCTTGCATTCTTCATGCAGAACTGTCTCTGCAAGCGTCCTCTGTGAGGGATTTCGCCAGCATCTGCTGGAGCTGTGACCTGTCCAGATGTCATCACGGTCAGGCTGTGCATGGCAACAAGGAAGGCACCACAAGACCGGACAAGATTCACAACGCAGCACAGCGGCCTCTGACACAGCACCAGCCTTGAGTCTCCCACCTCGGATCAACCCCCTTTCTGCGACTCTCAGTTCCTTTTGCTGTATCTCCGTACTACGGGCATGTCCAGGCTGCGGACCCAAGCCGTGAAAAGCTTGGTGCCGACGATGAGCGCCACGACCTTCGCACAGCAGTGTTGATGGGATGCGCTTGCATGTCCACATGGTGCCCTTTGCGCGTAGGCGAAGCGTGCCATACCGTCAGCAAAAGTTCCGAGGCCCACGCGAGCGTGGTTCCATCTGGCGAGGTCCGGAACTTTGCCAGAAATTCTGTATCCAACTCCTGGCATGCCAGTCAGCAAATCAGACTGGCATTCCTGCCAACCGATCGCTACAACTCCAACAGCGCGAAAGCGCCTCGCAGACTTCCCTCAGGGCATTACCTGAGATGGGCCAAGCCGGAGTCAGCTACGGAGAAGTCGGAACTACGAAAAAGCGCGTTTGCTCCCTCTAAGCCCACCACTAATCCGTGTCTCGTCCCAGGACGCAGTGTTCGTGTCAGATGACAACTGCACAGCGGCGCTCGTGGTTGTGAACTAACCGTCAAGTCTCGAGCCCTGCTGGCGCACCCGCTTCAGCAGCTTCACATGGAAGCCCTTCGCGACGAACTCCGCGCACTGGTGGCCCTGCATCCGTCTGCGTTCGATGCAGGCAAAGACAAAGATCACAGGCAGACGTTTCTCCCCAGAGCACCAACACTGCAAACCTTTATCACAGCTAAGACTGTCTCTGTCGACATGTGCAGCCCAAGTTACTCCGAAGACCCACCAACAACCTGGGATAAGATCTTCCGCCTGGTGTCCGTCGTAAACGGAGAAGAATGCGCAAGGCTGCGGAAGGTGATTGATCGGCATCTTCAGTGCCTCGCCAAGCTCAATGCTAGCAGACTAAATCTCTTCTCGTGCAGCGCAACCACTAACATCTAGAATCTAGAACTCGCCTTCGCGGCCTTTGTCAGGTCCGGAATCTTGACATGTCGATCCTGCGAAGCTTTGCCAGACTGTTTCACTGTCACGGGCATGTCAGGCTCTCGTACTGCGTCGCGTCTCCTCCTGCTTCGGCCGTCGTCCCTGCATAGACGCCGAGTCTACGGCGAAGGAGAAGGGAGCGACAGGCACCCTGGCAGAAGCGGGTGCTGCAAGCAAACACATCACGCCTTCATGCAAAAGTCGGCAGAGAACAATTGAGCAGGGGCTGACGGCGCAGCTTCTGGTGGTAAGTCCCTGGGCAGCTTCTGTGTGGCATGATAGCAAAACCCATCCAGTGCAACTGGGCACACACTAAACGACTTAAGTCAGTGTTTCAAGCATTCTGGGGCCGGAACTCTGCAGCCAGTTCTCTGCGAAGCGCATCGAAGTCAACCTGCAGAAGCCGATGGAAAACCTAATCCGTCACTCGTCACTCTAGCTTCTGCATGTGAAGAGGACACATGCGGCCGGGACGGAGCATCTGGCTCCTTAACGCTTCATGCCAACAGTTGGCTTTGCACCAAACTGCTTCGAAAGCCCAAGCCCTACACCCGAAAGCATTGCCCATGTACCCGAAACCCCCTGCAAAGCCGTGCCTCGGGCAGGCCGGGCTCGTCCTGATCACGAGAATGGGGTCTGAAGTCCGCAGAAATACACAATACACTTCTGGATCTTCTGATGATTCTGATGCAGTATGGTTCTGATTGAGTGATTGTTGATACCGCTACTCCTGCTTCCTCTGCTCGGCTTCGGTAAGTCTTCGCAGCTGCATCTTGGACATGGTTTGTATGAGCGCCGCAGCACAGTACTCAGCATGCCCACTTCTCTGATAGAAGCTGTACCAACAAATCGACCACCTGCTCCTCCTATATTCTGAACTTACTGAGCCACGACGCCACTGCCCTTTGAGGGAAAGCTTAGAGGCTCAGAGCTTGAAGCACGGAGACTTGCAGCGTCCTCCTCTTTCTCAGGTTCAGCAGCTGCCTCCTTCGCAGGAGGCGGATCCGCTGCATCCTGCAAGCAAGGTGCTTGCAGTAACAGAAAGCGGGACTTGGGCTTTGGCTCTACTTCCCTTTTCGAATCAGGGGCTTAGGCCCAAACGTCAGCAGAGGAGGAAGGGAGGCGGACGGTCAAACTCTCGTCTCGGATGCAGAGAAAAGACTAACCGTTGTCTCGCGCCCTTTTCCAGCGCTTCTGCGCCTTGCGATGTCTTGACCAACCAGGCGGATTTGCTTTCACTGATGGACAAACTTGCAGATAAGCAAATCCACGACTGGGTTCGGGGACCCGGCCATGAGGCCCTAGCCCTGAACTGGCAAAGACATGAAACTTGGTGCCTCCTCGCCTAGGACCGGAAGTGGGATCTTCATGCGACGGGTTCAGCTCTTGGAATCTGACGGGTGAAGGCTGAGCATGGTCACGCATGAGGCACCTGAGAAACTGTAAAGAGTTGTTCAATGTTGCTTACATCCAGCTTTCTTTTGGCTGTGGAGCTCACTAGCTGCTAGCAGCGCTAGCACTAGCAAGACCTCCTTCCAGAAGGTCCTTTTCATTCGACCTCTGTCTCCTCAAATACGGGGAGCACTTTAAGCCAGGGCGGCGGCGATGGCAATTTCGCTTGCAAGGGTCTCTCTAATTGGCGCTAGATGCTGTAGATGATGCCGGCGGACTCCAGATCCCGCTCTGGCTCTGCAGGCCTCTCGAAGCCGAGGGACATGCGCGAGGCGCGCAGGTCCTGATCCATGGCAAAACTCAGCAATCTACCAAGAGTTAGGAACGCCCCCAAACCAAAATGAGTAGGTCGCTTCATGTCGGAGGGCTCTCCTGAATCTGAGGCTTCAGGAGGTCCCTGAGCTCCCGCAGCAGCGCCACCCGCTCTCGGCCGTAGGGCCCGGCGGAGAAGGCGAAGCTGTGGACCAGACCTACAACGAGAGCTCGGAGACAGCCGAGAGTTGCAGTGATGTCTTTGCATGGACCGTTTTTCATCCTCTACAACCCAAAGTGAAAACGACATTTAACATTCAGGCTTTCTTTCGAGCTTTGCTTTAAGGAGTCGGGCATCCGGCAACTGAAAAGACTGGCTGTCCTCGAGGCCACGCCTCGATCCAGATCCAAGAACAAGTCTGGATGTGTCAGCAAACGCGAGTGCCCATCAATCGGGCTGCGTTGCAGGAGCCACCTGCAAGGCAAATGCAAGGCAGAAGGCAGGGGTCCATGCAAAAGCCGGGTCGCCGGGCCGCCTGGAGATAGGTATGCCACCGCTGTCTAGTTGCCCTCGCGCTTTGCTCCCATAAGAGATGGCGTCTACCACGGACTGGTGGACAAAAATCTGCAGCAAGTGCCCCGGGTTCTCCGGCTGCTGGCAGAGCCGCCAGCTGGGCACGCGGAGCCCATACTTCCTTGGCAAAGGCAAAGGCTTGAATGGGTTACGAAGATGCCAGACCCTCCCGATCCGGAACATAACGAGACCACTGTCTTTGAAGAAGATTCCGGCCCATCGCCAAGATGGAAGTCACGAGTGGATCCAGTGCCTGCGCACGGCCACTGCAAACACCAGCTGCCAGCAGGAGATCTTTGAGCATGCGGCGCCTGGGCAGCTGAGCGATTCTGTGAATGATTCCCACGTGAGCAGACGGCTAGAAGCCGCTAGCAAGGAGGAAGGATGGCTTGCAATGCTTCGGCGCCCGATTCTCACAGTTTTCTTCAGCTCAGGCGCATGGCACCAGCCGAAATGCTGCTCGGGAATCCCCGGATGAGCCAAGCTTGCAGCATGTTCTGGGGCTGTCCACCCGAAGCCAAACAAGAGCAAAAAGCGGAAATTGCCACAGCCTCAGAGCTGTGCACAGCTGCACATCATCCTCTAGGTAGCCGGCCACCAGGAAACAACACAACGAAAAAGCACGTTCACAACAAAGCACACATCCTCTCTCGCTGTCTCTCGGACACAGACACGCTGACTATGCCCCTGCAGACCGTTGCGCCTGAAACTCAGCCGTCTGGTCGTGCATGGTACTTTCCCAGATCTGCAACAAGTGTTGCAAGCACTTGACATTCTGGTACGGCTGTCGTCGCAGGCGCGGAATAGGAGGCCCATCAATTGGGTAGTCCAGAATACATGCAGCCAGTGCTGTCTGTACTTCGTAGAGCAGGCAAGAAGACGAGTAGCTGTGATAGAAGACCACATAGTCTTCCTTGTACCGAAGCTCGTTCCGGAGCAGTTCATGGACAATTTTGCCGACTGTGTCGCGCACCACCGGCCGCAAGGGCTTAAGCAGATGGCGGAAAAGATCCACCCCATCAGCGCGATCTTCAAGTGAAGGGCAGGAGCTATACCTTGGCATCAAGGAAGAAGGCAATTAAACCACCACAGCCTTCCTCTACGAGCTTACACCACACCCGGCCTCTTGATTAGAGTCGTTTCTTCGCTGCCGATCAACGAGAGGATGTTTCATCGACCGCCTGTCTCTAGTTCTGAGAACAGGAAGACGGTTCATCACTTTCAGCCACTTCGGGTATGTTGCTGTCTTATTCGACTTCTTTTCGCACGAACGGGCATCTGCGCAACACCCGCGCATCTCTTGGGCAGGCCAAATTGCAACCTTCGGGATGTCTACTCTTGAACAGCACAAGATTTTTCTGAGCTTTGGGGCAGCACAGTGATTTCATTCCTTCAATCAAACAGCATGACGAACCAGATGAAAATTGAGGAATGCTGGCAGAACCAGCCTATTGCTGTTACGATGAATCAACATGTAACATAAGAGCTCTCCCATCTGCAGAATGCTTTCAACCCCCCCCTAACCGTTTCCGGGCCGAGGCTCAGTGGCCAATCGTGCTCTTGGATTGGGCCGACAGTTTCCACCGGTGGCCGTGGGGCTGCGCGCCGCGGTGCACCCTGGATGTTGCCTTCGATGTCCACCTCGAAGCCAAAAAATGAACTAGATCGGACAGCAGACGTCACACAGTGGAGTATCGGAGGGTTTCCAACACTCAGACTCGGACAGCAGACAAAGCTCTCTGCAATTGCAAGCGGCTGGAGTTCGTATGGAAGGTTCAGGTTCTGCAATGTGAAGTTCGGGGCTTTGGGGTTGACGCTTCGGGGACATGGGTTGTTGTCATGGTTTGAAGCTTGAACGTCACCAGGCTTTTCTGCGGAATCCCGGCTTTCTTAAAGTTCCGGTGAAGTCTGAAACCAGGACCAACACCATGCAGGGAAAGCCAAAGGTATTATTACAGCAAGAATTCTCCGCGCAAGAGAATTAGAAAACCTCTTTCCAGCTCCATTTCCATGATGGTGCTGGCTGTTGCCGACGACACTGAGTTGATGCCGTTACATGCTTCAATCAGCTCAGGTTTTGAGGAGCTTGGGAGAGGCTGGGAATCTTGAGCTTGGAAAACAGACTCTCGACAAGCTGATGAAACATCAGTTTGCCAAACGGACAGTTAGCTGATAATTCAAGCGATATGCAGCCACCTGAACCCTGAACGAACACCCTGCAAAAGCAGGGGCTGGCTCGGCAAACCTGCGGGCTCCGAGGAATGATGCTTGCATGAATCTCTTTTCGTTGCGACAGACCGCAGGCCTGAAACGAGAGATGGCTGGCAAGCGAAGGCTGGAGTGAATGCAGCTCGGGGGGAACCCTTCATCCGTACGAGCAAGGGACAGCGATGGCTACCAACCCCCAAACTGCAGAAATCCTGGGGGCTGCTACAATGGCGATTGGTCGCTGAGTCAATCTGGCACGATGTGGCTGGACCTCTCGAAATCCAACGAAAACGGTACTCGAAATACATTGCAAAAAGCGGGGGGCTATGCGCGGTAAGCTAGCCCCAAGCGCCGGCAAACCCGAACTGGACCCCTAGCTCGCAAACCTCGAGTCGCAAGAAATTGTAATGGCTCGCAAGCTAGGCCTTCCTGCAGCACTGAAAGAGGGCAATCCTAGCCAGACCTGCAAGAAAGCGGCCGTGTGTAGGAGCGGCTGCTGAATACCGTTGTGGGAGTTCCCTCGCTTGTTGTGGCCAGCGAGGTACAGCTTAAGCAGCCAAAGCAGCGTGACCAAGAGCCACGCATGGGGAATAAAAGGAGCCATCCCGCAGCTGGAGCGCAGCAACAAGCAGATAGTCATGGCTTCCTGAGGCGACGCTGGTCAAACTTGGGGCAGAGCTGTTTGGAGCTTTGCTGCGGCAAAGCATCCGAGTGCTGGTTCACGGACCTTCGAGCAAATGTAGAGATCTCTTCGCAAACATCGGCCAGATGCCCCTTGGCGAAGCCGCGAATGACTGAATACACAACGCCCGCCACGTTTATGGCCGTCCCGACCTGCAAGACACTCGAAACCCTCGCTCATCACGAAGCTGCGAGGAGGCAAAATGCGGCCAGGCTGCATTGTCGTCCATATACAGGCAGAACATCCCGAAGGCGAGGATGCAAAACAGGTTGAGGAAATGAAGACAGGAGACTCTGGGCGGGATCACCAGAATATATACCAGTGCCAGGAAGGACACCAATCCATTAAATCCCTGCGGCGTGCAAACGATTGCAAAACGGCAGCTGCACTGTACAACATCTTCCAGCAGCGCGGTGAAGCGCTTCCGCTTCACCATCGAAGACTCGAGCTGCACCGCAATCGGCATGGCTTCGTCCAGATGGACCCCCACACCACGCAGCTCCTCCACGGCAGAGGCATAGTAGCCAGGATCCGGATAGCCGTGGCGGGTCGGCCCGCCGGTCATGGAAGTCTTCAAGTGCATAGCAAACGTGGGTCGCAGACGTCCCGTGGTGCTGGACTGGCTCAGACTGAACATGAGCCTCCTCCGAAAAGCCAACTGAAAGAGCGCCAGGAGATGACGACCTTGCTCGTCGTCCGGTAAAAACGCATGCAAGGAGCGCCCGTCGTATATCCGCCCATGCAAACTTCCAGTGGGAAAATAGAAGTGGAGGAGGATTGTGCGACAACGATAGCCCGATAACGACCGGTTCCTTGGGGAGCAGCTAACTGTTGAAGAAAGATGGACTGCATAGGCCTACAACACAACTATTAGCAGGGAAAACAAGCAACCCTAGTGGCTGATATGGTTAGGTTCACAAGCCACGCGAAATGGTTTTCCTACAGCCATGCTGACTGCGGAAAAAAAAACGATGACTGCAAATTATGAATAACAGACGTGCTCTCGAACAAAAACCTCGACTAGATGATGCTGCAACATGTTTTTTGACTGCAACTCGATAGCTTGCACGCTCAAATCAGCTTGGCCAAAATGGTGGAGACACGGCAATGCTACATTTTTACTCTCTACACTCGCACAGTCGCCAACAGAGATGCTTTTGAATGGACATTTTCGGCAGGCGTCGTGTCATGTGTCTCCCGCACAGCAGCCCTTAACCATTTTGGCGCTGGCGAGAGGCGAGCACATCCACCGATTGGGCGGTGTGGGCGGGTGTGACAAGAATCTAGCACCGGCTCCCGTCCTGAGAGCCGTGAATGCCTCTGGGATTCCACTCAACTTCATGTCACTACGTACACTGCGTGCAGTCCACTCAAAAAAGCTGGGTGAAAGGAGCCCCGGCCTTCTTTCACCTCCCTTCTTGCAAAACGCAGCTACGTAGGTGAACGGAGCCCGACCTTCTTTCACCTCTCCTTTCTTGCAAAAAGCAGCTTGGCGAAGGCAGCCCGGCCTTTATACCTTTCCTTTCTTGCAAAAAGGCAACTAGGTGAAGGAAACCTCGACTTCTTCACCTCCCATGCTCTTGCAAAGCAGTGGGTGAAGGAAGACCAACTTTCTTTCACCTCCTGTTTGGTTACAAACAAAAAGCAGCAGGGTGGAGGAAGGCCAACCGTGTCTCACCTCCCGTCTTGTTGCTCAAGCAGCTGGCCGCGGCATCCCACGCTCTTACAGTAAAGTCTGCGTTTTGTGCTGGGCACTTTCACGGACTTCACTCCCGGTCGATCACACAATCAATTCTGTGTCTTGTGATGGTGTTTCGCAGACTTGACTCTCGGCCTCCAAAAAAAACTTATCAGACAGGCCTCCACTGGCCCCCGGCTTTCGCTGGCCTTCCTCCAGTCTCGAAGTCCATTCTTTGCTTGTGCCGGCGCTGTGTGCTTGCCAGGCCCTCCCCACTCGTTGACTCTCGGCCCTTCCCAAAACAGCTCAGGAAGCCTCCCCAGTTGCTGGCATTTGCTGGCCTCTTCCCCCGCTCCCATACAGACAAGTCTGCGCTTGTGCCACGGCAGGCCGGGAGTAGCAAAAGGGCTCCTTACGCCTCCCAAAACTCCCATAATCAAGTCTGCGTTTGATGGTCAAGCGTCTCCCCTAAGCCAGTCAAGGTGCTGCGCTCTCTGCTGGCGCTACCACTACGGCATCTGTAGATTGGCAGCTAACTTCTTACAAGCCCCTCGTTTTCCAGATTCTGACAGGGCACAACCAGCCCCATCGCATGTTGCCATCCGGCATGCTGCCAGTTCGATCCCCATAGCTCTGGCCACAGGTGGGGCCTCCGTCAGCTTGAAGCAATGGCTTGGGCAGCTCAACCGAATCAACAGGGCTGCAGTCTGCCAAGGCACAGGTGGGTCTTCGCTGGAGCCATTGGTCAAGGCACTCTGCGTGATACCTTCAGCGTGAGACCCGGGCTGGGCGACTGGCGTCTCAGCTTCTCAACACTCCCCCGACGTGCCGCCCCTCCCCCGTCGCCTGTGGCCACAGGGCAGCTGCACCGTGGAATACCCCTCGAGGCAGATGCAACAGATCTCTTCCTCGGGGCAGGAGCTCGAAACCTGGACCGCGGCGCGAAAACTGGGGATGGATCATAGTGAATAACGAGGATGGCTGGAATCTGCATGACCGTAGCGACATGGACATGATAGGTCTCATGCCTCCGGCAAAGGGTCAAGTACGCCGCGCCTTCAGCCCAAAGTCGCGGCTGCGGAGGTTTTTCTGCTCCGTGCTGTCCCGGGGCACATTCTCAGTACAGCAAATCAACAAGATTCTTCCCTGCTTAGACATTCGCTGCCGCTCAAAGGTCCAATTGAGGCAAGCGCCAACTGCGGCTCCTCGGGCAAGGCCAACGTCAAAACCGTGCCCATCGCAGCTCTCAGGCGGATGTGTCCCTCCGGAAGTTGCAGGGCTTGTGGATGGCTGCGGGATTGTTTGTACCAGGGGCCGACCTTCTGAATGTCAATGTGCAGCCTGCACGCATGTTCTCTGGCTGACAGCCCATTGTCCGGATCGCAAAATTGAAATCTTGAACCGAAAGTGGCAGCGGCACAAGGATGTTCAAAGCCTCGAATCGCCTCTCCCGGACTACTTTCAAAGAGCCATGCGCAACCAATCCGGACGTCTTCCTGCGGTCCTCGGCCTGAGTTGCCTCCTGCTTTGCATCGCCAAGCCCCGGCCCCAGCCTTAGACCAGAAAGAAACTTTCCTGACATCATGGCGTCAACATGTATGCATCTGTGTTTCTATCAATGCGTGTGTATATACAATTGCAGATAGACAGATAGATAGATAGATAGATAGATATGCATACCATGTACGTATACACATACAGATATATAGATAGTCAGACAAACAGATAGACAGATAGAGAAATAGAGGGACCACGAGAGACGCAGAGATAGGGAGACAAAGAGATACAGAAATAGAGATGGAGAGAGGCAGACAGCTAGACAGGTAGACAAACAAAGGACGGACAGATAGATAGATACGTAGTTAAACAGATGGACACATAAATAAATTGATGGATGACAGATAGCTAAATAGACAAATGCATAGGCATATTGATAGATGGATTAACGGGTACGTAGACAGAAACAATAAAGACAGGTAGACAGGCTGACAGATACGATGGACAGACAGACAGGCAGGCAGGCAGCCAGAGAGGCAGGCAGACAAACCGACAGGGAGAAAAGGATAGGCACGTATATGAGTCTATGCACATTGGGCTCATATACACAGATACACACACACACACATCCATCCATCCATCCATCCATCCCTCCCTCCCTCCCTCCCTCCCTCCGTCCCTCCGTCCATCCATCCATCCATCCATCCATGCATCCATCCATCCATCCATCCATCCATCCATCCATCCGCTCATGCATGCATACATACATACATGCGCACATACATCCGTACATGCATGCATACATGCGTACATGCATGCACCCATGCACACATACATGCGCACATGCATGCATCCAGGCATGCATACATACTGGATTATACCCATATTCATACATACATACATACATACCTACATACCTACATACATACATACATGCATACATACATGCATCCATTCATGCATGCATACATACATGCTTATTTATACAAATATATTCACACATGCATGGAAGCATGCATTCACAATGCAAGAATGCATAGATGCGTGCGTGCACATGCATAAATATGCTGCTTTACACAGCACGGGTATGATGATACAATATGAACAACATCATATCGTCACATAATACAATATACTAAGATAAACTATTCACATTGATACTTTTGTGCGTATACACATAACTCCACGGGTGTGTATTTATATTTATATATATATATGTATGTAGAGAGAGAGAGAGAGAGAGAGAGAGAGAGAGAGAGAGAGAGAGAGAGAGAGAGAGAGAGCGAGCGAGAGAGAGAGCGAGGGAGGGAGGGGGGAGGGAGGGAGGGAGGAGCGAGAGAGAGAGAGAGCGAGAGAGAGCGAGGGAGGGAGGGAGGGAGGGAGGGAGGGAGGGACTTAACTTAACTCGAACATCGCCTTGCGCTTCGCCCTTGCACGCTCTTGCGCGCACACGGTTTTGGACACATTCCCACCTAGAAGCCTCGAGAAACCTTCTGACAATTACTTGATCGCCCTTGCGTCGCTCCATGCGCGCGCTTGCGCCGTGCTAGTTTTGGGGCAAGTCCTAAAGCTGCATTGAAACATAAAACTGCGCTTTTCCGTTTAGAACAACTCTCATAGGTATGAATATGCCAGTAAATTCACATTCAAGCAGACCGACACGCATGCGTTGCAGGAAAGCACACATTCACACACCCCTTGTCAACGCTTCACAGACTGCTTCCATTGGTCAGTGGTTGCTGGCAAAGCTGTCCTTTCTGCCCTCTTCTGAGTCGCAGGCACCTGGGGCGGGCCTGAGGCCTCAGTACCAGGGGTGCTTCATCTTTCGGCACTTACGTCAATTGACTTCGATGCGTTCTCCATGTGCCCCATGCCGATCAGCTGACCAGGCCCTAACGGCAAAAGGACCTCTTTAAACATGAGCAACCTAAACGGATGTCAAGCGGAAGTCCCAAACGCTTGCTCCAAAATCACCACGACTCTTATCTCACTGACGGTCCTCATTTATTGCTACTGTAGCTGACCCTATTCCTCGGCTATGGAGAAAGGAATCTCTTTGCGTGCACTAGCCTCCGGGAGTTCTTCGCCCTCTTTCTCAGCCATTTTGGCGCTCCTGCTCGGGCAATCGTGGAGGCAATCGCGATTCTCTAGATTGCATCTCGGCCCTCCCGCCTCAGCACCCAGCGCCGAGGGACTGAGATTGAGCCAGAACGAGCCAAGGTCGTGTCTGTTCTGACAAAACCGAAACCTCAGCGCCTCGGACATCATCATGCATTTTAGAAGTCAAAACAATCTAAAGACAATGACAGCGCTGGGCCACCTATCACTACCCAGTAGCTCGCCGTCAGTTTAAAGCCCTGCATCGCATACATTCGAATCCATGCATTCGAGGAGCAGAAGCACACCAAGGCTTGCATCATCTTGTATCCAATCTAGAAACTCTACTAAAGCTCGAGCTCGACAGAAACAGCGTACACAAGTCATTCACGGGACCCTTTCGTGCGGGACGCAGAATAACTTCGGTATCTGCGGCCCCGCACCAGTCACAAGGGACTGCGGAGCCGACTTGTTAACGTTCACTGGCTGCATGCAGACCAAGCTTCCATTTGAAACGGTCTGCCGTGCCGAAACGACGGGATGTCAAATCCTACCAAAAGCCCTCGTTCTCGCGTCAGCACGGCCAAAGTGTTTTCGGCCACGCCCGCAACAGGGACTCGAAGTGCACATCGGAAGCTATTTCCGGCTGCACTGGTTCTACGGCGAGCTTCCTGGCTTGATCTCCTCGAACTTGGAGGAGGTGCCAGAACCGCTAACAGTGCTGTCCTCACGGGAAGTCCGGTTCCGCCCAATCCCGTCAGACGCTCCCTATGCCACTATGCCCTCTGGGTTGCCACGGTTTTTCGGTTCTACGTTTCTTATCGCACACTCGGGGTTTCGGTGACAGAGCCCGAGTTTTGGAACAAACCCTGTCAGTTTCGGGGCAAGGTTTCGCAGTTTCGGGAAGCAGCATCGGCCGCTTCGGTCCCACATTATTTGTCTTGATGCTCAAACCACACAAAACTCCGAAACCGATAGACTAAATCGATATTTCGCAACAATTGATACGGACTGTTAAATAACAACAACCACGAGGACAGCAGCTACGCACAACCAGGACAACGACCAGCACCACGACGGCGAAACACACACACGACCAAAAACCAACAACAAGGCAGCGCCGGTTTCTGCGGCACACCACGACGACGACTGCGAAGATATGAGGAGAGATTAAGACATGGCATTAACCGCCTTGGCCTCAAGAGGGGCCGGGTTTAAGAAACGTGATAATTAAACCGTCATCGCCTGAGGAGGCAGCGTTAAAGATGCGATCAACCGTCATCGCCTAATGAGGGGGCTGGCTTAAGGAATGTGGAACCGCCGTCGACTGCTGAGGGGGCCGTTGAAGACATGTGTCAACCGCTCTCGTCGAAAAAAGGTGGGTTTAGTATCAAGTGTCATGCGTCAGGAAGGCCAGGGTTTAGGAAACGTGATAAGCCGCCATCGTCCGATGAGAGCCTCTGCACATGTCAGGGACAATGCAGTAGCCCCTTCTGTGCCTATGTTAACCTGCATTCCAGAGCCATTCTTTGCAGGCAGAGGTCGTTTGCATTCACGGCGCCAAAGCCACGGTGAAGGCAACGGCCGCTTGCCATCACCACATGATTTTTAAACCGCAAAAACCATGGTAAAGGAAACAACTGCTTGCTTCACACTTTTTTGGCATCAAACTAGCCTTCGCCGCACGTTTTCGTCCCAAAACCATGGGTTACCTTCACCATGTTGCTTTGGTACCAAAGCGTAACGGAGGCTTGCCTTCACCGCGCTTTCCGGCAGCAAGGCCTTGGTGAAGGCAACGGTCGTTTTGCCATCACCGTGTGATTTGGAACCATGGTGTAGCAACGGCCGCATGCCTTCACCGTGCGTTGTTTTGCAAAGAAACCAGGGTGAAGGCAACGGCCGCTTGATTTCATCGGGTGTTGTTGGCACCAAAGCCATGGTAAAGGCAACCACCTCGTGCCTTCGTGATTTTTATACCAACACCATGGTGAAGACAACTACCACTTGCCTTCTGCCTGGGCTTGTGGAATCAAACCATGGTCAAGGAAACGGCCGCTTGCCTTGAGTGTGTTTTGCGGCACCAAAGCCATGGTGAAGGAAAGGACAGATTGCCTTTACCCTGTGCCTTTGGCGCGAACACCATGGTCAGGCAATGGCCGTCTTCAGCACAAAACATCACAAAACCAATCGTGAAGGCACCAGCCGTTTGCGTGCTTTCTGCATCCAGAACATGGTGAAGGCAACGGTCCCTTGCCTTCACCTCGTTTTTGGCACCGAAACCGTGGTGAAGGATACGGTCGCTGCATGTCGCTGCCCTCACCGTCTGTTTTGGCACCGAGGTTCACAGTGCGTTTTTGACAGCAGAAGTGTGTTGTGGGCACCACAGCAATGATGAAGACAACCGCCGCTTTCCTCCACCGTGTTTTTCTGCACCAAAACCGTGCTGAATGGTTTCAGTGCTTTGACACCACAACGATGATGAAGGCAACGGCCTTTTTACCTGCACAGTGGCCTTTTTGCACCAAAACCATGGTGAAGGCCACTACCAGGTACCTTCACCATGTGGTTTTGGCACAAAAAAACCTTGGCAGAAAGTTAATCCCCAACCGTTTTCACCCAAACCATGGTGAAGGCAACGGCCGTATGCCTTCACCGTGCGTTTCTGGCACCGAAACCATGGTGCAGGCCGATTGCCTTGAGCGCGTGTTTGTGGTACCAAACCCATGGTGAAGACAACTGCAGCTTGCCTTCACGATATGACGATATGTTTTTTGCACAAAAACCATGGTGAAGGCAACTCACGCTTGCCTAAACCGTGTGTTTCTGTCACTGAAACCATGGTGAAGGCAGCGGCCGCTTGCCGTCACCACATGGTTTTTACACCAAAACCTTGATGACTGTAGCGGCCGCTTTCCTGCACCCTGCATTTTCGCACCAAAACCATGGTGAAGGCAAGCAGACACTTGCCTTCACCGTGTGTGCTTAGCACTCAAACCATGGTGCCGGCAACGGCCGCGTGATACGTTGTATTATATTGGTGGCCGGGCGTATTCGGGCATACTCGAGAATACTCGGATTGCAGCCGCCCATCGCGGCCGCAGTGACCTCAGCTTTTAAAAAGCTGCCAGCGCCACAAGAGGAGCCGGTTCTGCAAACGTGATGAATCGCGGGAGGCGTAGGAGCGCTCCAGAGTTTCAGGGTTCGTGTGTGTCGCACTCGTGAAGGTTGGTGGGTGTTGCGCCTTTGCATGTGGGATCTGGCTCTTGGGGCTGAGGATTAGCATTGTTTCGTGTTTCTTGCACCCTGGTCCGGAAACCGACCGCGGCACCGAACCGCCCGCGACATGTTCCGAAACTCGACACCGAGACCGGACACCGATATTTAGCGTGAGAACCCTGAAACTCGCGACTTCCTCTGCCCTCTGCCGGCCTTAGCACTTTCTCGTGGAGTCTCCTCGGCAGCGGGCTGGGCCTCGTCTGCCTCAAATCAAACAGCCAGCACCGCATTGCGTGGAGATCGCTCGTGCAATGAAGTGTCCTCGCCTTCGGCAAACCGGGTGGTGTGGGTGGTGCGGGCAGATGGTACTGACCCGTGGCCTTAGAATTCCATGCAGCGCCCGTTGGCGAAACAAGTATTGTTGAGAAGCTGCCGAGCTCCTACCCGCTGCAAGGCTTAGTGGAAGGCATAATCAAAACCGGCACCCTGGTAGATGAACATCTCAAGCACCTCAGAGTAGCTGCTTGCTTTTCCGGCGAACTGTGCAACACGAGCCGGAAACCAGCCGGAGCCTTGTTCAATCTGGACATCAGCACGCGCGGGTCGTCGAGCGTGCCGGCGGCAATGCAAGCATTGTCGTAGAGTTGCTCCACCTCACAAAATGGCTCCGGCTTTAGCTTTTGGGCTAAACGCCGCCAACATCCGGCAAACAGACCAGGACCCGGCCGCAATGCGCGCGACTGGCTCATTGGAAGCCAGGATCGTCGCCAGCCTCCGAGGCCCAGGGCGATCGGTGCTAATGGCACCAGCGCAAGTGCGGAGCAGAGGCGACGGGCGAAAAACAGCTACGCAAATGGGAAAGGCTACCAATTCTGAAAACGAGGCGAGTGCTGAACGGAGGAAGGAGAGCACAAAAGACAAAGAGAAAGCCGCAGATACTCCAGCTCCCGTAGCACAGAGGGGCCGAATGAAAGGGACATGGTTGCTGTGCCACCGGCTCTCAAACCGAATTGTGCACGTCCAGCTTTTCGAGCCCACGATGGTTGCAGGCTTCTGCATACGCCGGGCAACGTTCAAGTGCCTCTTGGCACCACGCACGGACGCTTCTCCACGCGTTCCTTCAAGTTTTCAGCCGGGGGTCCAAGACTTTGCGGTCTTCCCCAAAGCTCTCGCAAGCCCACAGACGTGTTTGAGAGATCAGAAGATTGAACTGTATGTTCCGTTCAATGCCAGGCCCAGAGAGGCTTCCCATGCCGTCCCACAAGGCGGCTCCATCGTTTCACTAGTGGCAGTGACTCGGAAGGAAGATCTCAGAAGAATGATGACATTCCAGAGGAACCACTACCCCACCCGTCTCCGGTGAGCACTCGCCTACACATTCCCTGCTTCGGATCGGTGATCAGCGAACAGACCCCGATGTCGAAGGTGCAAAAACTCCAAGCGCTTCTTTCCGGGGCCGCCGCGTCGTGACGATATGATGCTTCGGGCTGAGCTCCAGTGTCATTGGGATGTTGCCCCTGGGCTTGGGAGAGAGCAGCCTCCCGAGGTCCTGCCGTCTCCAGCAACTGGGGCACCGACAGACCATCGTTCTCCTTGTAATGGAACACTTCCGATGACGAAGCCAAAAGTGGTAACTGGTAACCCTGGTGGAGTGGCATGTGCCTGTCCTTGCCAGCCATCAGGCTCTTCATCATCTTGCGCATGTGCGGTGTGATGATGCTGGTCCTGCAGCTCCGGGTCTGCATTTCTCACCCTGAAGACTGGACTCTACACAACGAAAACCCTCCTTCTACAGAATTCTGAGCTGCCGGCACCAGCGCTGGGGAGTTCACAAGGCGGTCCGAGAACTTAACTTCCTGCACCTGTAGGTGCTTCCAGATTTGGTGTATCGGGTACCGCACACGTGACCTCTTACTTTCCGCCTTCTCTTTCAGCACATCTCTGATGAACTTCTGCATCGCTTCCTTTTCTTGCTCAGTGAGCTCTCTCCTGTCCTCAAGGCTCGGCTACATGCAAGCTGAAGCAGATTGATTCAGGCCCCCTGCTTTTTGCTCATGGCACGGGCCCCGGCCCCCGGCCTCCTTCTCATCCTCCTCAGGCTTATCCAAGTCCAGCCTTAGCGGTTCGAGGCCGAGGCTTCAGGCTCGCGGTGAGAGGAGCACCGGACCAGAGGCTTCCACTCGAAGTTCTTGTCAGCCGAGTCCACGGACACGAACTTGCTGTCCTCTAGAGGGGCCGCACTCACTCTTTTCTCTCAACTGCCCTTCATATCTCAGGCAAGAGACCTTGAAGCCCTCAATCGCGTTGACCTCCAAGGCTCAGAGCTTCGTTGGACTCCACTGCCCGTTGGTACGAAGACGTGCTAGGTGCCCGGCCACGAACTCGTCGATGTCCTCGTACAGGAGAAGAACATTCCGCCTGCAGCAGCAGCCGAACGGGGCGTAAGGCGGCCAGCGAGAACTCCCTGAGCTGGGGCAGCTGCTGCCTCTGCACGAACCTCGGTGATAGTCGGCGATCTTGCTTGCAAGTCAGAACAAGCAACCATTCCTGAAGGAGGCTTCCAAGCCTCCGGCTGTTCCATGTACGGAGACGACAGTGCGGTTTGCCGGTCAGGGCCTCCAGTAGCGGCGACTTGGGAAGGAGAAGCTCTGCAGAGCCCTCTTCTGAAACGCCGCTTGGGACTCAGGGCTGTGCAGCAGAAGTAGTAAATGTTCTGCTGTCCCTCCTTCGCCATGTTCATGTACTCCTGCGAAAGCAGACGCAGAACATCCGGACCAGTCTAGGCACTGGAGGGAGCGAGCCTCCAAGGAAACCAACTCACCCTTGGGCTTGTTGGAGCACCTTGGGCTTGGGCTTTATGCGTTCTAGGCCTGGACTAAGGAGGCTCCGCGGAGGGCCGAGAGCTCAGGCTCGAAGCGCAAGAGCTTCAGGAGGTCGTCCTTGTGGCCTAAAGTCCCAAGACTCTGCTCTGGGTTGAGGGCCTCTGCAAGAGGCGCTTTGAGACCGCTGCGGCTGAAGTTTCCTTCTTTGTCCTCGATGATGCCGGCCTGAGAAGGCAGCCACAGGGTATTGAAAACTCACGAGAAACTGCCTTGCGTCCGTCGACAGAAGACAGAAGTTGGCAGCCTTCAGGAAGTAAGAGTAGCCCTTGAAGAACTTGTTGTACTTCTCCGAGTCTTTCTTGGCCTGCAATCCGAGACCAGAAGCTGCAAATTGACCCATCTGGTCAAGTCGCACTCAATGCAGCCGACCTCCTGCTGCAGGAATCTGAGAACCCGCCTCACAACCGCCATGCTGAGCCTGAGCAGATGCAGGCAACGTGCAACACAACTTCCCTGCTCCATAGTCCAAACTCACAGGTTCAGGCTTTTCCATCAGGCGGGTGTCTTGCATGTTCTCTCGGCTGATGTTCCTGTCAGTTCGCGCATACTCGGCATGTCTCCAGTTTGCCATACATACCATACATTCGTGGAAGCTGGATTCAGCTAGATGCCGGTGAGGCACATGGGCATGTCCTCGCAATCCACAATTCCCTGTCAGCTTGCGCAGGTCTTGCAATTGTCGACCCGGCCCGCACAGCACATGTGATGGCCACTCAAAGATCTTGTCCGAAGGGCCTTCATCCAGTGAAGCCACTTCGGGATGACGCCATCTGCATGCTTCTTGACCATGACTCGCCGCGAATGCAGCGAAATCTCGGCGAAGCAGGAATCGGAAAGGACGGAGAGGACACAACATGCGGCTGAGAACCCCACACCTATTTCGGGATCCTTGGTGAACACCCTGCTCGGGGCATTGTCAGGATCCGGGACATAGAAACAGCCTGAGCTGAGAGGCGACCAAAACCCTCTTCACTTCTCGGGGCATGGTGCATCGGAAGCAACAGCCGGACTTAGTTGTCAGATTGTGCAGCTCAGCAGCTTTTGATGGACAGTGGAGCGTCCGTCTGATACATCCTCGGGCTCGGCACTCTCAACTCTGCTTGGCTTTAGGCGTCACTGTCAGCATGGTTCGAAGCTTTTAGGCCCCCGCAAAGTGTAGTATGGCTTTCCGTAGGAGTTGCCACTGAGGAAACGAAAGAACCTGCTTCATCACGAGCCCACAAGAAAGCATGTCGATGTCAATTTTACACTGCTCGGCAGATCAAGCCACACGCAACCATTCTAGTGTCGAGGAGCTCCAGGTGCTGCTCCTCTGTCGCTGAGCTCTTCATCCACAGAGCCTGTTGACCATGAATCCACTTGTTTCGGGGAGCCAGTGATGAGGTGCAGTAGATGCAAGCGCTCCAGATATGTTGCTGCTTTACTGGATCTCCGTGACAATGCCAGAATTCTTGCTGCAGCATGCTTCCGGCTTCTCGCCTCCTGCTTGTTGATCGGCTTTGGATCTCCATCCTGGAGTTTCAAGGCCAAGGCACGCACTTCTGAAAATCAACATCAGATGCGGCCTCGCGGATGTTGATTGGAAAGTCAATGAAAGAAGAGAACCTCAGCTCGTGAAGGCGGGTTGTGTGCTGGACGCCCAGCCTGCAATCTGAAGCAGCGGCTTCTGGGCAGACTTCTTCACCGTTGCCTGGAGGTTGGATGCTCCAAGCCTTCACCCGTCACGAGATGACGTACATCCAAGCGCAGGACCAACTTGGCAAACTCGGTGGCATCATCTTTGAGGGTTAGCCTGATGGTGCTCTCAGGCAGAGCTGAAGGTTGGAAACCGCAGTCGAGGCAACAACTCTATGCGGGTGCCGCGAGGCACATCCTCCACTTCGGTGACAGTGAAACTGCCAGAACCTTGAAGCTCGAGACACAAAACTAGAAACAGAGCACTGGGACGGGCTGCAGCATTCGAGCTTTGCACCGTCTGAAGTCCACAGGTAGCCCTGTGCACCCTTCTCCTTGTCAGCCGTCTTAGTGTAAACCTGGTGAGCGAAGCTGCTAAATAGCTGGCCCGATGCATTTTTCAGCATCAAGCAGTATGCTGTCGCACTGTGCGTTGCACCTCCACCTTGTCTGCCACCACGAACGTGGAGTAAAAGCCCACTCCAAACCTCGAAATTGCAGAGCAACAGCCGTGGGGCCGATATTGCACCCGAGCGACCAAACTGATCCGACAAAGCGGATCAAACAATTTTCATCAGCAGGACCGGGATGACAACTCCTTGAACCGGTAAATTGCGGGCCCCACCCGAGAAAGGGTCTCCCATGCCTAGCAGTGCCTAGCACCTTCTCTGTCGACTCCATGATATCTGGGCTCACAGGATGCTCACAGGTCCACCCCAGAAATGATGATACTTAGTGAAGGCAAGCTAGGTCGCCTGTGGGAACATATGGCTAGAGCACGAAGTGCTCCAGAAACGCCTGCAGAAACCAATAACTAGAAACGAAGCAGAAGCATCCAAAGAGCACATTCACCGTTCCACGTGCAAGAAACCTGTAGCTCCTCCGAACCTTGAAGTAAACCACGGCCTGAGACTCTGAGATCCTGACTGCCCAATGATCTTGCTCGCGTCAGATTCTCCACCTATCGGACACTCTAGATCATTCGCGACAACGGGATGAGGTGAGAGCTGCGTAAGCACTTGGCGCTGAAGGAAATCTAGGGAACCGCTCTTTGCGATGGTGCCCAGATGCTCGACCTCAGCCACCCGGTTGACAAGCAGGGCATTTCAGGAATCTGCGTCCAAATTCATGCACGTGTAAACACGCTCTTGCATGGCTCGCGCTTGTCCCCCACAGTCCCAGTAACAAGCGCAGCTCGCAACCTGTTTGGTGACAGGTTTACTAACGACCGGCATAAATCCGGGGGCAAGTCTGCACTCACTTCGCAAGCTACACCCTCTGCGTCCGTGAATGAGAGCCGGAATCGGTGCAGCCAATTGCGCGTGCAAAATGCGGCATCCTCCTGGAAGGTGCGAAAACTTGTGTAGACTTTGTCTCGAACAATGGGGTGACCCACGTGCGCCATATGGCAACGAATCTGGTGTTTCCTTCCCGTCGTAATGCTGACATGTGCTCGGCTGAGAGTGCTCGTGCCCACTGCGTAGTGTTCACAGATCCGAAGATGCGTGACGCTCTTCCGCCCACGACCTCCGGCCACCGTCGGAGCATCCGTCAAGCAGATTGTGCTGGCACTTATCTCCTTGACAGAACTCGGAAGCCAGCCGTGGCACAGGACCGTGTAGTCCCGACCCATCTCGCCAGCGTGCAGCTGGGTTTGAAGGTCATAGAAGGCCTCGTAGGTCTTTGCCACCAAGATCAAGCCGGAGCTCGGCACATCCAGGCGATGCAGAAAGCCATGGTTGTGTCCCGGATCCTGGAAGATGGGTGCGCGACCAAACATGCCCTGCACGAAGGCCAGCAGCTGCAGCTTCACGTGCGCTCCATACACCTCCCAGCCAGCCGGCTTGTGCACCACAGAGCGGTCCCGTGTCTCGGCCGAGATTTCAGGATTCTGTCGGTTTCGGCTCGCTCTTTGCCAGCTAGCAGTAGTCTGGTTTTCTGGGTCGTTGCAGACACGAGATTGAAATCGACATCGATCGAAAGCCACAGCCACATCCTGTAGCTTGCAAGCCACAGCCTCTCGGAACCCTGCTCGCAAGGCACCGGCAAGACTGCAGGAAAACAAGATGCCCAGCAGCTCCTGGCCTTCCGTGCGATGGAACGCGAGTCGCTCAAGCTCAATGCCTGCCTCTGAGTGCAAGCGCGCTCGCAGTGCCTCCTGTACTCGGCTGAGAAACTCCAAAGCGCTGCCGCGCAGCACACTAGCACCATACACGGCCATGCTCACGGCTTGCATTTCCAACGCGAGGAACTTTGGAGAGGCAAGTGAGCGCCTTAAGAACCGGCGAAGATGCGGACTTGGTTCCACACCCAGAACCGCGCAAGACCACATAAGATATGGCACTTCCTCCACTTCACACAGAGCAGCCGACTCACACGCAGCGTTGATTACCGTCGGATCAGAAACACCCAGTGACGCCAGGGACCAAAGGAAAGAGATGGGAGATCGAAACGCTTCGGAGTCGCGGCACAGCTGCCAAGCAAGGTCGATGCGTCCGCTGTGCTGGCAGGCAAGCATTGCTGAGTCAAAAGCATTCACGGAATGTCCGAGTCGCTTGTGATGCATGAGGCCGATGGCTCTCATTGAAAGCTCCCACTGGTGGCTCCTCTCCCAAGCAGCTGTCACGGCATTGTACAAGATGATGTTGCTTTGAAGACCCAAATCACCCAACTGCTGCAAGATGAGCGCAGAGTGCAGCCAGCAACCTGCCCTTCCACAGGCGCTGATGCTGGAGGTGCAGGTGACCATGTCGGGCAGAAGGCGTGCCATTGCCACGATCCCTAAGATGCAGAGGGCACGTTGCCACATTCCAGACTTCTCGAAGCCGTCCAGCATCACATTGCAGCGAACTAAGTCAGCTGGAAGTGTCCCATGCTGCAGCAGTGAAAAGACAATTGCACCGTGTTGCCACAGCGACGGTCTGCCCAATGTTGTGATGCACGCATTGCAAACGTCCGTCCCAAGCCGCACGAAGCTTGCATGCAGCATTGACAGCAACTGGCAAGCCAATTGCCACTGGTCTTTGCCAGCACAGGCAAGCACTGCAGATGTATGCAAGACCCTATTATCCAACGCATGTGCTCCAAATTGACTGTGAATTCTCAAGGACTGCTGCCACTGCATACTACCCCGAGCTGCAGTGCCGACAGCACCAATCGTTACTACGCTTTGATACAGCTGGTTTCTTCGGAGTTCCTCGGAGGAGGCTAAGGAACGTTGCCACGCTTGACCTGCATGGCACGAGGTGATTAAAGCGTTGTAGGTGATGGTGCTTGGCTGTATTTGACGCTGCTGCATCTCTGTGATCAGACCTTGCTGCCACTTTCCATCGCGAGCGCACGCACTCAGAGCTGCGCTGAAGGTGACAATGTTTGCTTGGAGCGCCTTCAACTCCAAGTCCTCGAGCAGCAACAGAGCACTGTACCACCGGCCGCTCTTCTCACATGCACCAATGGCACCACCGCAGCTGAATACATCTGCCTCAAGGGTTGCTTCTGCGATCTGGTCAAGCATCGCCAAACTCTGCTGCCACTGTCCCCGCTTCTGAGCAGTGCTAATGCAGGCATTGCAAATGACTGTGTTTAGCTGCAAAGCTGCATGCTGCAAGGTCCTGGCCAAAGACAGGCTAGTCCGCCAGCGCCATGAACCAGCACAGCCACTGATTGAAGCACCGTAGGTGATCACCAAAGACCACGAATCCACGCATCCGGTCAGACTGAACTGACGCAGGACTTCCAGGCACACTCCCCACTGCCTAGAAACGGAGGCTGTTCTCGCAGACGCGCTGCACAACCTGACAGGAGGCAACCTGCCTGTGGCCTGGGAGCTCCTCTGACTCTCAAGCGCATGCCGCCATGGATCTGGGCTCCCTCCTACTTCCTCCACAGGCACAGGCTTGACCATCCAGCTGCAGAACGCCCCTTAATGCTGAAGACACCGGAGACCGAACGCTCTTCCTTCTACTTCTCCGGCATGGCTACATGACGTTCGGGGATCTGGGACACGATTGGAGCCCTTTTGAGGATTAACAACGTTGCGTTGAATATGAACCAACAACAGCTATTGAAAGGCGCCAACATCATGCAACATCCCGCTGCTCCGGAGCTGGGCGTTCCGATTCTCGCGTCCGCATCTACATTATGTAGCCCGGCCCAAGCTCTTTCTGCAGACTATCAGTGCTGACTACCATACCGTGTAGAGCTCGAACTTCAGCAGAACAGCCTGTGCTATCTTTTCAGTCCTGAGCCGGCCGACCTGGGTGACCCGTGGCCAGTAAGTAGGCATCTGATCACCGTTGCGCGTTCTAAGGATGCCTCCAGGTCTTTTGGCACATGGCTCCAAATGTCCGACTTTCGGCCCTGCAGGTCGCGAAATCGAAGCCGGTGGCGATGCAGCCAATTCCGCGAGCATAGCAGGACATCAAAGTTGAACGTTGTCTTGCCCGCGTAGGTCCGATCACGAACAGTCGGGTGGCCAATGTGAGCCATGTGACTACGTATCTGATGTTTGCGACCCGTTGCAATGCCCAGGAGGACCTTGCTCAAGGCTCCAACCTCATGCAAATAGTGGCTGTGACCGCAAACTTGTGTGGCACTCGGCTTTCCCCGACCACCACACAGAGTCGGGCGATCATCCTCACACCAGGTGCTGGCGCTTATCTCCCTGACAGAACTCGGAAGCCAGCCGTGGCACAGGACCGTGTAGTCCCGACCCACCTCGCCAGCGTGCAGCTGGGTTTGAAGGTCATAGAAGGCCTCGTAGGTCTTTGCCACCAAGATCAACCCGGAGCTCGGCACATCCAGGCGATGCAGAAAGCCAGAGTTGTGTCCCGGATCCTGGAAGATGGGTGCACGACCAAACATGCCCTGCACGAAGGCCAGCAGCTGCAGCTTCACGTGCGCCCCATACACCTCCCAGCCAGCCGGCTTGTGCACCACAGAGCGGTCTGCGAGGCTGAGAGCCACTCGAGGTTGCTCGCTCGATGCCTCAGCATGCTCCGGATTCCATGTCCCGGTACCAGGAGAACGGTGCAAGTTGGAAGCATCCAGCAGCCGTCCAAGGCTCCTCATCATCCTCTGAATGACCGAGTAAGACGTGGCACGTAGGCACCCGACACTTCTGCAATAGAAGAGGATGCCCAGGACTTCCATGGCGCCACTGAAAGACATGTCATTCAATGCTTCTCCAGTAAAGCTTGCACGAGTTGTGAGTTCCTCCTGCAGAAGGTCGAGGAAACCAAAAGCTCCCGTCATAGAAGCACCTGCAGAGATCATGCTCAGCTCCTCTGAGGAGAAAGAGCGAAGTTGCACCACAGCTTGCTGGAGCATTACTCTCTCAAACGCAGGGCCGCGCGCACCCAGTAATCCAACAGACAACCAAGTCCTTGAAAGCGTCTTGCTGTCGATATCTGCCACCTCGTCCAGCTTGCAGAGCTCTGTCAGCACCTCCTTGCAAGCCGCATGGATCACCACTGGATCTGAGGTGCGAAGAGTGGCCACTGCCCATAAGAAGCTTTGCGGGTTCCGCTGCTCTTCTGATGTAAACAGCACCTGCAAAGCTTGCTCCCTCTGCCCAGCACCCTCTGCGGCGAGCAGGGCATAGTCGTATGTTGTAAGGGACGGCTGCATCTCTGCATTGCACATAGATCCAAGGACGCTGACAGCAAGGTGCCACATCTGGCTCCGGTAGCCAGAGTAGGCGATGGCACCAAACGTCACACTGTTCGCTCTTAAGTCACAGGCTCGCGTCGCTTCCAAGATCTGGAGACCTGCGTTCCACCTCAGACTGCATCCACATGCGTGTATAAGCGCACTCTGCGTGATCTCATTACACTCGAGGTGCTGCCCTTGCAGCTGTGCCATGAGAGACAAAGCAGCCTGCCATGCAGCACATCGCCCCCATGCACTGATGGCCGTATTTAACAGAGGCACACTTGTTTCAACGGTCGTTTTCAAACACGCTTCCAACAACAGAATACTTGTGCTCCATTGAGAAGCCTCAGTGCAAGCATGCATAGTTGCTGAGTAGGATGTGGCATCTGGAGGTACATCTGACCACGGCCGTGTAAGTCTGGCAAACACTTCCAGGGCAAGCTGCCACTGCACGTGTCCGGTCGCGCTTATGGCTGCATTGAACATGGCGGTGTCTGCGACAGAAGCCTGGGACATGCTGTCCAGAAGTGCAAGTGCATGTTCCCACTGCTTGGCTCGTCCACACACAGACACGGCTGCCGTGCACGGCAAGCATGCAGATGCCAGCGGAGGACCTCCACCCCGGTCATCATCCTGCCACAGCTTCAGCAAATGCAGCGCCTGCTGCCACTGCTGAGAATCGCTACAAGCACTGATTGCAGCAGTGCACGTGCTCTGGTTGCGTTCACAAGAGAAGTCAGCAAAGAACTGCAGCGCTCTCCGCCAGTCCCCACCCTTGTCACAGGCAGCAATAGCTGCATTTACGGCAGGCCCATCAGCTTTAATTCGCTGGAGCTGCATCTCCAGGAAAAGATGTAACGCTTTGCGCCAATGACCACCGGCTGTGCATGCACACGCCAGGGAGGTGCAAAGCACAACATCAGGCTCAACCGCCTCATCCCGAAGCTCTGTTAACAATGATAGTGCACTCTGCCACTGCTCCGCACTGGCGCAAGCCCTCGTGACAGACGTGTAGGTCAAGACAGTCCCATGTAAGCGACTTTGCCTCAGGTTGGAAAGCATGCATATGGACTGCTGCCAAGAACCTCCTTCACATGCTGCAAGAGCTGCCGTGTATGTGAAAATGTCAGCAGGAAGTCGTTGTGCAAAAACATCTGCAAGCAGTAAAAGGGAGACCTTCCACTTCGTGGAGCGTCCACATGCAGTAATGGCTGTAGTGTACAGTGGACCATCCTCTGCGTTTATCGTTTGGGCATCACCCAGTAGGCTTAAAGCCCACTCCCACTTGCTGCTCTTGGAGCAGGCTGTCATGGCAGCACTGATCTCAAGGACACTGAGACTTACTTTCACTTTCGACGACATGCGAGCAGTGAGCAAGGACGTCGCCTCTTCCCAGCGCCAGGCCTTTGCCAAACCCTGTAGGGAGCTCGCGAAGGTGTCTGCATCAGCAGAAGCGGGACCCAAACCCGGCATGCGAGCCAATACGTCCAGAATCGATTGCCACTGCGAGTTCCGAGCTGCGGCTGCAATGGCTGTATTGGTCGATACAGCATTGGCAAGTATGCCATGAGAAGATAGGTTGAAGTACAGCTCCAGTGCCTTTCTCCACTTTCCACCTTTGTCTAAGGCGCTCAACATGATGTTGTATCCTACGACACCAGGTTCAACATGGTGACGACGCATGTCCGACAAGATGCAAAGAGCTGCTTCCCACATGCCATGTCCGGCACAAGCGTTCATAGCAGCACCGAACAACACTACATCCGGAGAGAGTCTGGACTCTAGCGCCTGCCAAAGCAGATGTAAACTTAGAGTCCACTTTCCAACGGCTTTCCGGCAAGCATTGATGGCATTCGTGTAGCTCACTGCACTGGGCAAAACCTCCGAGAGGCTCATTGTCCGCAGGATCACCAGGGCCTGGTCCCAGCGACCGCGCGCTCTTCCGAAGCTGCCGATGGCAACGTTGAAGTATTGCGCCATCATCTCCAATCTGAAAGCACTCATTGCCCCAAAGATCTTCTCAAAACAAGCAGCATCGGCGCCTAAGTTCTTCAACGTGCTTGTGGCGAGCTTCGGTTCGCTCTTCCAGTCTTCGAGGAGAGGCTGGAGCAGCAGAGCAACTTCTTGGGATGTCTGGGAAGTTCCCCGCACAGTCTGACAAAGCTTCAGCGCTTGGCCTCGGTACACCCCGCACAACCACAACCACAGTCACTAGCTAGCAAAAGACAACCGACAACTCGTTCTTACGGTTATCCTGGACCCTACGCTTTCAAACAGGATGTGCAACGCATGAGTAATGAGCCCTGAAAAGTCGGCCAAGTCCAAGTAAACGGTGCAAACATGCGTAAACAGTGTGATCCAACCCCAGTGCCCCTTTCAGCTGCAGTCCAAGCGGCTGGGACTGAGATTCGGCTGATACACTTTCACCATGGTAGAGTGGTCATGCAAAGACTTTCACATGCATCTTCATCATGAAGGCGAGAAGCTGCGGTCGTTCATCTCATCTGCAGGAAGCGATGGTCGACTGGTAACTGAGCTGTCGACTAGCTCATCGTGTGTCATGCCGATGCCTGAATCTTCGATGATGAATTTCCTGTGTCATCTGCAGGTTCATAACTTGGAACGGAGCTACATCACCATGCATACCTAACTACATACTTACGTACATGCCACATACCTGCTTACATACACACTGCACGCAGACCAGAAGAAGACGGGCACTGGCTCATGCCTGTCGCTCTCGCTCACACTGAGGGTAACCTGAAGCCTGAAGTGCAACAGGCGGAGCTGGTGTTTGGTGAGAGACAACACACTGAATTTCCCTGCCAACTGACATGGAGTTGCCCCGCGAGCACTTGACAATTGACTTTGCGTTTGCAGAGGCTGCGACGGGACGTCTGCGTCATTGACATCCTTGATCTGTTGTGTTCCCTGCCTTGCTGTGTGCCCAAAACAGCTTTGCACGCAGCGACGCACAGCCGTCCAATGACAAGGCTCGCACAAAAATCGGAGCTTTTCACACGCATCCGATGCGTTGGAGATCAGCTCTCTTATGAAAACCTGGCGAGGAAGCCGAGCCAAGTAAAAGAGGCCCACCTTCTGAGACTGAGGCCTCCTTGTCCGTGTACAAGGATTTGGCTACAATGTCGAGAAGCTTCTTTGTCTCAGCCTCGCTATGCCCGTCAACGTCACCCTGATGTGCTTTCGGCCCTGGGTCACAGGGCGCCTTGCCTTGAACTCGTGAGTTTCCGTCGAGAAGGCCCTGACACCCGGCGAGATCCGTCCAAGAAGCATGAAAAAGGCAGCAAGCACGCAGAGCATGCAGAGCACGCAGCCTTGAGGGGCCTTCAGCGACCTACACGTCTGCGCAGCAGGGAGCCATGCCTCGACCAACGAGATGCCCTGGCCAGGCCGGCTGAAGCCTGAGAGTCGCGAACTTTTACAATCATTGGGTGTGTATATATATATATATGTATAAACAATCCCGCACGCACTTCGCACAGCTGAGAGGAGGACCGGTCGCAGGGATTCTACGAGCGAATGTCGGCACCTGCTAAGTCGGTTGCTGCGAAATGCGTTTGAAGGGGATCTCAAACCAACGCTCTCATCGCTACACGCAACGAAACACAGACTTTGTGCAGCCTGAACGCAGTCAATGCAAAGAGATTTACACATGGCACGACCCTCCTCCCTTCCCTGGCGCCGCGGCAGCACGCGCCCAGCGATGCTCCGGGCCGGCGCGCGCCTGGAAAAGTTTGTGCCGTCTCACCGGCAGCTTCCAGCTGCCGCCAGACGCTCGGCTTCGTTGTTTAGCCCACTCTCAAAAGCTTTCCTCGCCAGCGTGAACGTGCTGTCGGAGACATACACATGAAAACAAGCTGGTGTTGGGAAAGTCTGAGCGAGCAGCAGTGCGCGATGCATTGTCTAGTAGGGTTTCCTGCCACCGGCGACTGCCACAACAGTAAGCCCCTGCAGCGATTCCGCACTGGAGCGCCCAACCTGGTAGGGCTCTGACTCGAAATGCCCCGGCCCCTGACAGGCGCAGCTGTAAACATTCAGCCTCGAACCTCACCTGCTGTGGCAAGCCCCATGATCGAAACCAGCTTCGACAGCACGTGTTGTGTAATAACGAAGATGCCACAAGAGCTGGGCCCCGGACCGATTCAAAACTGCCAGCCATGCAGCTGCAAAATTGAGATTGAAAGCTGCAAAATGTTAAAACCATGCAGAACAGATTCACACCATCCGCGTGGTCGGAGTTCTGACGAACACATAGCTCCGCGCGCAATGACCCAACGTGCAGAAACTGCATTTTGAGTTTTGCTCGAAAGCGAGTCAGTCTCCTGCCTGGTGATATGTGTTGAGCGCTTGCGCGCCGAGTTGAAAGCTCAATCAAAACAAGGCTCATCTCAGCCTCAAATGCCTCAGTGGAGCATCAGCAGCAGAAAAGTTCCAAGAGCAGCGGGACCGCGTGCTTCCTAAATGCCGTGCTGGTTACAACGAAACATCATGAACATGTCCAAGGCGAAGGCTTGGTTTTGTGGTAGCATTGGAAAGTAAATGCCTGTCTGTAGTGAGGGTGCCGAGGATACCTTGCGCCATTTGCACTGAAAGTCATGCACCGTGAGCGAGAAACTTGTCAAACACGCCACTGCTTCCCTTCCACCCACGGACGCAAGTACTCAGGGAACTGGGTAGACCTTGGTGAAAATTCCACGATTGCACCACTGCGTGCGATCTAGGAAACCGAGGACGGCACCAGCGAGACCGAATCGGAGGATTGGTAAGGGCCTTTCTCTATTCAGTGTATTCCCCAATCGCAGTGATGGAATTACTCTGCGAAGGCCTGCTTGTGCCTCACGTTTGCGCTGCAGTCCACGGCAAGAATTGGAATCTCGGCAGCCGCTGGGATGGATTCGGGAAGTGCTCGAAACCTACTGAAAGATGTCTCGGCTTCTCGCGTGCCACCGACGGATAACATAACGACATTCGCTGCAATGAAGCTTCAATACCTTTCCAGCACTTCCAAGGAAGTCATACCCACGTGTTGCGGAGCAGCGTCAGAATGCGCACACCACGGTTGCGATAAAATCGTCGATCCTGCCAAGCAAACGAGCGAAACACATGGCCACATGACAAACACTACAATCAGGTCCTGCGTCTGAGGGCCCCAGGGCAGAAGATCTGCCCCAACAGCGATGCCTGTTCAGACGATGGGTTGGGTGGCACAGGGTGGCAAGCGACTCAAAACATCGCCCATCCCACCGAGGCCGCGTCCTTCGGATACAGCGGCCAGAGTGCTGGACCCCATTTTCGATAGCTTGCTACCTGCAAACACGTTCCGGACTATGCTGGATGGCTTGCAGATGGTCAAGCTGACACATTTCAAGACATGAGGCTCTGACGCAATGCTGAGGCGACCAGACTTGCCATGCCGGCGTGTTCACCGAAGGCCAACTTATCGTTCGTCGGCTGAAAGCTTTGCCAGTGTCCCCACACCGTGTCGAACAAACTCTATCACAACTGCTTGGACTAAAGTTGCTCCGAGCCAAACTCTAACCAACAGTTTGAAGCGTCTCAATTTAAGCCCGAGGGTTCGGGCTCCAGGTTTTGAGCTTTTAGTTGAAAAAGAGTCAAGGTCAAGGTACAGCAAAGGCAATGATTCAAGCGTTTCGTCGAGGGTAGCGGAGTCCGAGCTGGACTTGAACATGGCCCGGATTGCACTTTGCAGCTACACCCGGGGCCCCACCGTGCAGATACACCCCAAGAAAGTTCAACAACAGGACTCAGTTTTGGGCTATGGCCTCTCTAACGTACAAATTGGGCAATGGCCGCAGACAGTCAGTCCTCAGGCGGTTTTTGACAGTATAAGGATGCAAGCCATAAAGAATTGGGTAGCCTTCTTGTGAATTTTCGTGGGGGCTAGCTCGCCCGCGGGAATGCCGCGCACAGATGAAGGTGCCACAGCCCTGAAGCGGGTGGCTAGAGGCAGGAGCAACACAAGCATGATCATGCCCGACGCTACCAGAGATGCCACCGCCATTTTCCACCATTGGCCTGCTCATTGCTGACGAAACTCCCATAGCATCACTCGTCACACCGTGTCGTCCAAACCTCGCGTTCACGGGCAGACAGGCCGGGCTGGGGCGATCTACATGGGTATCCGCACAGCTCAGCTAGAAACAGACCGCCCATCGAGAGATTCTGCGTGAGACCCCGGCAAAGGCTGCTCTCAGAGCTCACGCAACGTGGCCAGAGTGTGCAGGTCGATTTGTTTTGGCATATACCTCAGTTTCCCTCCCTCTCCCTGCATCTTCCTGTTTTGTCTTTCTGCTTCTGTCTGCTCGCTCACTGTTGTTCACTCTTGCTCAGCGTCCCTCATCCACTCACTGTCGCTGGCTCACTCGCTCACTCTCTACCTCACTCTCTCTCTTTATCTCCCTCTCCCCATCTCTTGCTTGCTTGCTTGCACAGCGTGTGGAGCGAAGAGGTTGAGCCCCAGCGCCCCTGCGCACGGCGCTACGCTGAGAGTCCAAGTTCGGTCTGTTGTGAAACGTTTCGAGCTTTTGTTGCGAGCTGGGAACTTTGTTCGAAACCCCAAGATCCGAGGCAATCTGCGCAGTCTCCTGCTCCCAACTATGTGCCGAACTTGTCCATGGCTTGTTTGCACAGTTGTTGTGGTAGCCCTCTGTTTGCGGACCGGCTCTCGTGCAACACTCCTGTCAGAATCACGTTTGCACACCTTGGTGCCACAGATCCACAGGAAGTTGAGCTGACATCTTTCAAGCTTTTGGAAGTGCACTGCAGGTGTGACTGTTGTCGTATTCGTCGTTTATGAGAGGGACGGAAGGACATGCTATGCGTGGCACCAAATTCGCTGTTTCTGAGCATCCAGCCGCCTCAAACAACCCAGAAACTGTTTTCATGTGATCGCATGTTGCTCAACTACTCGGGGCCTCTTCCCTTCGGTCCACCAGAAGGACAAAGAGATAAAGGGAGAGATAGAGAGAGGGAGCAAGAGAACAAATTAGCATCGTCGTCGTCATCCTCAATATGATCGGTACCATTCTTGCATGCCTGTTCACTCTCCACTGCCCTCTGTCGTTCACTTCCTCTCGTGCGAACTCTAATTCCCGCAGTCCACCCTCTGCTTTCTCCTTGCTTCTCCTACTGCCACACCGACGTGCTGAAGGAACGGGAGCCGGCCTTTCCGGTACAGAGAGCTGCGAAGATAGCTTTGGGAGGGGCCCTCAAGAGGATATGAGAACCTGTCAGTGCGCCAGGTCCGTAAGGTGTTCCCCACCACAAACGCCCGGACGAAAGGCCGCGAAGGTCCCGTGGCTAAGGTGAGCAAGAGGCTTAAAGTAGATGAATCAAAAGCTCCACACCGAGGTTCAGACCGTTGCCAAACTTTCCAGCGAAATCCGCATGGGAAGTGACCTCAGTCTCCCTCTCCGTTTCTGTCTCGTTGTCTTTCCCTGTCTCTGTCAATGTCTGTGCTCGCTCGCTGTTGCTCACTGGTGCTCACTGCACTCATCCCCTTACTCTCGCTCGCTCACTCGCTCTCTCTCTCTGCCTCCCTCTCTCTCTCTCTCTCTCTCTCTCTGTTTGGCCTGTCTTGGCACAGTGTGTAGTTTGGCTAGCTAGTGTGTTGCATACTTTGGCAGTTCATGCCGTCCACCACACTCCCCGAGGCATTCCCCCGCACGCTTCCACCATATACACCCACACTCCTCCGCACTCCTCCGCCACACTCCCCGTGGCAGCGGCCGATTATGGTGTAAACTTTAAACCCCCACCGAACTTTCCACCAGTGACTTTCTGCGAGCCTCAGATGTTTGGAAATGGAAGGGCAGCCAGAATGTCTGTGAATGCCTGTTCACTCGTCACTCCCCTGCTTAAAGAAGACATCAACAGTTACTTCCTGCGTAGGGTATAGGGCCGCAACATGGAGAATCACACACAAGCAACCACGGCCCCGGTTCGTTCCGCACCTGCGCGGCTTTTGCCTGTGCCGCGGCAGACTTGTCAGCCTCCGCTCGCACCGTTGAATACAAAAAGAAGGAATTCGTCCACACAGCGACAGTGGCATGACGTTGCCCCACCGAAGACCTAGGACCCGAAAAGTTCATGCTGAGGGTGGCACTGAGGTCTTCCCTTTGTTCGGCATGCTGCCCTAGCATCTGCTTGGCTTCCGAACAGTGCTAGTTACTGCTAGTTAGGAAGGAGGAAGCTCTCACACACTCCTTTTGCACTTTTGCTCTTCATTGGGTTCGCACAAGCTTCAGCAACATAGCAGGTCCCAGAGAGCATGCTCAACGTCTTCGTTGGCCTGCTTCTTCAAAGCCTTCAGCTGCTGCTCTGCTTCTGCGTAGCTCCGACTGGGATCGTCATCAGCTCGCCAAAGGAGCTTCAAGTCAGAAATCAATGTCAACGTCTCTGATTCCTGACCCCCCAGGCTCTCAAGGGCAATGACCAACAGAAACACCCACATTTGACGCTGAGGCTTTTCCAGTGTAAGTACAACGTTGTCAAGGTGGCGGGTGCACTGCGTTACCTGCATCAAGGCCGCTTGGCTGATTCCGGTGGAGTCTGCCAGCACGTGCCCCATCAGCGTCAACATGGCATCTGCAATCATTTGCCGCACAAACGGGAGGCCACCTTTACCGTAGTTAGCAACAATGTGGTGCGCAGAGCTCCTCACGGATGCATCCTCGTCGGCACAGTGCCGAAGCACGTCTCGGAGGTTTGGACAGACAATTTCGAAGGCATCGCTTTCTGCAAAATGGGTTTCTCTCGCTCTCGCCAGCCGCATACACCACCACCGGCCTGGGGCTTAACAGCAGACTCAATTCGCTGAACAGACCGTGTCGCTGTGGATCATGCTGATAAGTCAAGACGCAGTCATAGTACTTTATCTGCTCTGCGTCGTTTCCGCAGACGTCGGCATCGAAGGTTTCAGCGTGAAGATGAAGCAGACCAAGCTTGTTAGAATAATCGAGAATTTACTCGGACCTGCTCAGCGGGTCTCGTGATGCTTGCTTTCATGTTGTGATCTATCTGGCTGCTGACCATGCCGGGACCCGGTAGCGGCCTGTCCAACCTGCCCATTTCGGCAATGTGCCGTAGCAAAACCTAAGGTCGCGCAGATGAGCATCCAAGTCTTCCGAACGCATCTTCTCAGAACACTGCACATGGGCATCGGAGGAAAGAGCACATGCACAAAGCCCCCTGCCCTGGGACTTCGGGTCTGCCGCGATGTCACACGCCACTCCAGAATGTCATCCACCTTGAAGGGACTCATGGGGGCGATCATCTGGAAGATTCTCCCAACTACTGCGCGTGCATTACCCTTCATGGCGTAGCATCGCCAGCCACTGGCGTTTCAGGCAAGATGCGGTGAGGTACTCCAACAGGCTGGGCCTCGCGGCTTGCTCTCTAGCTGGACGTGCCCGGATTCTTTCGCGTGCGCGCGTGCTCCGATTATGCTAAAGGCCAAGTTGCAAGATGAGGCTTGAAGGGTCCAGACTCCCGGCATCCGTTGCCCGGCAAGCCATCCTCATCTGAGAGTCGTCGTTCGCGCACCTGGGCGAAGAAATACCGCAATACCTTTTGCGTGACAAGAGAAACCGTAGACATACCAAGACAATCCATCGTGAGCAAGCCCTTTAAGCTGCCCATGCGGCACCGCTAGCTAGTGAGCTTCAGACAAGCGTCTGCGTGCCTTGCAGCGATTCCGGATCCTCGTCCCCGCTCAACAGCCGGGCGCAGGCAAGCAAGGCAGAACTACAGGCCTCAGCTAGTCACTGGTGCCTGGCCTCCAAGATAGCCCGGTGCTGGGCCACGGTCATGTTCCGTCTGCGCCTCAGTTTTTGGGCTACCAGCCAAGCAAGCCCCAGCCTCCAGTAGCTCGTAATGCGAGCAGAGCATTGCCCTGGCTGAGGAGGTTGCAATTGCTCCGACCGAACAACTTTGCACGGAAGCTTCCTCGGTCGATGCGCCCCCAACGTCTGAAAAGTGTGAAATGCCCGACTGCCTCTCAGCTATGGGAAGACGCATGATCTTCTGGCTGCAGCGGAAGGCTCTTCGGCTCATCCTTGCTTGCATGCATCGGCGTCATGGGGAGAAGTGGATGCACCCACCTCAGGCCGAGCCGGTGGATTTAACTCATGTACGAACACTCCCATCTCCAGAATCAAGCGTTATCCCTGTTAATGTCTCAGAGAACGAGAATAGACATGAGCCGCACGGGATCAGGTTCCTGCTACTGGTCTGAGAGCTTTGCGTCCGGCTCATCACCGCAGCACGCGGCAATGACAAAGGTCGCTCCTCCTCGTCCTTGGAGTCCTCATTGTGAGGCAGGTTCGGCCAGGGGCAAACGAAGGAACCAGCAAATTGGCGACAGTGGGGGGGTTGCTCGTGGGGCCCTATTGGGCAGGACGCCCCTTGATTTCTTGGGCGTAGGATTCAGGCAGGCTTTGCGTGTATTCTGCAGCAAGTTCAGGAGTGCCGAGTAGAGTGGAGCCTTCAAGAGATTGATTGGGGTCGGAGACATGAGCCGTTCTAATCCCACAAACCTCTCTATCACCTTTGAGAGTAGCAGGCAGTAGGAGCTGACACAGGCCAAGGGTCGAGGCAGCGCATGGCTTGAGGGCTGAGAATGTCTTGGGACTGGGATGCGGTGGATGCCTCGCCGTCGCTGTCAAGAGCATCGAGGTCTGCATAGGTGGACAAGGAAGCGCAGTCCCAGCTGTAGCGCCTCAGCTGTGGGGCATGCGTGCTGAGATACTCGCTGTCATGGTCGGGCGCCATTCTTTGGCATGCGACTTTTTCAAACGCACGCGAACAGCGTGAACTCTCACGGACACAGCTGTATGCCGAGGCCACTGCCGGTCATGAACGGGCTTGTCGGGCGGTTTAACGGCTGGCACCTTAGGCGCAGGTCGCCGCAGCTTGGAGCTAAGGATGAAGGGATCTGGCTTCATGGATTTGGCGTAGCAACTACGCATCCCGTCTCCCACCAGAAAGTCGAAGCGCATGCCTCCCCAAACCCAGCAACTCCAAACGCATGCATGGTCGCCAGGCGAACTTCTACGTTCAGGTCTCAGGCTCTGGAATAACCACGGCAAAGTGCTACGTCTACACCCTTAGATCGCTCTTGGCCTACGTGGACTGTTGATTACATGGAAACCCGGCGCGTCATTCCCCCTAGCTTGGTTGTCATTGCCTCGTGGACGACACGGGCATAGTGCAGACGCGACAACATGTTTCAAGCACGGAGCTTGCAGATGCAAGCAGGAATGGTGGACAGAGCCACCGCGATGCCAACGGGAATAACGGGCCAAACAAGCAGCAACAAGCCGCTAGCACAGCTAGGTGCACGGCCGGCAAGTCATCTGGGCGCCAGCTTGCATCATGTCGCGCCACTGGCTGCGCAGGCGAAGCTGGGCTGCTTTCACCCGCCTCTGATGCAGCAGATATGCAGGCTGGCAGATAACAGGCATGAGTATGCGGCGAGAGGAGTGAGCCTGCACCTGCTCAGCTGCAGAACCACGCTCGTGTGCACCAACCGAGTCCATTGAGTCTCTGCTTTCTCGCTTCGTGCCAGTCCTTCCCAACCGAAGACATGCGGCAGCGGCAGTTGCAGCAAAAGCTTAAGCTGGCATATGCTGACATGCGAACCCGGCGTGCGGCCAAAGGGGCATCTCAGCCGAATGAACACACCTCATCTGGGAGGCAGATCATCTGGCAAAGTTTGCCGGATCTTTGCGGGCAAGTTGCATCATGTTGGAGCAGTGCTTGGTCTGAAAAAGCTGCTCCTCCTGGATGCGTAGCCTTAAGGGACGATGCCAGAGACAGGCAAACAAGCAATGACGAGCTAAGCATCAAGGCCGGCCCTACACCTGCCACACGATCGTGCTCCCAAACGCAACCTGTTCGTCAATCTAGTTGAGGCTTTATGCCGAGGATGGACTTAGGGCCACGACCCGAACCAACCGCGGTTGAGAAGCTTTTTGCTCAGCTTCTCGCTATCACGGCGAAGCTTCTGGCACCTGAGCTCCAATGGAACGTCTTGCCATGTTGCATATGTGTGTAACAGCTGGGTTTTGACACATGCTTTGTAAGCGTGCTAGAGTAAAGCTCGACGGAGCCCCGCCACTGGCCTCGAATCTCCTACCCAAGACGGCACTTGCATCAGGAAGCAAGGGCCAGGAATCAAACCAACTGCAAGCGAGAAGCTCTTTGCGTCGCTTCTCACTGCGAGTCCAAAGGGCTTCTGCTTTTCTTACCGCATACCGTGCTGTATGTATCTGTTTCTCACATCTGGAACATCCTGGAACGAAACCCTCCTGCATGCCGATTCACGCAGACTGTGTAAGCATGTCAGCGCACAGTTCGAAGACTTGGAAACGGAACCCCGCCTCACCACAGCTTCTGACCAAGATGCCACTTTCATCGCTAGCCAAGAGAAGGCCACGAATCGAACCGACTGCTGCTGAGAAGCACTGCGCCCAGTTTCTCGTTCTGAAAGTGGAGATTGATGCACCTCGGCACCGATTGAAAGCCTTGCCATGCCGCATCTAAATGCACCAAGTGTAACACATCCATCGTTGATCACCGTTGTCGAATATCGTGTACATCAGAGCACAGCTCGAAAACACGGAAAGACAACCGCGTCGCTTCTGACCAAGATGGCATCTTCATCGCTAACCGCTAACCTGACAACGGCTATGACTTGAACCAAGTCAAGTGCAGCAGAGAAACGCATTTTGTAGCATCTCGATCTCGGTCCACTGAGCATTGCTGTCACGGCGAGGGTTGCCGCACCTGAGGGTCGTGTTAACAACTGGAACGAAGCCGAACCCTGCGCATGTTGTGGTGAAGGTGCTAAAGTACAGCTCGGAGGCTCGTGAAGCAGCTGATCCTTCTCGGCGCTCAGCTTACAGACCTGCTCGATCAGAGACCTGCAGCAGCTACACCTGAGTCGCTCACACGAAGAGGATGCCACATGTAGCGGGCTGGGGTCCATTCTTTTCAGCTCAGTCTCTCCACGCACATAGTGCGTTTGCCAAGGCGCCGGGCATCATAAAGCATCGGTCCCCACGGAGCAGACTGGCAGAGCCTCGTCCCAGTTGCAACGCCGCTCCATGGCATCCGAGACATGCTGTCTGCAGTCAACTTCGCTGAAGGACGTTTGGGCAAGTTAAGGTCGGTTGAAACGGCCATGCCATGTGGAGCACAGAGTAGCGGTTTGTGAAAGTCTGAGTTACTGCTATGGTAGCTCGATCACGAGGACCTGGGCCACAGGAACAAATCCACAAGCAGCAAATCCGATCCCGTAAAAGCGTTCATGCTCCAAACGAAGCCCTTGGAAGGGGGTAGGTGCTCTTTGGTTTTGGTATCTCGGGTGATCGAAATAGGAAGCCTCAGAACCAATTGCACTCCCCGTGATCCTTAAACTCCAACCCCCTGGCTTTCCCTTCTCGCTTCCCCGTCTTCCCCCGTCAACAGCCCTCACTCAGAGCCATCATGAATCATGCTAGAAAGCGCGAGGCCGGCAACCACCAAAAGCCCAATTAAAGCCTCCACCTCTTGCAAGGAAGTACCCAAATGTGACGTGGACGTCTCCGACCACGTTTTCACGTAAAACATTTTCGGCAAACGAGCTACTGGTACTTCATAGGCTCGACACACCAACGCTGAGGCCGTGGCAACTTCGGGACCCAAGTTGGTATCCGCACAGCTAGGAACAGACCGGCTGCGAGAGATTCTGCGTCAAGCACTCTGAGCAAGAAGGGACACCCAGGCAAAGGATGCTGTAGTAGCCACGCTCAGTGTGTCTGTGCTACTTTTTCATGCGGCACCCACCATCACGAAAGCGGCTGCAAAACTCACTTGATGAATTGCATGCTACCTGCGGTGCATGACACAGCTGCTGACGTAAAGATGGCAACGGCAGGGAGCCTCGAGTTTTGGATACACAGGAAAAGGGAGGAGACCTCAGCTGTCGAGTCCACATTTCGGGCAGGGCATAGCCACATCAACCTGCAGATGAGGTCGAAGCTGCCAGGGCAATAAAAAGCGCCAACGACGAAGCGCTTCTGGTGCATAGGCGGGTGTGTGTGCTTAGCGTAGGGGCAACAGCGTAGGCGCATACGAGAGACATGGCCCTTCAGATCATGAACTTTGCCTGCGTCTGCTTGCTGCTCCAGGCTTCCGATCACTTCTGCGTCCTGCCGTGCAGGTAGCTTTGATGCCAATGAAACAAAACATCACCTGAGAGGGACAACACTCACTGACAACAATTTCGACCAAATTCATCGTAAGGCTGCACAGAAAGCCCAATCAAGTCCTCTCAAGGATGCACACATAGCTCATTTCGAACCGCTTTCCGATGGCCAGCAACTCCAGCAGGCTTCCCGTTCCTCTGTCGGCTTGGAAGGTGCTGTAAGCAGAGCCTTCTTCGAAACTCTGAGAACTCAGCGAAACTGAAGACAGAGTCTCTTCGGCGAAATCTGCTGTACCTTCGCTGTGGTGAGTTGTTCTGCATCACAGTCTAGGCTAGGATGACGATCATGCCACAAGGCCTGACGAATCGTGGCATATGCATCCAAAACATGATGGTGCCTTCAGACTCAGGGCGGAGTTCTCAAGGAAATTCTGAGTGCTGTGCAGCATCCCGACCATCACAGAGTGCGACGATGAGACACACTGTCAGCCCGTTGCGAATCTTGACAACGCCCGCGAGCCTTGGAAGTGCCTGTTTGCAGTGACGGCTTTTAGCATTTGTGCTGAAGGTCATGCACCGTGCCAGAAACTTGTCAACCAGGCCACTGACCGCTGCCCTTCCACCCACTGACGCAAGTACTCAGGGAAATAGGTTGACCTCAGCGCAAATCATGCGATTGCACCACTGTGTGCCATCTCAGCAACTGAGGATGACACCACCGAGACCGAATCTGAGGATTGGTCAGGACCTTTCTTTGTGCGGCGTATTACCCAATCACAATATGCTGCGAAGGCCTGCTTGTGCCTCACGTTTGCGCTGCACTCCACGGCAAGACTTGGAATTTCGGCAGTGTCGCGGGGATGGATCCGGAAACTGCCCGAAAGCTACTGCAACATGATGTCTCGGCTTCTCGCGTGCCACCGACGGATAGCATAACGACATTCGCTGCAATGAAGCTTCAATACCTTTCCACTGCTTGGAAAGAAAGTGTACCGATCTGTCGCGTTGCAGCGTCAGCATGCGTACACCACGGTTGTGATAAAATCGTCGGTCCTGCCAAGCAAACGAGCGAAACACATGGCCACATGACAAACACTACAATCAGGTCCTGCGTCTGAGGGCCCCAGGGCAGAAGATCTGCCCCAACACCGATGCCTGTTCAGACGATGGGTGGGGTGGTAAGAACATCGCCCATCCCACCGAGGCCGCGTCCTTCGGACACAGCGGTCAGACTGCTGGATCCCATTTTCGATAGCTTGCTACCTGCAAACACGTTCCGGATTATGCTGGATTTGGGCTGCAGGTGGTCAAACTGACACAATTCAAGACATGAGGCTCTGACGCAATGCTGAGGCGACCAGACTTGCCATGCCGGCGTGTTCACCGAAGGCCAACTTATCGTTCGTCGGCTGAAAGCTTTGCCAGTGTCCCCACACCGTGTCGAACAAACTCTATCACAACTGCTTGGACTAAAGTTGCTCCGAGCCAAACTCTAACCAACAGTTTGAAGCGTCTCAATTTAAGCCCGAGGGTTCGGGCTCCAGGTTTTGAGCTTTTAGTTGAAAAAGAGTCAAGGTCAAGGTACAGCAAAGGCAATGATTCAAGCGTTTCGTTGAGGGTAGCGGAGTCCGAGCTGAACATGGCCCGGATTGCACTTTGCAGCTACACCCGGGGCCCCACCGTGCAGATACACCCCAAGAAAGTTCAACAACAGGACTCAGTTTTGGGCTATGGCCTCTCTAACGTACAAATTGGGCAATGGCCGCAGACAGTCAGGCCTCAGGCGGTTTTTGACAGTATAAGGATGCAAGCCAGAAAGAACTGCGTAGCCTTCTTGTGAATTTTCGTGGGGGCTAGCTCGCCCGCGGGAATGCCGCGCACAGATGAAGGTGCCACAGCCCTGAAGCGGGTGGCTAGAGGCAGGAGCAACACAAGCATGATCATGCCCGACGCTACCAGAGATGCCACCGCCATTTTCCACCATTGGCCTGCGCATTGCTGACGAAACTCCCATAGCATCACTCGTCACACCGTGTCGTCCAAACCTCGGGTTCACGGGCAGACGCCGGGCTGGGGCGATCTACATGGGTATCCGCACCGCTAGGAACAGACCGGCTGCAAGAGAGTCGTTCGTCGGCTGAGACCAGTGTCCCCGCACCGTGTCGAAAAAACTTTAGCAAAACTGCTTGGACGGAAGTTGCTCCGAGCCAAACTCAAACCAATCGTTTGAAGTGTCGTGTCGAGTTTTTGGGCATGGGCCTGATTTTAAGCCTGAGGGATCGGGCTTCTGGCTTTGTGGCTGTAGCTGGACAGGATTCTGGGAAACGGGTCGTACAACGAGGCTCGCACAATACTCGGAGCTTTTTACTCTCATCAGAAGTGCCTCGTTCAGCGGTGGCGGTGGTCAGCCAACTTAGCGCAAATTCCGCGGCAAAGGTGAGCAAGAGGCCAAGGAAGCTCCACACCGAGGTTCAGACCGTTGCTAAGCTTTCCAGCGCAATCCGCATGGGAAGTGACCTCAGTCTCCCTCTCCGTTTCTGTCTCGTTGTCTTTCTCTGTCTCTATCAACGTCTCTGCTCGCTCGCTGTGCTCACTGGTGCTCACTGGTGCTCACTGCACTCATCCCCTTGGTCTCGCTCGCTCTCTCTCTCTCTCTCTCTCTCTCTTCTCTCTCTCTCTCTCTCTCTCTCTCTCTCTCTCTCTCTCTGTTTGGCCTGTCTTGGCACAGTGTGTAGTTTGGCTAGCTGGTGTGTTGCATACTTTGGCAGTTCATGCCGTCTGCCACACTCCCCAAGGAATTCCCTCGCACTCTTCCACCATCTACTCCTCCGCACTCCTCCACCACACTCCCGTGGCAGCGGCCGATTATGGTGTAAACTTTAAACCCCCACCAAGCTTTCCACCACTGACTTTCTGCGAGCCTCAGATGTTTGGAAATGGAAGGGCAGCCAGAATGTCTGTGAATGCCTGTTCACTCTTCACTCCCCTCTCTGCCCCACACTCCTTCCACCACACTCCTCCTCATGCCCCTTCATAGCGGCCACAAAAAGTGTCAACCCCCGCCCCGCTGTCCACCAGGGACTTTTGCAAGCCTGAGAAGTTTGGAGAGTTTACCGCTCGCGTTCCGGGTTGAAAGGGCGGGCAGTGAGTAAGGTGCAAGGGAGTGGGAGTGTCTGTGCGCTCGAAGAAGCCAGTTCTCGAGTTCGCTTGTACTTGCTCCCAACTATCTGCCGAACTTGTCCATGGCTTGTTTGCACAGTTGTTGTTGTAGCCCTCTGTTTGCGGGCCGGCTCTCGTGCAACACTCCTGTCAGAATCATGTTTGCACACCTTCGTGCCGCAGATCCACAGGAAGTTGAGCTGACATCTTTCAAGCTCTTGGAAGTGCACTGACTGTTGTCCTATTCGTCGTTTACCAGAGGGACGGAAGGAAAAGCTATGCGTGGCACCAAATTTGCTGCATCTGAGATCCATCCCCCCAAACAACCCAGAAACTGTTTTCATGTGATCGCATGTTTGCGCGCAACTACCCTGGGGCCTCTTCCCTTCGGTCCACCAGAAGGAAAAAGAGATAAAGGGAGAGATTAGAGAGAGGGACCAAGAGAACACATTAGCATCGTCGTCGTCGTCCTCAATATGATCGGTGCCATTCTTGCATGCCTGTTCACTCTCCAGCCCTCTGTCGTTCACTTGCTCTCGTGCGAACCCTAGTTCCCGCAGTCCACCCTCTCCTTTCTCCTTGCTTCTCCTACTGCCACGCCGACGTGCTGAAGGACCCGTTCCACCCTCAGACTGCGGCGGGTCATTGCGCTCTTGCTCTTCCCTGACAAAGCACTGAGGCGGGACCAGCTGTCATGCGCTGTGGACTTACCACCAGCAGCCGTAGCTGTCATCACCGCTGCCCACGACGTAGGGCCCACACTTCAGCATCTCTTTCAGTTTGTGGATTTCCTGCGGACAGAGACAGAGAGCAAGAGGAAGAACCAGCCCAGGAATCCACAGAAGCGTGAGCAGCACCACAGCCCTGCACCAAGTGCAGACCACACAAGCACTCACTCCGTCCTGGCGGAGCTCGTCCCGATCCACCTTACAGCAGCATTGTATAAACTCTTTGTTGGGATTGAAAAGATGAAAACTTCTGCAACTGAACCCTGCAGCCTGAAGCTTCTCGTTGGCGATATGGCACATTTCAAGCTGGTCACTGATGCTGGTGTAGGTCTCCTGGAGCCGCCAGGCTGGCAAGTCTCTGAGTCCCGTGTACCTTTTCCCACAACCGTGCACGCCTGAAGGGCCTCAATGCGTTCTTTCAGTTGGCTTCCGACACCTGGGCGAAGGATTCGTAGGTCTCCGTATCTTGAAGAATGCCTTGCAATTCGCCAAGCGCCCGGCGAACCTCTTCTGCAAGCTGGGCCTAGACGGCAGCGGCCCAGTGCACGACCAAGCTCCAAGCATTCCCCGCACCGCACTGAGCGGACACCACGGACACCTCCATCTTCTTCTGAATCTCCTCCGTTTGCCGCTCCATCTCGGCAATCATCTTCTCTTGCCTCCACAATCGGACTCAGGGCTCAGAACCCTCAGAACCAATCAGGGAGCTGCTGGCTGCACTCAAGCGACTTCGCCTTTTTTTGTGCTTCGAGGGCTTTTTCGAGTCGAGCTCCGCCTGACAACCGCGCCACTACACTGAAAGCAAATCGAATCGTGTCTCGGGTACCCTCTTGCGCAAGCTGGGCCTAGACGGCAGCGGCCCAGTGCACGACCAGGCTCCAAGCATTCCCCGCACCGCACTCGCGGGCACTCTCCAGCATCCACACACGACAGCCAGAGCCCGCCTTTGCATCTTCTGCGGCCTGCTTTGCCTGGTCACAGTGCAGGATAATTTGCGAACTTTGCAATAGCGTGCATCTGCATGTGTACACAAGTATGTGTTTGTCTACATACATACCCACATTCATCAAGCCAGCCGGGAATCCGTCCATGCATGCAACAACAAAAACAGAGACATCTTCATATCTATCTCTGTTCTTTGTTTACCTGTCTCTTTCTATCCATCTGCTTGTGGATACGAAGCGATTTGCAATCTCACTGCCAGATGGGTAGGAGCAGGCCGGAACCCTTCGGTCCCTAAGTTCAGGGTGCAATGGGGTCGGAAACGTCGGGTGAGCCGGTTTAAGGTTAGGAGTTAAAAATGTAGGGGTTAGGATTTTAAGTTTGGGCAACGGGAAGCGAAAACAAGGAGGGAATGCAGCATTCCTTTCAGCGATGCAGCAAAATACGCTGCAAGGACTGGAGGCAGACTGAGGTGAATCAAGAATAAGACCCACCCCTGGTTCTACTCAATTGAAGAGTACGGAATGGGCCAAACAACATCGCCCCAACTCCCAAGCAGCAAAGTCGCCCGTCCGAACTGGGTTGCACGCGACTCTTGGTTCTCCTGTGGTTTTTTGCTGTTCCCAAACAATATTTTTGCCAGCATTAGTAGCATATCAGCTTCCTGCACGCATATCGTCCCGTCATTGCTACTTACGTTCTTCGGTAGGGAAAACGGCGAGTCACAACACAATGTCCTCCTCAGCCTTTTTTGTGTCCAGCCCTACCAGGCAAAAAAACTGCAAGCTTGGTTTCGAGCTTTGGAAAAGATGCCGACTCAAGCAGGACCCAACATCCAAGCAAATTGAGCCAAAAAGTTTGAGCCAGAAGGAGGGGGTATGTAGGGTTTGTGTCTAGGGTGTAGGCTTGAAGATTGCGGGTTTAGGAACAGTTTGAGCCAGAAGGGTACGTAGGGTTTCAGTCGAAGCTGCGAGTTTGGTTTCGAGCTTTGGAAAAGATGCCGACTCAAGCAGGGCCCAACATCCAAGCAGATTGAGCCAAAGAGTTTGAGCCAGAAGAGGGATGTAGGGTTTAGGGTGAAGGGTTGAAGGAGCCAGAACGGTATGTCGGGTTTAGGGTGTCCACACATGAAGGGCCCAGCCCTCCCAACCCTCCCAGCCCTCCCAGTCCCAGCCCTCCCAACCCTCCCAGCTCCACACAAAGCCCCAGCCCTCAGCCCTCGCAACTCCAGCCCTACCAGCCCTCCCAGAGCCCTCAGAGCCCTCCCAGCCCTCCGGTCCAGCAGGACGACCTTGAATTTGCAGGCTGGAAAACTCTGTGCCTGTATTTTGCAGGCTGGAAAGCCGTGTGTCTGTATTTTGGGCAGAAAATCAATCCACAGATAAATAAACAATTCTCACAAGCGTGTGTGTCCTTATTTTCATCCAAATCTAGATCTACGGCACCTGCACGGTCCTTTTAGCCATTTTGTGCCAAAACTCACTTGGGAAGGCACCGAACCGCGCCCGAACCGCGCCCGAACCACACCCGAACCACGCCCGAACCGCGCCCGAACCGCGCCCGAACCGCGCCGGAACCGCGCCCGAACCGCGCCCGAACCGCGCTGAGCCCGAACCACGCCCGAACCGCGCCCGAACCACGCCCGAACCGCGCCCGAGCCACGCCCGAACCATACCGAAACCAGAACATGTGATTCCTCCCCGAAAAAATAGACGGATCAGCGGCAAAACAAAAAACAAAAAAAACACAAAAATAGCAGAAGAAAGAAACAAATAAGGAGGGTCCTGAATGAATCAGCATCCGTTCCCAAAGCAAGAAACCAAACTCGCAGCTTCGAACTAAACCCTACATCCCCTTCTGGCTCAAACTCTTCCTAAACCCTTCACCTTCAATACTACACTCTAAACAGATACAGTCACGCAGCGCAGAATTCGTGCATCGTTCAATGTGGTTTCCCACGAAAAACAAGACCAAACAACGACGCTTTGCAACCCACCACTGTAGAGCTGCGCAAGTGGAGTCTGTCTAAAGCTTCTGTTTGATTACCAGAACGAACAAGCCGAAGTCAAGCTGCTAAGACTGTTTGGGTAGGAAAAGGTGACGATTCGACGCTGGAAGAAATCCGCTAAAAATTGAAAATGCACCTGTTTCCACTCCAAGCAACCAAGCCATCACTTTTGCAAGCAGGCAAGCACAGAACCAGAACAGGGCTGTTCAAACTCAACTACAGTCAGCCTTGCACGCTGGACCTCCAAACAGCAAACATCAAGGCTGTCGCAAGGTCCGTGCAAGCCATCTATCGGATCGGCCTTACATGTCCAAGGAAGCAGCTTTGAGGTCCCAACATTCAAAGGGAAACCATGCGACAGAAGACATGCCGGGACCAACTCAATACAGGCTCTTTGCTACTCTCCAAAATACAACAATCATGTAGTTTGAATTGTTTTTGAAACCAAAAAGCGAAACACCTTGAACTTAAGGTTTCAGCGGGTTTGCATCTCGAAGAAAGAGGAAACGGTATGTCGTTTCAAGTTCATTTCTGATTGAGTGTCACACTCAGTCTTGACTGTAGACGGCGGCTAGCTAGTGGTACTCGTCTCTGCCAGTCCAACTTCCGGGTTTTGTGGCTTCTGGCTTGCGAAAAGTCGTACATGGGAATCCCATCCTCAGCTGCCTTCCTGGCAGCATCGGCTTCTGCCTGCGCCTCCCGAGCAGCTTTCTTGGCAGCATCGGCCTTCGCAAGACGGAAGGAGATGAAACTTTGAAGCACTGAAAGTTTGGAACTTTGAAGCACCCTGGGTGATCTGGAGGGGTCCACCTCGGACGCCTGCTTCTCAGTCAAGTTCCTGCCAGAGTCGAGGTAGTCCCTCTTCACGCACCATCAGTTTTGAAAATGCTAACACACCCGCAGGAACGTCTTGGCAAGCCTCATTTCGAGGAGCGCTTGCTTTGCCTGGAAGAGATGTCTTCACACGGCAAAGGACGACGACAAGGACTCCTCGCCTCTTCTGCTTGTCGCCGCGCGGCCATGGCTTCCTTCCGAGAAAGGAACGAAAGAGGGGCAATTCCGTGCGAGGAAAAGCAACCGGAAGGCAACAGGACAGCTATTATTATGGGAAGGCAGTTAGGTGCGGCATCAGTCGCCGTGGTGGTGACAAACGTAGTAGGAGTAGTAGTAGTAGTAGTAGTAGTAGTAGTAGCAGCAGCAGCAGCAGCAGTAGTAGTAGTAGTAGTAGTAGAGCAGTAGTCGTAGTGGTCGTAATAGTCGTTGTAGTCGTAGTAGGAGTAGTAGCAGTGTTGGTGTTTATGCCAGGTGCTGATTCGATGTGTTCCCCTCTCGGTGTGCGAATGCGGGCTCTGCGTTGAACTGAAAGTAATTGAAACTTGTCTCAATGAAGCTGTGTAACTTTCCAGCATAGGCGACTGTAGAAACGAACTCATGCAGGTGATCATCAGAACTTGCGAAAAGTAACGTTGTCATCTGCATAGACAATGTCTGCTAAATCCCCTTTTTCGTGTGCGACTGCAAATTTGCTGCATCAAGATTGGAAACGAAATCCTGCATGCAGACTGTCATTGTCACTGTCACGATGAAGAACAATGGGCTCAGAGTGCAGCCCTGTGAAATGAAAGATTTCTGGGGCCGTGCGGTAGAAGTGCGTCCTCGGTCAGTTACGTAACAGCTTCGGTGATGCTTCATGGCCCAGCGATCTGGAATACTGAAACGACGTAACGCATCGAGGAGGTTGTCAATGATTATGCTGTCGAAAGCTTTTTCCAGTCGAGTGCCCCAGAGCCACGAAAGTTGCATCTTCGGTACAATATCGCTTTCGAAAACCGAACTGAGACTTCCACAATCTGCCGTCCACGACAGCATCCAGAGAACGTCCCCTTTTCAGCGATGTGAACAGCTTGTAAGCGATGATGCTCTGAAGACATATGGGGCGGTAAGTGTTGGCATCAGCAGGGTCGCCCTTTTTGAAACGAAGCTGTCGACCATTCATCAGGAATAGTTCTGTTTCGCCAACAATACTACGAGTAAAGATCGAAAAGCCACTGCAAATGGAATCCGGTTCCGTCGAGAGAGGTTTGAAGATTTCAACGGGAATGTCCCCATCCTTCGTGGCTTTCCCATTGGATATCTTTCCGAGAACCGTTCGGAGCTCCGCAAAACTAAAATCATCCACATTCACTGGCAGAGAAGGACCCAAGGGGGCACCAATACCAACGGTCAAGGTAGCCGGTCGAGCTTTCCACTGAATTCGCTCTAAGCAGTGTGCGAGGGTTCCCGCCCTTGGTTCCGATGAAACCGAATGACCATCCGCTGATACACGAGGGCGAAACTAGTTCTGGTTTGTCCAACTTTTCGCTCTTCTATATGCAGTCCTGTATATATTTCACAACATCTCAGGCAAAGCTTAGTTGAAATAGTTCAGAGTAGCGTCGTGCTCATGTACCTGAAGCACTGAAGTCTGCGACAAGAAAAGTCATCGAAGTCCTCCATTGCGGCAGCCTTGGCAGCCTGGCTCCAGATTTCTACTCAGGATTAGGTCTTGGCTTATCGCCCTCACAAGATCAGAGGAACGGAATGCAATGGGTACACTGCTGTCCCAGCTCTGAGCTCACAAGCGCTTGGCAGGCCTTTGCATCTTCTGCGACCTGCTTTGCCTTGAGTGCCTCCTTTTCATCCCTGCTGGCCTTTGCAAAAGCGGGCCAACGACTGGTCACAGTGCAGGATTGTTTGTGCATCTGCATGTGCACACAGGTATGTGTTTGTCTGCGTACATACCCACATCCATCCATCCAGCCGGGAATCCGTCCATGCGTGCAACAAGAACAGGGACATCCTCATATCTATCTCTGTTCTTTGTTTACCTGTCTCTTTCTATCCATCTGCTTGTGGATACGAAGCAATTTGCAATCTCACTGCCAGATAGGTAGGAGCAGTCTCGAAGAAAGAGGAAACGGTATGTCGTTTCAAGTTCAGTTCTGATTGAGTGTCACCCTCAGTCTTGACTGTAGACGGCGGCTAGCTAGTGGTACTCGTCTCTGCCAGTCCAACTTCCGGGTTTTGTGGCTTCTGGCTTGCGAAAAGTCGTACATGGGTATCCCAGGGTCACTGCCCACCTGCTCCTCAGCTGCCTTCCTGGCAGCATCGGCTTTCGCGATCGCTTCCTTTTTGTCGGCCTGAGCATACAAAGCGGGCAACTTCATGCGTTTTGTGTACTTCTGGAGTGCACGCGACCAACATTGCTGCCTGTCTTTGCAAATTGACCACAGTGACCCAATCATTTGCCTATTAAAGAATACCGCCTCGGCTTTCTTCTTGTCGAACGCGGCGTGACGATTAAGAAATTAAATTAAAATCTTCACAGAAACGTGCTCGAGCAGCAGTGTGCACATGTGAGCTGGCGCTCACTACCTGGCTCCAGATATCTAGTCAGGATTAGGATTTGGATTTTCACACTCACAAGCTCAGAGGAACTGCAAGTTGATGCATCGGGCATCGTATGTGCACTGCTGTCCACAGGTTTCACAACCCACAAGCGGTTGGCAGACCTCTGCGTCCTTCATCCTCTGCTGCGCAGCTGCTATGGCCTCGAAGCAATTGGGAACAAGGAGCTATTACTTTCTCCGTCAACGCATCCGTCAAACCTCATCAACAGCTCTGAGCGCGCCCTGGGCGTCCTCGACTGCTTTCCTTGGCTAGAACAGCAGCGGCAAGCTTGCCGAGCTCCCAGGTGCCATTTTACACTGCAGGAGCCCCGCTGACTTAAGGCTCTTGGTTTGGCGATGGTGTGCATATGCGAGCTTCTTCGCAGCCGCGGCTGCATCATTGGCATCCTTTCCGGCCTTTGCACAACGGGCCGACGACTGGTCACATTGCAGGCGAATCTGCGATCTTTGCATTGGCGTGCATCTGCGTGTGCACACAGGTATGTGTCGGCTTCTACATACATACCTACATCCATCCGTCCATCCAGCCAGCTATCCATCCATGCATGCAACATATACACAAACATCTACGTCTCTTTCTATCGATCTGCTTGTGGATACGAAGCAATTTGCAATCTCACTGCCAGATAGGTAGAGCAGTCTCGAAGAAAGAGGAAACGGTATGTCGTTTCAAGTTCTAGTTCTGATTGAGTGTCACACTCAGTCTTGACAGTAGACGGTAGCCTTCAATTAACGAGTGACATACTGGAGTCAGCCCTCACCGAATCCATACCTCACGCACTACTTCGATCACACCGACCTCGGGCTTCGATTCCTTTGGCTTCTCCTGCTTCTCCTCCTCTGCTTTGGCCTAGCAACGGGGTTCACGCCGGTGGGCATCTCATGAAGCATGACCGTTCTCAGCCAAGGTGGAGAGGAAATTTGCCTCCGGTTTCTGCTCTTTCTTGGACTCAGCACTCTCCTGAATGCTTGGGGTATGGATCGGAAGACACAAATGACAAGTGAGATGCAGGACAGTTCGATCTCGGAGTCCTTTTTCTGTTCCTGCTGTGCTCGCGGACCGTGGGAGGTATTCTGACGCAAGGAGATGAAGACGGTTCAGCCAGCAGCGATTAGGCAGCCTTCTCCTAGACTTCTACGAGCCGTTCTTCCCTCCTTGTGCTACAGCTTTAATTCTTCTGATGCTCGGTGCACCTGTCCGCCGTCGAGATAAAGAGGAAGATATTACTTGCTAAGTCTCTATGTGTTTGTATGTAGCAATTATGCATGCGGACAGGATGGGCTTGGATCCCCCACCTGTCCCCTAAGCTATGCGACGCTGCAACAGCGATCCATGAGTTCGTCTGCTGCCTCAACACTGATACTACAACTCCTTTGAAGCGTGCAGTCAACAGCACCAGGACAACTCATGGCGGCACAGTTCCGACTCTGTGGGCACTCTGGTCCTTCTACCATCTACTGCACACATGCGATAACGGTATTCTGTCCTGCTTGTCTTCCTTCTTCTCAGCATCTTTCTCTACCTTGGCTTCATCCTTAGGCTTGTCGCCGGCGGCCGTCTCCTTCCAATCTATGCCGCCACGGCTAAGGGATAGCAGGCCTAAAAAGCACAGTTCTCTAATACTGGCTCTAGAACTAGTAGCAGCAAGCTCGCCGTTCTCCTCGTCATTTACCTTGGTCTTGCAGGAGTAGGAGGAGTAGCAGTAGAAGAGTAGGAGTAGTGGGAGGTGGAACAGGCCTAGGGTTTAGGTTCAGGGTTTGCGCTTTGACAACCACCTTGGCTCGTGATGCAATGTAGCTTGAGGTACCTCTGAACGGGGTTAAAGACTCCACGCATCCCGTGGAAACTCCCCGAGTCTGGCAAACTAATGGTCCTCTGCCCACAGCAACTTTTGCGAAAGCCATCAGAAATGCAGATGATCCTAAGCAATCGGACACAACGAACACCTGCAAAGAACCAACGATCGTCCTTTCTAGCTTCTGACCCCTTCCAAATTCTACTCCGTTCAACCCAAAACCCCAGTTCAGGCCCAGGCCCATGGCCTCCTTGACGGCATTTGGAGCCTAGCAGCGAGCACTGTTCGGAAGCTAAGTAGATAGGGAGGAAGGTGGAAGCTCTCACACAGACACACACCTTTTGTTCACGCATTGTTTCGGACAAACTTCAGCAGCATAGCAGGTCCCAGAGAGCAACCCGAACATCTTTGTTGGCTTGCTTCTTCAAAGCCTTCAGCTGCTGCTCCGCTTCTGCGTAGGTCCGACTGGGATCGTCATCAGCTCGCCAAAGGAGCTTCAAGTCGGAAATCAATGTCAACATCGACTCTCGGTGTGATTCCTGACTCCGAAGGCTCTCAAGGGCTTTGACCAGCAGGGACACCCACTTTTGACGCTGAGGCTTCGCCAGTGCACGTACAACCTTGTCAAGGTGGCGGGTGCACTGCATTACCTGCATCAAGGCCGCTTGGCTGATTCCAGTGGAGTCTGCCAGCACGTGCCCCATCAGCGTCAACATGGCATCTGCAATCATTTGCCGCACAAACGGGAGGCCACCTTTACCATAGATACGAACAACATGGTGCGCAGAGCTCCGCACGGATGCATCCTCGTCGGCACAGTGCCGAAGCAGGTCTCGGAGGTTTGGACAGACAATTTCGAAGGCATCGCTTTCTGCAAAATGGGTTTCTCTCGCTCTCGCCAGCCGCATGCACCACCACTGACCTGGGGCCAAAAACAGCAGACTAAATTCCCTGAACAGACCGTGTCGCTGTGGATCATGCTGATAAGTCAAGACGCAGTCATAGTACTTTATCTGCTCTGGGTCGTTTCTGCAGACGTCGGCATCGAAGGTATCGCCGTGAACACAAGCGAGTCCAAACTTTGTAGAAAAATCGACAATTGACTCGGACCTGCTCAGCCGGTCTCGTGATGCTTGCTTTCATGTTGTGATCTATCTGGCTGCTGACCATGCCGGGACCCGGTAGCGGCCTGTCCAACCTGCCCATTTCGGCAATGTGCCGTAGCAAAACCTAAGGTCGCGCAGATGAGCATCCAAGTCTTCCCAACGCATCTTCTCAGAATACTGCACGTGGGTATTGGAGGAAAGAGCACATGCACAAAGCCCCCTGCCCTGGGACTTCGGGTCTGCCGCGATGTTACACGCCACTCCAGAATGTCATCCACCTTGAAGGGACTCATACAGGCGATCATCTGGAAGATTCTCCCAACTACTGCGCGTGCATTGCCATTCATGGCGTAGCATCGCCAGCCACTGGCGTTTCAGGCAAGATGCGGTGAGGTACTCCAACAGGCTGGGCCTTGCGGCTTGCTCTCTAGCTGGACTTGCCCGGATTCTTTCGCGTGCTCCCGTGCTCCGATTTTGCTAAAGGCCAAGTTGCAAGATGAGGCATGAAGGGTCCAGACTCCCGGCATCCGTTGCCCGGCAAGCCATCCTCATCTGAGAGTCGTCCTTCGCACACCTGGGCTAAGAAATACCGCAATACCTTTTGCGTGACAAGAGAAACCGTAGACATACCAAGACAATCAATCGTGAGCAAGCCCTTTGAGCTGCCCATGCGGCACCGCTAGTGAGCTTCAGACAAGCGTCTGTGTGCCTTGCAGCGATTCCGGATCCTCGTCCCCGCTCATCTCCTACAGCCGGGCGCAGGCAAGCAAGGCAGAACTGCAGGCCTCAGCTAGTGACTAGTGCCTGGCCTGCAAGATGGCCAGGTGCTGGGCCAAGGTCATGTTCCGTGTGCGCCTCAGTTTTTGGGCTACCAGCCAAGCAAGCCCCAGTCTCCAAAAGCTCGTAATGCGTGCATAGCATTGCCCTGGCTGAGGAGGTTGCAATTGCTCCGACCGAACAACTTTGCGCGGAAGCTTCCTCGGTCGATGCGCCCCCAACGTCTGAAAAGTGTGAAATGCCCGATTGCCTCTCAGCTATGGGAAGACGCATGATCTTCTGCAGCGGAAGGCTCTTCGGCTCATCCTTGCTTGCATGCATCGGCGTCATGGGGAGAAGTGGATGCACCCACCTCAGGCCGAGCCGGTGGATTTAACTCATGTACGAACACTCCCATCTCCAGAATCAAGCGTTATCCCTGTTAATGTCTCAGAGAGCGAGAATAGACATGAGCCGCACGGGATCAGGTTCCTGCTACTGGTCTGAGAGCTTTGCGTCCGGCTCATCACCGCTGCGCGCGGCAATGACAGAGGTCGCTCCTCGTCGTCCTTGGAGTCCTCATTGTGAGACAGGTTCGGCCAGGGGCAAAGGAAGGAACCAGCAAATTGGCGACAGTGCGAGTGGGGGGGTCATTGGGCAGGACGCCCCCCTTGTGTTCTTGGGCGTAGGATTCAGGCAGGCTTTGCGTGTATTCTGCAGCAAGTTCAGGAGTGCTGAGTAGAGTGGAGCCTTCAAGAGATTGATTGGGGTCGGAGACATGAGCCGTTCTAATCCCACAAACCTCTCTGCCACCTTTGAGAGTAGCAGGCAGTAGGAGCTGACACAGGCCAAGGGTCGAGGCAGCGCATGGCTTGAGGGCTGGGAATGTCTTGGGACTGGGATGCGGTGGATGCCTCGCCGTCGCTGTCAAGAGCATCGGGGTCTGCATAGGTGGACAAGGAAGCGCAGTCCCAGCTGTAGCGCCTCAGCTGTGGGGCATGGGTGCTGAGATACTCGCTGTAATGGTCGGGCGCCATTCTTTGGCATGCGACTTCTTCAAACGCCCACAAACAGCGTGAACTCTCGCGGACAGAGCTGTATGCCGAGGCCACTGCCGGTCATGAACGGGCTTGTCGGGCGGTTTAACGGCTGGCGCCTTAGGCGCAGGACGCCGCAACCGCCGCAACTTGGAGCTGAGGATGAGGGGATCTGGCTTCATGGATTTGGCGTAGCAACTACGCATCCCGCCTCCCAACAGAAAGTCGAAGTGCATGCCTCGCCAAACCCAGCAACTCCAAACCCATGCATGGTCGCCAGGCGAACTTCTACGTTCAGGTCTCAGGCTCTTGAATAACCACGGCAAAGTGCTACATCTACACCCTTGGATTGCTCTTGGCCTACGTGGACTGCTGATTATATGGAAACCCGGCGCGTCATTCCCCCTAGCTTGGTTGTCATTGCCTCGTGGACGACACGGGCATAGTGCAGACGCGACAACATGTTTCAAGCACGGAGCTTGCAGATGCAAGCAGGAATGGTGGACAGAGCCACCGCGATGCCAACGGGAATAACGGGCCAAACAAGCAGCAACAAGCCGCTAGCACAGCTAGGTGCACGGCCGGCAAGTCATCTGGTCGCCAGCTTGCATCATGTCGCGCCACTGGCTGCGCAGGCGAAGCTGGGCTGCTTTCACCCGCCTCTGATGCAGCAGATATGCAGGCTGGCAGATAACAGGCATGAGTATGCGGCGAGAGGAGTGAGCCTGCACCTGCTCAGCTGCAGAACCACGCTCGTGTGCACCAACCGAGTCCATTGAGTCTCTGCTTTCTCGCTTCGTGCCAGTCCTTCCCAACCGAAGACATGCGGCAGCGGCAGTTGCAGCAAAAGCTTAAGCTGGCATATGCTGGCATGCGAACCCGGCGTGCGGCCAAAGGGGCATCTCAGCCAGACTCGAATTGCCCTCATGAACTTCGACCATGTCGGCCCGGAGCGCTCCAGGCGAATGAACACACCTCATCTGGGAGGCAGATAGCCCGGCAGATCATCTGGCAAAGTTTGCCGGATCTTTGCGGGCAAGTTGCATCATGTTGGAGCAGTGCTTGGTCTGAAAAAGCTGCTCCTCCTGGATGCGTGGCCTTAAGGGACGATGCCAGAGACAGGCAAACAAGCAATGACAAGCTAAGCATCAAGGCCGGCCCTACACCTGCCACACGATCGTGCTCCCAAACGCAACCTGTTCGTCAATCTAGTTGAGGCTTTATGCCGAGGATGGACTTTGTGCCGCGGGCCCAGCAAGGGCCACGACCCGAACCAACCGCAGTTGAGAAGCTTTTTGCTCAGCTTCTCGCTATCACGGCGAAGCTTCTGGCACCTGAGCTCCAATGGAACGTCTTGCCATGTTGCATATGTCTGTAACAGCTGGGTTTTGACACATGCTTTGTAGGCGTGCTAGAGTAAAGCTCGACGGAGCCCCGCCACTGGCCTCGAATCTCCTACCCAAGACGGCACTTGCATCAGGAAGCAAGGGCCAGGAATCAAACCAACTGCAGGCGAGAAGCTCTTTGCGTCGCTTCTCACTGCGAGTCCAAAGGGCATGGTTTTGAAAAGAAAGATTGCTGCACCTGGGCTCTTCTGCTTTTCTTACCGCATACCGCGCTGTATGTATCTGTTTCTCACATCTGGAACATCATGGAACGAAACCCTCCTGCATGCCGATTCACGCAGACTGTGTAAGCATGTCAGCGCACAGTTCGAAGACTCGGAAACGGAACCCCGCCTCACCACAGCTTCTGACCAAGATTCCACTTTCATCGCTAGCCCAGAGAAGGCCACGAATCGAACCGACTGCTGCTGAGAAGCACTGCGCCCAGTTTCTCGTTCTGAAAGTGGAGATTGATGCACCTCGGCACCGATTGAAAGCCTTGCCATGCTGCATCTAAATGCACCAAGTGTAACACATCCATCGTTGATCACCGTTGTCGAATATCGTGTACATCAGAGCACAGCTCGAAAACACGGAAAGACAACCTCGTCGCTTCTGACCAAGATGGCATCTTCATCGCTAACCGCTAACCTGACAACGGCTATGACTTGAACCAAGTCAAGTGCAGCAGAGAAACGCATTTTGTAGCATCTCGATCTCGGTCCACTGAGCATTGCTGTCACGGCGAAGGTTGCCGCACCTGAGGGTCGTGTTAACAACTGGAACGAAGCCGAACCCTGCGCATGTTGTGGTGAAGGTGCTGAAGTGCAGCTCGGAGACTCGTGAAGCAGCTGATCCTTCTCGGCGCTCAGCTTACAGACCTGCTCGATCAGAGACCTGCAGCAGCTACACCTGAGTCGCTCACACGAAGAGGATGCCACATGTAGCGGGCTGGGGTCCATTCTTTTCAGCTCAGTCTCTCCACGCACATAGTGCGTTTGCCAAGGTGCCGGGGGTCACAAAGCATCGGCCCCCGCGGAGCAGACTGGCAGAGCCTCGTCCCAGTTGCAACGCCGCTCCATGGCATCCGAGACATGCTGTCTGCAGTCAACTTCGCTGAAGGACGTTTGGGCAAGTCAAGGTCGGTTGAAGCGGCCATGCCATGTGGAGCACAGAGTAGCGGTCTGTGAAAGTCTGAGTTACTGCTATGGTAGCTCGATCACGAGGACGAGCACTGCTCTGGGCCACAGGAACAAATCCACAAGCAGCAAATCCGATCCCGTAAAAGCATGTCTGCTCCAAACGAAGCCCTTGGAAGGGGAAGGGGGTAGGCGCCCTTTGGTTTTGGTATCTCGGGTGGGGGTAGGTGGTCTTTGGCTCAGGGTTCAGGGTGTTGTGATCCCAAAAATTCTACCATTCAGTGCGAGAGCTCACCTGCAAAGCACCTTGGGCCTAGTCATGCAGAACCCGAAAGCCCAATCTCCCGAACTCTTTGTCCCAGAGCCCTACTGATCGAAATAGGAAGCCTCAGAACCAATTGCACTCCCCGTGATCCTTAAACTCTAACTCAGAGCCATCATGAATCATGCAAGAAAGCGCGAGGCCGGCAACCACCAAAAGCCCAATTACTGCCTCCACCTCTTGCAAGGAAGTACTCAAATGTGACATGGACGTCTCCGACCACGTTTTCACGTAAAACATTGTCGGCAAACGAGCTACTGGTACTTCATAGGCTCGACACGCCAACGCTGAGGCCCTGGCAACTTCGGGAGCCAAGTTGGTGATAGTGATCACTGTTTTGTTGTCTGTCTTCACTATTTTGCTATGTTGAAATCCAGGTCCGCCTATGACAGGTATTTTTGCCAGAGACCACCTGCTGCACACAATCTGCCTGCGAAGTTTTGACAGGCGGTGCACTGGAGCATGAGATGAGCGAGATCTACATGGGTATCCGCGCAGCTGGGAACAGACCGGCTGCGGGAGATTCTGCATCAACCACTCTGGGCAAGAGGGGACACGCCGGCAAAGGATGCTGTAACAGTAGCAGCCACGCTCAGTGCGTGTCTGTGTGACTTTTTCATGCGGCACCCACCATCACGAAAGCGGCTGCAACACTCACTTGATGAATTGCATGCTACCTGCGGTGCATGACACAGCTGCTGACGCAAAGATGGCAACGGAAGGGAGCCTGGAGCTTTGGTTAGGCAGGAAAAGGGAGGAGACCTCAGCTGTCGAGTCCACATTTCGGGCAGGGCATAGCCACATCAACCTGCAGATGAGGTCGAAGCTGCCAGGGCAGTCAAAAGCGCCAGCGACGAAGCGCTTCTGGTGCATAGGCTGGTGTACGTGTGGGTGCGTGCGGGGGCAACAGCGCAGGTGCATACGAGAGACATGGCCCTTCAGATCATGAACGTTGCCTGCGTCTGCTTGCTGCTCCAGGCTTCCGATCCCTTCTGCGTCCTGCCGTGCAGGTAGCTTTGATGCAAATGAAATAAAACATCACCTCAGAGGGACGACACTCACTGACAACAATTTCAACCAAATTCATCGTAAGGCTGCACAGAAAGCCCAATCAAGTCCTCTCAAGGATGCACACATAGCTCATTTCGAACCGCTTTCCGATGGGGCAGCAACTCTAGCACGCTTCCCGTTCCTCTGTCGGCTTGGAAGGTGTTGTAAGCAGAATCTTCTTGGAAACTCTGAGAACTCAGCGAAACCAAAGACAGAATCTCTTCGGCGAAATCTGTTACCTTCGCTGTGGTGAGTTGTTCTGCATCACAGTCTAGGCTAGGATGACGATCATGCCACAAGGCCTGACGAATCGTGTCATATGCATCCAAAACATGATGGTGCCTTCAGGCTCAGGGCGGAGTGTTGCTAGGCTTTCCAGCGCGATCCGCATTGGGAGTGACCTCAGTCTCCCTCTCCGTTTCTGTCTCGTTGTCTTTCCCTGTCTCTGTCAATGTCTGTGCTCGCTCGCTGTTGCTCACTGGTGCTCACTGCACTCATCCCCTTACTCTCGCTCGCTCACTCGCTCTCTCTCTCTCTGCCTCTCTCTCTCTCTCTCTCTCTCTCTCTCTGTTTGGCCTGTGTTGGCACAGTGTGTAGTTTGGCTAGCTAGTGTGTTGCATACTTTGGCAGTTCATGCCGTCCGCCACACTCCCCGAGGAATTCCCCCGCACTCTTCCACCATATACACCCACACTCCTCCGCACTCCTCCGCCACACTCCCCGTGGCAGCGGCCGATTATGGTGTAAACTTTAAACCCCCACCAAGCTTTCCACCACTGACTTTCTGCGAGCCTCAGATGTTTGGAAATGGAAGGGCAGCCAGAATGTCTGTGAATGCCTGTTCACTCTTCACTCCCCTCTCTGCCCCACACTCCTTCCACCACGCTCCTCCTCATTCCCCCTAATAGCGGCCACAAAACGTGTCAACCCCCGCCCCGCTGTCCACCAGGGACTTTTGCAAGCCTGAGAAGTTTGGAGAGTTTACCGCTCGCGTTCCGGGTTGAAAGGGCGGGCAGTGAGTAAGGTGCAGGGGAGTGGGAGTGTCTGTGCGCTCGAAGAAGCCAGTTCTCGAGTTCGCTTGTACTTGCTCCCAACTATCTGCCGAACTTGTCCATGGCTTGTTCGCACAGTTGTTGTTGTAGCCCTCTGTTTGCGGGCCGGCTCTCGTGCAACACTCCTGTCAGAATCATGTTTGCACACCTTCGTGCCGCAGATCCACAGGAAGTTGAGCTGACATCTTTCAAGCTCTTGGAAGTGCACTGACTGTTGTCCTATTCGTCGTTTACCAGAGGGACGGAAGGAAAAGCTATGCGTGGCACCAAATTTGCTGCATCTGAGCATCCAACCGGCGTGGAACTGGAGGGCTGGGAGGGCAGGGCCCTTCATGTATAGAACTTATGAACTTAACTTCACCCCTTTCGACCCTAAACCTAAACCCGACATACCGTTCTGGCTCCTTCAACCCTTCACCCTAAACTCTAAACATCTCTAAACCCTACATGCCCCTTCTGGCTCAAACTGGTTGTCTTAATCTGCTTGGATGTTGGGTGCTGAATGAATCAGCATCCGTTCCCAAAGCAAGAAACCAAACTCGCAGCTTCGAACTAAACCCTACATCCCCTTCTGGCTCAAACTCTTCCTAAACCCTTCACCTTCAATACCACACTCTAAACAGATACAGTCACGCAGCGCAGAATTCGTACATCGTTCAATGTCTTGGTTTCCCACGAAAAACAAGACCAAACAACGACGCTTTGCAACCCACCACGGTAGAGCTGCGCAAGTGGAGTCTGTCTAAAGCTTCTGTTTGGTTACCAGAACGAACAAGCCGAAATCAAGCTGCTACGACTGTTTGGGTAGGAAAAGGTGACGATTCGACGCTGGAAGAAATCCGCTAAAAATTGAAAATGCACCCGTTTCCACTCCAAGCAACCAAGCCATCACTTTCGCAAGCAGGCAACCACAGAACCAGAACAGGGCTGTTCAAACTCAACTACAGTCAGCCTTGCACGCTGGACCTCCAAACAGCAAACATCAAGGCTGTCGCAAGGTCCGTGCAAGCCATCTATCGGATCGGCCTTATATGTCCAAGGAAGCAGCTTTGAGGTCCCAACATTCAAAGGGAAACCATGCGACAGAAGACATGCCCGGACCAACTCAATACAGGCTCTTTGCTACTCTCCAAAATACAACAATCATGTAGTTTGAATTGTTTTTGAAACCCAAAAGAAAAACACCTTGAACTTAAGCTTTCAGCGGGTTTGCATCTCGAAGAAAGAGGAAACGGTATGTCGTTTCAAGTTCAGTTCTGATTGAGTGTCACACTCAGTCTTAACAGTAGACGGCGGCTAGCTAGTGGTACTCGTCTCTGCCAGTCCAACTTCCGGGTTTTGTGGCTTCTGGCTTGCGAAAAGTCGTACATGGGTATCCCAGCGTCACTGCCCACCTGCTCCTCAGCTGCCTTCCTGGCAGCATTTGCCTGGAAGAGATGTCTTGACACGGCAAAGGACGACGACAAGGACTCCTCGCCTCTTCGGCTTCTCGCCGCGCGGCCAAGGCTTCCTTCCGAGAAAGGAACGAAAGAGGGGCAATTCCGTGTGAGGAAAAAGCAACCGGAAGGCAACAGGACAGCTATTATTATGGGAAGGCAGCTCGGTGCGGCATCAGTCGCCGTGGTGGTGACAAACGTAGTAGGAGTAGTAGTAGCAGTAGTAGTAGTAGTAGTAGTAGTAGTAGTAGAAGAAGAAGAAGAAGAGCAGTAGTCGTAGTGATCGTAAATTGTCGTTGTAGTCGTAGTAGGAGTAGTAGCAGTGTTGGTGTTGTTTATGCCAGGTGCTGATTCGATGTGTTCCCCTCTCGGTGTGCGATTGCGGGCTCTGCGTTGAACTGAAAGTAATTGAAACTTGTCTCAATGAAGCTGTGTAACTTTCCAGCATAGGCGACTGTAGAAACGAACTCATGCAGGTGATCATCGGAACTTGCGAAAACGTTGTCATCTGCATAGACAATGTCTGCTAAATCCCCTTTTTCGTATGGGACTGCAAATTTGCTGCATCAAGATTGGAAACGAAATCCTGCATGCAGACTGTCATTGTCACTGTCACGATGAAGAACAATGGGCTCAGAGTGCAGCCCTGTGAAATGAAAGATTTCAGGGGCCGTGCAGTAGAAGTGCGTCCTCGGTCAGCTACGTAACAGCTTCGGTGATGCTTCATGGCCCAGCGATCTGGAATACTGAAACGACGTAACGCATCGAGGAGGTTGTCAATGATTATGCTGTCGAAAGCTTTTTCCAGTCAAGTGCCACAGAGCCACGAAAGTTGCATCTTCGGTACAATATCGCTTTCGAAAACCGAACTGAGACTTCCACAATCTGCCGTCCACGACAGCATCCAGAGAACGTCCCCTTCTCAGCGATGTGAACAGCTTGTAAGCGATGATGCTCTGAAGACATATGGGGCGGTAAGTGTTGGTATCAGCAGGGTCGCCCTTTTTGAAACGAAGCTGTCGACCATTCATCAGGAATAGTTCTGTTTCGCCAAAAATACTAAAGATAGAAAAGCCACTGCAAATGGAATCCGGTTCCGTCGCGAGAGGTTTGAAGATTTCAACGGGAATGTCCCCATCCTTCGTGGCTTTCCCAGTGGATATGTTTCGGATAACCGTTCGGAGCTCCGCAAAACTAAAATCATCCACATTCACTGGCAGAGAAGGACCCAAGGGGGCACCAATACCAACGGTCAAGGTAATCGGTCGAGCTTTCCACTGAATTCGCTCTAAGCAGTGTGCGAGGGTTTCCGCTCTTGGTTCTGATGAAACCGATGACCATCTGCTGATACACCAGGGCGAAACTAGTTCTGGTTTGTCCAACTTTTCGCTCGTCTATATTGTCCTGTATATAATTCACAACATCTCAGGCAAAGCATAGTTGAAATAGTTTAGAGTAGCGCTCATGTACCTGAAGCACTGAAGTCTGCGACAAGAAAAGTCATCGAAGTCCTCCATTGCGTCAGCCTTGGCAGCCTGGCTCCAGACTTCTACTCAGGATTAGGTTTTGGCTTATCACCCTCACAAGATCAGAGGAACGGAATGCAATGGATACACTGCTGTCCCAGCTCTGAGCTCACAAGCGCTTGGCAGGCAGACCTCGGCCTTCTCTGTTGCCTCTTTTGGCCGCTTCGGCAACTTCTACCTGCTCCTTCACCTTCTTATCCGCAGCTGCTATGGCCTCGAAGCAACTGGGACAAACAAGGAGCTGGAATGACCGTCTTCATCAACACACCAGTCAAACCTCACCAGCAGCTCTGATGGCTTCCTGCATGGCGTTCTCGGCTGCTTTCCTTGGCTAGAACAGCAGTGGCTCTTGCCGAACACCATGTGGCATTTTATGTTGCAGGAAACCTGCTGACTCAGAGCCCTCGGTTTGGCGATGGTGCATATACGAGCTTCTTAGCATCCGCCGCATCTTGCAGCGCGTAGATTTTTTCTGCCTGCAGAGCCAGCAAGCCCCGTTGCCAACCCTTTCATCGATGACATAAAGGTGCCCACTCTACAGTAACCACACACGACAGCCAGAGCCCGCCTTTGCATCTTCTGCGGCCTCCTTTGCCTTGAATGCCTCCAACGACGGGTCACAGTGCAGGATAATTTGCGACCTTTGCAATAGCCTGCATCTGCATGTGTACACAGGTATGTGTTTGTCTACATACATACCCGCATCCATCCATCCATCCATCCATCCAGCCATCCAGCCGGGCATCCGTCCATGCATGCAACAAAAACAGAGACATCTTCATATCTATCTCTGTTCTTTGTTTACCTGTCTCTTCCTATCCATCTGCTTGTGGATACGAAGTAGTGTTCACTCTCACTGCCAGACTGGTAGGAGCAGTCTCGAAGAAAGCGAAACCGCCCTGTCGTATCAAGTTCTAGTTCTGGTTGAGTGCCACAGTCTTGACTGTAGACGGCGGCTAGCTAGTGGCACTCGTCTCTGCCATTCCAACTTCCGGGTTTTGTGGCTTCTGGCTTGCGACAGGTCGCACATGGGTATCCCAGTGTCACTGCCCACCTGCTCCTCAGCTGCCTTCCTGCCAGCATCGGCTTTTGCGTTCGCTTCCTGCTTGTCGGACAGAACATACAAAGCGGGCAACTTCATGCGTTTTGTGTACTTCTGGAGTGCACGCGACCAACATTGCTGCCGGTCTTTGCAAATTGACCACGAGTACTGCTCCAATGCACGCGGCCAACATTGCTGCCTGTCTCTGGACATTGGCCACATTGACCGCATTATTTGCAGCATTATTTACCCGTTAAGCGAGGCGACAAAGAAGAAAGCCGAGGCGGTATTCTTTCACAGGCAAATTAATGGGGTCAGTCTCTGAGCCTCCGGTACCTACTCCCACAACCCTGCACGCCTGAAGGGCCTCAATGCGTTCTTTCAGTTGGGTTACGACACCTGGGCGAAGGATTCGTAGGTCTCCGTATCTTGAAGAATGCCTTGCATTTCGCCAAGTGCCCGGCGAACCTCTTCCGCAAGCTGGGCCTACACGATTAGCGGCCCAGTGCACGACCAAGCTCCAAGCATTCCCCTCACCGCACTGAGCGGACACCACGGACACCTCCGTCTTCTTCTGAATCTCCTCCGTCTTCTCTTGCCTCCACAATCGGAGTCAGGGCTCAGCACCCTCAGAAAAATTCACGGAGCTGCTGGCTGTACTTGAGCGACTTCGCCTTTCTTTCTGTGCTTCGAGGGCTTTTTCGAGCTCCGCCAGACAACCGCGCCACTACGCTGGAATCAAACACAAGCAAATCGAATCGACCAGGACCTCGCGGCTTCCGAAGAACTCTCGGATTCCCTTCAGGGCTGCTTCTCCTCCTTCTTGGCCTTGTTCACCCGCGAGCAGTACTGCAGCGAACAACGACACGGAGTCTACTTCTTCGTGTTTCATATGGAACTGGGCTCCAAGCTTGCGATGGAGGCAACATGCCTGGCCAAACAACAGTGTATGCTTCCTTCCAGAAACCCCCTTTCGAAGCAACACTCTTTGCAAAAGCACCGCCTGTGCCTAAAGGCGCATGCAGTAAGACAGTGACGAAGCATGCTTTCTTCTTAACTCCGCATTTAGGATCATTGCTCACCCCGGCTCATGGTGCAAGGCCCCGGCCGCATCTCTTATGGTGGAATCACTGAGGCGCAAACCCGCTCAGCCTTCGACCGGCTATATCTTCGACCGGTCCCGGAGGCGGGGTGGGTGTAGCCTTCAATTGACTGCAACGGCACGAGTGACATCGTGGAGTTAGCCCTCACCGAATCTATACCTCGCGCACTGCTTCGCTCGGACCGACCTCGGGTGTCTCCTGCTTCTTCTTGTGCTTGTGCTTGTCCTTTGCTTCGGTCTTGCAGGGGTAGGGGTAGGCGGAGTAGCAGGAGTGGAGGAGTAGGAGAAGTGGGAGGTGGAGCAGGCCTAGGGCTTCGGTTCAGGGCTTGCGCTTTGACAACCCACAGGGTTCGGAACCGTCAAGCCGAGCACCAACCCTCGCTCGTTTTGCAATGTAGCTTGAAGGTACCCCTGTATGGGGTTAAAGCCCCCACGCATCCCGTGGAAACTCCCCGAGTCTTGCAAACTAGTGGTCCTCTGCTCATAGCAAATTCTGCGAAAGCCATCAGACATGCTGGTAATCCTAAGCAATAGGACGCAACGAACACCTGCAGAGAACCAACGATCGTCCTTTCTAGCCTCTGATCCCTTCCAGATTCGACTCCGTTCAACCCAAAACCCCCAGTTCAGGCCCCCGCAGGCATTCGGAGCCTAGCAGCGAGCACTGTTCGGAAGCTAAGGGAGGAAGGAGGAAGCTCTCACACACTCCTTTTGTTCGCGCAGCTTCAGCAGCATAGCAGGTCCCAGAGAGCATGCTCAACGTCTCCGTTGGCCTGCTTCTTCAAAGCCTTCAGTTGCTGCTCCGCTTCTGCGTATGTCCAACTGGGATCGTTATCAGCTCGCCAAAGGAGCTTCAAGTCGGAAATCAATGTCAACATCGACTCTCGGTGTGATTCGCGCCCCTGCAGGCTCTCAAGGGCTTGGACCAGCAAAAACACCCACTTTTGCCGCTGAGGCTTCGCCAGTGCACGTACAACGTTGTCAAGGTGGCCTGTGCACTGCATTACCTGCCGCAAGGTCGCTTGGCTGATTCCGGTGGAGTCTGACAGCACGTGCCCCATCAGCGTCAACATGGCATCTGCAATCATTTGCCGCACAAACGGGAGGCCACCTTGACCATAGTTAGCAACAATGCGGTGCGCAGAGCTCCTCACGGATGCATCCTCGTCGGCACAGTGCCGAAGCAGGTCTCGGAGGTTCGGGTAGACAATTTCGAAGGCATCGCTTTCTGCAAAATGGGTTTCTCTCGCTCTCGCCAGCCGCATGCACCACCACTGACCTGAGGCCAAAAACAGCAGACTAAATTCGCGGAACAAACCGTGTCGCTGTGGATCATGCTGACGGGCCAGGACGCAGTCATAGTACTTTATCTGCTCTACGTCGTTTCCACAGACGTCGGCATCGAAGGTAGCGCCGTGAACACAAGCGAGTCCAAACTTTGTAGAAAAATCGAGAATTGACTCGGACCTGCTCAGCGGGTCTCGTGATGCTTGCTTTCATGTTGAGATCTATCTGGCTGCTGACCATGCCGGGACCCGGTAGCGGCCTGTCCAACCTGCCCATTTCGGCAATGTGCCGTAGCAAAACCTGAGGTCGCGCAGATGAGCATCCAAGTCTTCCCAACGCATCTTCTCAGAATACTGCACGTGGGTATTGGAGGGAGGAGCACATGCACAAAGCCCCCTGCCCTGGGACTTCGGGTCTGCCGCGATGTTACACGCCACTCCAGAATGTCATCCACCTGGGGAGACTCATACAGGCGATCTGGAAGATTCTCCCAACCACTGCGTGCTCATTACCCTTCATGGCGTAGCATCGCCAGCCACTGGCGTTTCAGGCAAGATGCAGTGAGGTACGGCAACAGGCTGGGCCTCGCGGCTTGCTCTCTAGCTGCACTTGCCCAGATTCTTTCATGTGCTCCGATTTTGCTCAGCCAAGTTGCAAGATGAGGCATGAAGGGTCCAGACTCCCGGCATCCGTTGCCCGGCAAGCCATCCTCATCTGAGAGTCGTCCTTCGCGCACCTGGGCTAAGAAATACCGCAATACCTTTTGCGTGACAAGAGAAACCGTAGACATACCAAGACAATCAATCGTGAGCAAGCCCTTTGAGCTGCCCATGCGGCACCGCTAGTGAGCTGCAGACAAGCGTCTGCGTGCCTTGCAGCGATTCCGGATCCTCGTCCCCGCTCATCTCCTACAGCCGGGCGCAGGCAAGCAAGGCAGAACTGCAGGCCTCAGCTAGTGACTGGTGCCTGGCCTGCAAGATGGCCCAAGGTCATGTTCCGTCTGCGCCTCAGTTTTTGGGCTACCAGCCAAGCAAGCCCCAGTCTCCAAAAGCTCGTAATGCGTGCATAGCATTGCCCTGGCTGAGGAGGTTGCAATTGCTTCGACCGAACAACTTTGCGCGGAAGCTTCCTCGGTCGATGCGCCCCCAACGCTTGAAAAGAAATGCCCGACTGCCTCTCAGCTATGGGAAGACGCATGATCTTCTGCAGCGGAAGGCTCTTCGGCTCATCCTTGCTTGCATGCATCGGCGTCATAGGGAGAAGTGGATGCACCCACCTCAGGCCGAGCCGGTGGATTTAACTCATGCACGAACACTCCCATCTCCAGAATCAAGCGTTATCCCTGCTAATGTCTCAGAGAACGAGAACAGACATGAGCCGCACGGGATCAGGTTCCTGCTACTGGTCTGAGAGCTTTGCGTCCGGCTCATCACCGCAGCGCGCGGCAATGACAGAGGTCGCTCCTCGTCGTCCTTGGAGTCCTCATTGTGAGACAGGTTCGGCCAGGGGCAAAGGAAGGAACCAGCAAATTGGCGACAGTGCGAGTGGGGGGGTCATTGGGCAGGACGCCCCCCTTGTGTTCTTGGGCGTAGGATTCAGGCAGGCTTTGCGTGTATTCTGCAGCAAGTTCAGGAGTGCTGAGTAGAGTGGAGCCTTCAAGAGATTGATTGGGGTCGGAGACATGAGCCGTTCTAATCCCACAAACCTCTCTGCCACCTTTGAGAGTAGCAGGCAGTAGGAGCTGACACAGGCCAAGGGTCGAGGCAGCGCATGGCTTGAGGGCTGGGAATGTCTTGGGACTGGGATGCGGTGGATGCCTCGCCGTCGCTGTCAAGAGCATCGGGGTCTGCATAGGTGGACAAGGAAGCGCAGTCCCAGCTGTAGCGCCTCAGCTGTGGGGCATGGGTGCTGAGATACTCGCTGTAATGGTCGGGCGCCATTCTTTGGCATGCGACTTCTTCAAACGCCCACAAACAGCGTGAACTCTCGCGGACAGAGCTGTATGCCGAGGCCACTGCCGGTCATGAACGGGCTTGTCGGGCGGTTTAACGGCTGGCGCCTTAGGCGCAGGACGCCGCAGCTTGGAGCTAAGGATGAAGGGATCTGGCTTCATGGATTTGGCTTAGCAACTACGCATCCCGTCTCCCACCAGAAAGTCGAAGTGCATGCCTCGCCAAACCCAGCAACTCCAAATCCATACATAGTCGCCAGGCGAAGGCGAACTTCTACGTTCAGGTCTCAGGCTCTGGAAAAACCACGGCAAAGTGCTACATCTACACCCTTGGATTGCTCTTGGCCTTCGTGGACTGTTAATTACATGGAAACCCCGCGCGTCATTCCCCCTAGCTTGGTTGTCATTACCTCGTGGACGACACGGGCGCAGTGCGGACGCGACAACATGTTTCAAGAATGGAGCTTGCAGATGGAAGCAGGAATGGTGGACAGAGCCACCGCGATGCCAACGGGAATAACGGGCCAAACAAGCAGCAACAAGCGGCTAGCACAGCTAGGTGCACAGCCGGCACTGGCTGCGCAGGCGAAGCTGGGCTGCTTTCACCCGCCTCTGATGCAGCAGCCATGCAGACTGGCAGATAACAGGCATGAGTATGCGGCGAGAGGAGTGAGCCTGCACCTGCTCAGCTGCAGAACCACGCTCGCGTGCACCAACCGAGTCCATTGAGTCTCCGCTTTCTCGCTTCGTGCCAGTCCTTCCGAACCGAAGACATGCGGCCGCGAAAGTTGCAGCAAAAGCTTAAGCTGGCATGCCAACCCGGCGTGCGGCCAAAGGGGCATCTCAGCCAGACTCGAATTGCCCTCATGAACTTCGACCATGTCGGCCCGGAGCGCTCCAGGCGAATCAACACACCTCATCTGGGAGGCAGATAGCCCGGCAGATCATGTGGAAAAGCTTGCCGGATTTTTGCGGGCAAGATGCATCATGTCGGAGCTGTGCTTGGTCTGAAAAAGCTGCTCCTCCTGGATGCGTAGCCTTAAGGGACGATGCCAGAGACAGGCAAACAAGCGATGACGAGCTAAGCATCAAGGCCGGCCCTACACCTGCCACACGATCGTGCTCCCGAACGCAACCTGTTCGTCAATCTAGTTGAGGCTTTATGCCGAGGATGGACTTTGTGCCACGGGCCCAGCAAGGGCCACGACCCAAACCAACCGCAGTTGAGAAGCTTTTTGCTCAGTTTCTCGCTATCACGGCGAAGCTTCTGGCACCTGAGCTCCAATGGAACGTCTTGCCATGTTGCATATGTGCGTAACAGCTGGGTTTTGACACATGCTTTGTAAGCGTGCTAGAGTAAAGCTCGACGGAGCCCCGCCACTGGCCTCGAATCTCCTACCCAAGACGGCACTTACATCAGGAAGCAAGGGCCAGGAATCAAACCAACTGCAGGCGAGAAGCTCTTTGCGTCGCTTCTCACTGCGAGTCCAAAGGGCATGGTTTTGAAATGAAAGATTGCTGCACCTGGGCTCTTCTGCTTTTCTTACCGCATACCGTGCTGTATGTATCTGTTTCTCACATCTGGAACATCCTGGAACGAAACCCTCCTGCATGCCGATTCACGCAGACTGTGTCAGCATGTGAGCGTACAGTTCGAAGGAACCCCGCCTCGCCACTGACCAAGATTCCACTTTCATCGCTAACCCAGAGAAGGCCACGAATCGAACCGACTGCTGCTGAGAAGCACTGCGCCCAGTTTCTCGTTCTGAAAGTGGAGATTGATGCACCTCGGCACCGATTGAAAGCCTTGCCATGCTGCATCTAAATGCACCAAGTGTAACACATCCATCGTTGATCACCGTTGTCGAATATCGTGTACATCAGAGAACAGCTCGAAAACACGGAAAGACAACCGCGTCGCTTCTGACCAAGCTGGCATCTTCATCGCTAACCGCTAACCTGACAACGGACTTGAACCAAGTCAAGTGCAGCAGAGAAACGCATTTTGTGGCATCTCGATCTCGGTCCACTGAGCGTTGCTGTCACGGCGAAGGTTGCCGCACCTGAGGGTCGTGTTAACAACTGGAACGAAGCCGAACCCTGCGCATGTTGTGGTGAAGGTGCTAAAGTGCAGCTCGGAGACTCGTGAAGCAGCTGATCCTTCTCGGCGCTCAGCTTACCGACCTGCTCGATCAGAGACCTGCAGCAGCCACACCTGAGTCGCTCACACGAAAAGGATGCCACATGTAGCGGGCTGGGGGCCATTCTTTTCAGCTCAGTCTCTCCACGCACATAGTGCGTTTGCCAAGGCGCCGGGCATCATAAAGCATCGGTCCCCGCGGAGCAGACTGGCAGAGCCTCGTCCCAGTTGCAACGCCGCTCCATGGCATCCGAGACATGCTGTCTGCAGTCAACTTCGCTGAAGGACGTTTGGGCAAGTTAAGGTCGGTTGAAACGGCCATGCCATGTGGAGCACAGAGTAGCGGTCTGTGAAAGTCTGAGTTACGCGTAGACGCCACACTCAGTATGTGTCAGTGTGACATGGTTCACGCGGCACCCAGCATCACGAAAGCAACGGCTGCAGACTCACTTGATGAGTTGCACGCTACCTGCGCCGGATGCCACAGGTGCTGCCACAAAGATGGCCATAGCAGGAAGGTTTGAGCTTTGGTCACGCAGGAAAAGGGAGGAGACCTCAGCTGTCGAGTCCACAATTCGGGCACGGCATAGCCACATCAAACCTCCAGATGAGGCCGAAGCCGCCAGGGCAGTAAGAGCGCCAGCGACGAAGCGCTTCTGGTGCATAGGCTGGTGTATACGTGTGCGTGCGTGCAGGGGCAACAGCACAGGCGCATACCAGAGACATGGCCCTTCAGATCATGAACGTTGCCTGCGTCTGCTTGCTGCTCCAGGCTTCCGATCGCTTCTGCGTCCTGCCGTGCAGAGGTAGCTCTGATGCCAATGAAGGACCAACATCACCTCATCGACTACCCCTTTCAAGCAACTCCATTGCAAGGCTGCACACAACCAACTCAACCAAGTCCTCTCAAGGATGCGCACACAGCTCTTTTCGAGCCGCTTTCCGATGGGCCCGGCAGCTCCTGCGCACTTCCCCTTCCTGTGTCGAGATGCTTCGACGGCGCTGGAAGAAGAACTTTCCTGGAAACTCTGAGCTCTCAGCAAAACTGAACACAGAATCTCTTCAGCGAAGGATCGGAACCAAAAGTGTACCTTCGCTGTGGTCAGTCGCTCTGCGTCATGCCGTAAGCCCTGAGGGATCCTATCACATGCATCCAACCCATGATGACGCCTTCAGACTCAGGGCGGCGTTCCCAAGGAAATTCTGAGTTCTCTGCAGCGTCCGGACCGTCGCAGCATGCCACGATGAGACGCGCAGTCAGCCCCTTGCAAATCTTGACAACGCCGGTGAACCTTGGAAGAGTCAGCGCTCCACGAAACTAAGTACGAGTAGCTAAGCACAGAAAGCGCGAGGCCAGCAAACACAAGAAGCTCAACTATTGCGCAGCGGTAGCTGTCATCATACAAGGCCCACGCTTTAGCAGCTTTGACAAGTGCTGGATCTCCTACGGTCGAAGACACAGAGAGGAAGAACCAGCCCAGGAATCTACTCAAGCCTGACCAGCATCCACACCATTAAACAAGTGCAGACCACGCAAAGCACTGGCACATTTCTCTAGCTCTTCACTGACGCTAGTGTGGGTCTCCTGGGACCACCAAGCATGCCTCTTGTTCGTTGGATGACAAGTGGATTCAACGTGTGTTCTCGCAAGTTTTTTGTGTCGGAACTGCAACGGGCTGTCCCTGCGGTTCTTCGCTGCTCCATGAGCTCGGCCTGGGCTTCCTGAATCGCCTTTTCCAAGTATTTTCATCTCCGAGAAGGCTCCCGGACAGCTTGTGGTGTGCTTTCCAACCCTCAAGTCTACCGGTACGGCCGTCGATGCAGTGTCATCCTTTGAAGATACCGTGGGACCCGCACAGCGCTCACAGTATACCCGCGTCCATCTGCTTTCTGGACCCCCCCTCATTTATACATTTCCTCCTGAGAGGGCCCCATGCAGGGGACCAGAAATGCAGACAAGACTGGTTTTGATGCGTCTGACGTTTCACAACTCATCGCAACTCTGTTGATTGGACATGTCAGTCCCGGCAATCTTTCGGTTCTTTCCGCCCCCTGTGTTCGGTGTTGTTCCCCAGGTGCGACATGTCCCGTTTCGGGCTATGCTTCATTGTCGACATAGTTGTTGTGGTAGTAAACTAGTAGTAGTCGTCCTCCTCGTCGCAGAAGTTGTAGTAGTCGGGGTCGTAGTAATCGCAGTAGTAATCGACGCAGATGATACTCAAGCCACCGACATGTCTGCGCCCCGGGAAACCGGATATGTATACAGCTCCCACCCCACGGTACGCAACTACCCCTGGCCTCGGTTACGGCAGGGTCTAGGTTTTCGAGGCTTTGTGGTTGAGGGGTTTGGGATCTAGGGTTTTGCTGCTTGGGGAAGCGCTCCAGGCCCCGCACCAAGCACACGAAATGTTTTCGTATCCCCTCTGAATTTTCTTTGCCGTACGCCACCAAGACCTCCTGCCAGGATCCTACGGAGATTTAGGTAAACTTCCTGAGCATACTCTGGGTTGAAGATGTGGCCCAGGCTCTCGATACGGCAAAGGCAAGGACGTACAACCTATAATGAATATACAGCGCAGCACGAAAGAAACTCAACCCTCCAAAGATGTCTGCTTCCCATCTGAAATCCCGACCCCTTGTGTATGCATTTCGTTGGGCGTCGGATTTGGAATTCAAGTACACACACCCCCCCCGTATATATTACTTGGGCGTGGGGATTTCACCGTGATAAGATTGGTGATAATCCAAAGCAGAAAGCGCCGTACGCTCTATGTGCGGTCTATACACGTATGCAAGAGGTAGTTCTGGCTTGTCCAACTTGTTTGTTCGTCTCAACACAATTATAGTCATGTAGATGCTTCAGAACATCGTAGGCAAACCATACTTTACATTGGCATCTGACCCTACTGACAGCACCTGAAGCCTGCGACAAGAAAAGTCATCGAAGTCCTCCAAGGCGTCAGCCTTGGCTGCCTGGCTCCGAATTTTTGCTCAGATCAGCATGTGGGCTTTCACACTCGCAATCTCAGAGGAAGGGCAAGTCGATGCATCGGGCATCATGTGCACTGCTGTCCACAGGTTTCACAGCCCACAAGCGGTCGGCAGGCAGACCTGAGCCTTCTCACTTCTCCATTGCATGTTTGGCTGCTCCGGCCTCGAAGCTTGGGACAACGAAGGAGCTCGAATTACAGTCTCTATCAACACACCCGTCAAACCTCATGGGCCGCTCTGATGGCTTCCTGTGTAGCCTTCTCGGCTGCTGTCCTTGGCCAGAACAGCAGTGGCTCTTGCCGAGCACCCATCTGCATTCTACATTACGGAAGCACCACTGGCTCAGTTTGACGATCGTACATATACGAGCTTCTTCGCATCCGCCCCATCTTGGAGGGCGCGATTTTTTCTGCCTCCACAGCTTGGAAGCCCTGCTGCCAACCCTTTCATCGAGGACACAAAGGACAATGCTGAAGACAGAAGGTGGGGCACTGGGCAAAACCGGGCCCACAACAGTAAGGGGCCTCTTTCATTTCTGTCTGGATGCCTCGTCAGCACCCCTTTTGTTCTTCTCATTTTGCTCTAGCTCTTCTCTGGCAAAGCACGTCTGAAGCGGAACCAGCTGTCATGCACTGTGGACTTAGCACCAGCAGCTGTAGCTGTCATCATCGCTGCCCATGACATACAGTAGGGCCCACACTTTAGCATCTCTTCCGGCTTCTGGACGTCCTGCGGTCAGTGACAAAGCGCAAGAGACAGAAACAGCCCAGAATCTACCGAAGCCCACGCCATCAACCAAGCGCAGACCACACAAAGCACTCAGTCAGTCCTCTTGGAGCTCATCCCGATCCACCTTACAGCAGCAAAGCTCTTGCCGAAATTCAGAGACGAAAACTTTTGCAACTGAACGCCCCAGCCTGGAGCTTGTCATTCTGGTCGCTGACGCTGGTGCAGGTCACCTGGGGCCACCAAGCTGGCAAGTCTCCTAGCCTGCGGTGGCTATGCCCATAATCCTCCATGCCCGAATGGCATCGTTGCCTTGCTGCAGTTCAGTTATAGCTGCCTGTCCGAACAGTAGTGCATGCAGAGCAACACGCTTTCCAGAAAGAGCCTCCTCTGCATCTGCTTGACCGGAGCACTCTCCTGGATGTAGGAAGTGATGAGGCTGGGCTTCCACGAACCGTTCTTCCTCTTTTCGTGCTACAATTGGAATTCCCGACGCTCCGTGCGCCTTGTCGGTGTCAAGATAGGAAGCTGTCTAATTCAGCAATACTGAAGGAAGCTTGCTGAGTAACTATTTGTGTGCCTGTGTAGATATATGCGTGTGTGGACGGCAAGAGGAGGCATCCCGCACCTGTCACCCTGGGGGCCCTAGGCTCTGCGATAAGTAAATCGCAACAGGTAGCAATAACTTTGTCCGTTGCTTCAGATATTACAGCTCCAGTTATCCATGCACTCAATAGCACAATGACAACTCACCGCGGCATAGTTCCATGGACAACAACAAAGTAGATGAGGAACAGTCAGGAAGAAAGCTGGCACTTCCAGACACATGATCACAAACAGTATCATCGCGATCAGTCGCGGTGGTAGAGGGCTGACTAGCGGAATCCAGCGGAGGACAACAACAACAACAAATGCAACCACAACAACAACAGCAGCGGATCCGCAGGCAAGCTTGGGCTGCAGCATCTCCAACCTCGTGCAGATCGCCAATCATGGCCGCGAAGAGTTTGTGGGTGTTTCTCACTTCTGCAGATTCATTTCTGCGGGTGCTGCTTCTGTTTCTGCAACGACGATAGCGAATTCCAGCGGTACCTGTCATCTACGACCACTGCTTAATACCGCTACTGCTAGTAGTTTCTGACATTGCTATGTAGTTCCGGATAGTGACTTCGAGGACGACTGGCGGCGGCTGCGAACACCATCTCCTGAGATCATTGCCTGACTGCAAGAATGGGCCTCCCTCCAATGTCTAGTTCGGTGCACAGACTTTGAACCATTTGGGTCACGGATTCAAGGGTCGTGTTTGCTTAGAGCCGGGAAAATTGAAGTTTCAGTGGCCTACGCCTAGATGATCACCCGGAAACCGAAACCCTGAGCGTTGAACCTCGAAGCCCAAACCCCAAACCCCGTTCAGCCAATACCCCTTAATTAAGGAATATACCTTACAGTATAGAGGCCTTAATATTTAATATTATGATGTAAGGTATATTCCTTAATTCAGGGGTATTGGGATCTCTGGGTAGGATCAGGGAGACAACTGTAACCTCGCAGCTCCCAGTAGTCATTTTCCCCGTGCACGGTTTAGCTTGCCCTAACATTTAAATTAACTCTAAAGCCTAGGCCTTAAGCCTTAAACCTTAGACCCCAAATCTCAAACCAAGGCCAACACCCTAATCCCTAAACCTCCTACCTCCCAAACCCTAAATACCCTAAGAACCCTAAACCGCAAGCCTGGGGGGTTGAGGAACTCCGGTTTTGAATTTCATTGCTGAGGCCTGTCGGTTCCGGACTTTCACCAACCAGGGTTTATTAAGGTTTAGGGTCTAGAGTTTAGGGTTGGTCAGGGTTTAGGGTCTAGAGTTTAGGGTTTTATGGTCTAGAGTTTAGGGTTTCAGGGTCTAGAGTTTAGGGGTTAGGGTTTTAGGGCCTAGGGTGAACTTTCAGACTACTCCAGAAGTCGAAGAAACCTCCAAGGTTCGACAAAACCCTTCAGGCACGAAAGTTCAGGGTTGGGTATTGCGGACCTGCGTAAACCCTCCACACAAATACCTCCAGAAAAAACACGATAAACATGTGTAGCGGCTGGGCATTGTCCCTGAACCCTAAACCCCTGGACCCTAAACCCTAAACCCCTAGACCCTAGACCCTAAATATCCCTAAACCCTAAACCCGTGAGGCTCATCTTTTTGGTCGCAGAAGCTCATGGATTTGGACTAGTCTGGCTGCAGATGCGATGTACTGGCTGGGGCTGCCAAGGCTCTTCTGTTTAAAGAAAGGGGTCTGAGGGCTCAGGGTTTGCCGGCGTGAAGTTGAAGGGTGGTGCTGTTCTTTAGGGTTGATATCTGGGTTAAGGGTTTAAGCGTTTAGGGTTTAGGGACTAAGGATTAGGGTTTAATGTTTCATTGTCGTGGGGTAGGGCTCAAGATAGGTGTGGGAAAGATGTTGTCCCAACGCTGTCTTCCCAGTGTAGTTCATGACATAAAAATACACAGCGCAGGTGGTACACTGGGTGCTCCCATCAGTACAGCAAAGCAAACTTAGTGTAGGGGCCTTAATAACTAGAACGGGGCTTTGGGCTACCTCTTTAAAATAAGTATGATCAGGAACACAGGGGACAATCTGATTCAGGCTTCTACATGACACTGCGCGCTCCCAAGCAGTACAGCGAAGCAGACGTAGGAGAGAAGCCATCTCGGCAAAGTCATTGCAAGTCGTCCGGCTCACAACCAGGTGTGCTGCCCCAGTTCACTGCGACCAAAACCAAACAGATTCGGTTTAGGGTTTAAACTGAATTCCTTAACCCCTAAACCCTTATAGAACCCATAAAGGAATCCTTATGGACCCCTTAAAGGAACCCTTGTGGATTCCTGAAGGGAACCCTTATGATTCCCTTAAAGGAACCCTTGTAGATCCCCTACAGAAACCCCTATAGATCCCTATTACGGTAACTTAACATAAATTCCTTACCAAGAACCACACGATCCGCCCTGAGTCTATGGCCGAAGCAAACGGATGACTGACAGCTTCTGCACGGCTCCCGAAGCCCAAAACCCTCAAGCCTAAACCCTGAAACCCTAAACCCGAAAAAACATAAAGCCTAAGATTCGAAGCCTGAACCTGCTGGAACCGAACCTGCGAACCCCCCAACTGCCCAAAACCTAATTACTGCCAAACCCTCGCCCAAACGCTCAGAAGCTCACAACATGGCCTTGGAATATGTGTGTGTGTGTATATAAGTCAAAATATATACCCACTTGCAGCCTGCCTACAAGATGCACAGCCTGTACCAGCCTGGGCTACAAAACACAAAAATAGTATACTATAGTACCATGACTTACACTAGATTTTTCAATATATGCTATCATATGGCATACGAGGCGAGAGCTTGGCTTCCCTTCTTACTTACTTTATGAGTCTATGATCCTCCAAATGGGGCAGCAGTCCTACGGCCGATCCAACACAGTGCTTCTTCGTTGGCCGCCGCGCGTCTCCACTCTGCACCGAGGACACAAGCGTAAGCCGCGAGGGAAGGGAACGTTCGGTGTTTACATGTCGTTTTGCATCGCTGTTCGTTTGATATAGAAAAGCTGTTGGTCCAAGGGCACGTCGAGTCTGGTCTTGTCTTTATTTTCAGAGTTCCGTCAGCATCGGGCGATGGGTTTGGCGAAACCTGCAAAGCACCACGCACAAGGGCCACGAACCCTAAACCCTAAACCCTAGAACGTGATCAGACTAAACTATGGCATCAATCCCAGGACAAACAGTGATAGGATGGGTGTTCGCCACAAGAGCATGACCTCAAACAGCAAATGACAACAAGCAGCGGCGTTACCGTATTGAAGTAGCGATGGGAATCCTTGATCACCCGAAGAGCAGGATCACAACCCCTGTGTGAAGCATCATCGCAGTATGCGACAGCTATCCAGACATCCGACATTCCGGACCCTACACCCTGAACCTCAAGCCGTGGTCAAGACTTCTTAGGCTCGATACTGGTGACATGAATTCCATAACACTTTGCATGTTTTAAAGCTCAAGAAATTTAATGTCCTTTTGGTAGCTCTGGGCCCAAGATGCAGAGCAAGCTCGCGTGATATGCATTCCTTGCTCACAGAAGGGCTCCCATCAAAAATCATACTTCGGGCTGAGGGTGCAGGCTTCAGGGATTGGGGGCTTGGTCATGGAGAAACAATGAAGAAACCGTGATCATCCGCATCACCAACATCGCCATCAATGGCGACATTTAGTATCAACCAAGCATGCGACGGTTGATGATATGAATCCTGCATGACCCATAATAAGGAATATACCATAATTCCCATCGTTTAGGGTCCTCAGGTTCATGCAGGATTTATATCATCAACCGGATGACCACTACAACGGCGGTTCTCAGTGGTCATCGCCAGCATCCCCACCATCCTCAGCATCACAAGTCACCACCCCTGAACCCAAAAAGCCCCTAAACCCTAAACCCTTACTAATCCCAAAACCCTAAACCCCAATCCCCTAAACCCAAACCCCAACACCCCCAAACCCCCAAACCCCAAAACCCCCAAATAAACCTAAACCCTCAACCCACCATGACCTTCAGGGCTCCCTGTCATTGCTGGGTGACAGGACCCCTGGGTTTCAACCGAAGCCTTTCAGCAACTGCCTTCAAGCGCGTCTAAAATGTAGGGTAGGGTTCAGGGTTTCGGGCTTCAAGGTTTAGGGTGGAGGGTTTTCTTCTCTTGAAACCCCTAGGGTTGAGGGTTTATATAGGGCTTAAAATTGCGGGATGCTTCTCTCTGTCTGCGATATCTGATCGTAGTTGCGCGGGATCTCTTCGTCATGAGACACTGCCCCCACTTCAAAAGAAAAAGGGCGAAAGCCATGGTTGCAGAATGGGCAAAGAAACCCTCCATGTACACCTTCTTGTGATAGCCCACACCCTGAAAACCTTAACGATAAAGCGTATCATGCTCGTTTGTCCTTTCTGACACCTTCCGGCCCCAATTGAAGCAAATAACTACATCCTCTAATGTGCTATTCTCATCCTCCAGGCCCTGGGAATACACAACACCGGCTCTCAGAGCTCACGCGAGAGAGTCGCCAATGTCGTGAGGGGGATGAGCATTGGCATGGACCTCAGTCTCCCTCCCTCTCCCTGCATCTTCCTGTTTTGTCTTTCTGCTTCTGTCTCTGCTCGCTCACTGTTGTTCACTCTTGCTCAGTGTCACTCAACCACTCACTGTCGCTGGCTCACTCGCTCACTCTCTCTCTCTTGCTCCCCCTCCTCTCTTATTCAGCACAGCCAGAAGCTCATCATCTTTTCCAGAACACTTCAGGGCATTGCATGCCGTCCACTGCACTCCCCGACACATTCCCGCGCTCTCCTCCACACTTTTCCACTGCATTCCCCGGCACTGCTCCACACTCCTTCCACCACGCTCCTCCTCATTCCCCCTAATAGCGGCCACAAAACGTGTCAACCCCCGCCCCGCTGTCCACCAGGGACTTTTGCAAGCCTGAGAAGTTTGGAGAGTTTACCGCTCGCGTTCCGGGTTGAAAGGGCGGGCAGTGAGTAAGGTGCAGGGGAGTCGGAGTGTCTGTGCAATCACTCGAAGAAGCCAGTTCTCGAGTTCGCTTGTACTTGCTCCCAACTATCTGCCGAACTTGTCCATGGCTTGTTCGCACAGTTGTTGTTGTAGCCCTCTGTTTGCGGGCCGGCTCTCGTGCAACACTCCTGTCAGAATCATGTTTGCACACCTTCGTGCCGCAGATCCACAGGAAGTTGAGCTGACATCTTTCAAGCTCTTGGAAGTGCACTGACTGTTGTCCTATTCGTCGTTTATGAGAGGGACGGAAGGAAAAGCTATGCGTGGCACCAAATTTGCTGCATCTGAGCATCCAACCGCCCCAAACAACCCAGAAACTGTTTTCATGTGATCGCATGTTTGCGTGCAACTACCCGGGGGCCTCTTCCCTTCGGTCCACCAGAAGGAACAAGAGATAAAGGGAGAGATTAGAGAGAGGGAGCAAGAGAACACATTAGCATCGTCGTCGTCCTCAATATGATCGGTGCCATTCTTGCATGCCTGTTCACTCTCCACTGCCCTCTGTCGTTCACTTGCTCTCGTGCGAACCCTAGTTCCCGCAGTCCACCCTCTCCTTTCTCCTTGCTTCTCCTACTGCCACGCCGACGTGCTGAAGGACCCGTTCCACCCTCAGACTGCGGCGGGTCATTGCGCTCTTGCTGTGTCTGTCTCGTTATCTTTCTCTGTCTCTATCAACGTCTCTGCTCGCTCGCTGTGCTCACTGGTGCTCACTGCACTCATCCCCTTGGTCTCGCTCGCTCTCTCTCTCTCTCTCTCTCTCTCTCTCTGTTTGGCCTGTCTTGGCACAGTGTGTAGTTTGGCTAGCTAGTGTGTTGCATACTTTGGCAGTTCATGCCGTCCGCCACACTCCCCGAGGAATTCCCCCGCACTCTTCCACCATATACACCCACACTCCTCCGCACTCCTCCGCCACACTCCCCGTGGCAGCGGCCGATTATGGTGTAAACTTTAAACCCCCACCAAGCTTTCCACCACTGACTTTCTGCGAGCCTCAGATGTTTGGAAATGGAAGGGCAGCCAGAATGTCTGTGAATGCCTGTTCACTCTTCACTCCCCTCTCTGCCCCACACTCCTTCCACCACGCTCCTCCTCATGCCCCCTAATAGCGGCCACAAAACGTGTCAACCCCCGCCCCGCTGTCCACCAGGGACTTTTGCAAGCCTGAGAAGTTTGGAGAGTTTACCGCTCGCGTTCCGGGTTGAAAGGGCGGGCAGTGAGTAAGGTGCAGGGGAGTGGGAGTGTCTGTGCAATCACTCGAAGAAGCCAGTTCTCGAGTTCGCTTGTACTTGCTCCCAACTATCTGCCGAACTTGTCCATGGCTTGTTCGCACAGTTGTTGTTGTAGCCCTCTGTTTGCGGGCCGGCTCTCGTGCAACACTCCTGTCAGAATCATGTTTGCACACCTTCGTGCCGCAGATCCACAGGAAGTTGAGCTGACATCTTTCAAGCTCTTGGAAGTGCACTGACTGTTGTCCTATTCGTCGTTTATGAGAGGGACGGAAGGAAAAGCTATGCGTGGCACCAAATTTGCTGCATCTGAGCATCCAACCGCCCCAAACAACCCAGAAACTGTTTTCATGTGATCGCATGTTTGCGTGCAACTACCCGGGGGCCTCTTCCCTTCGGTCCACCAGAAGGAACAAGAGATAAAGGGAGAGATTAGAGAGAGGGAGCAAGAGAACACATTAGCATCGTCGTCGTCGTCCTCAATATGATCGGTGCCATTCTTGCATGCCTGTTCACTCTCCACTGCCCTCTGTCGTTCACTTGCTCTCGTGCGAACCCTAGTTCCCGCAGTCCACCCTCTCCTTTCTCCTTGCTTCTCCTACTGCCACGCCGACGTGCTGAAGGACCCGTTCCACCCTCAGACTGCGGCGGGTCATTGCGCTCTTGCTGTGTCTGTCTCGTTATCTTTCTCTGTCTCTATCAACGTCTCTGCTCGCTCGCTGTGCTCACTGGTGCTCACTGCACTCATCCCCTTGGTCTCGCTCGCTCTCTCTCTCTCTCTCTCTCTCTCTGTTTGGCCTGTCTTGGCACAGTGTGTAGTTTGGCTAGCTAGTGTGTTGCATACTTTGGCAGTTCATGCCGTCTGCCACACTCCCCAAGGAATTCCCTCGCACTCTTCCACCATCTACACCCACACTCCTCCGCACTCCTCCACCACACTCCCGTGGCAGCGGCCGATTATGGTGTAAACTTTAAACCCCCACCGAACTTTCCACCAGTGACTTTCTGCGAGCCTCAGATGTTTGGGAATGAAAGGGGAGCCAGAATGTCTGTGAATGCCTGTTCACTCTTCACTCCCCTCTCTGTCGCAAGCTTCGCAAGACTCACTGCCCCTGAAGGACCTGTTCCACCCTCAGACTGCGGCGGGTCCTGCAGATCCCTTAGCTGCTCCTGTTGAAGAGCACACAACAACGCTGAAGAAAAATGGTGGGGCACTGGACAAAACCGAGCCCACAACAAGATCAGAGGAACGGAATGCAATGGGTACACTGCTGTCCCAGCCAGAACCCGCCTTTGCATCTTCTGCGGCCTGCTTTGCCTTGACTGCCTCCAACGACGGGTCACAGTGCAGGATAATTTGCGACCTTTGCAATAGCGTGCATCTGCATGTGTACACAGGTATGTGTTTGTCTACATACATACCCACATCCATCCATCCATCCATCCATCCATCCATCCATCCAGCCGGGCATCCGTCCATGCATGCAACAAAAACAGAGATATCTTCATATATATATATATATATATATATATATATATATATATGGGTACCCCCCTTTATGGGGTCCCCTGGGTTTTTGCACACCTAAACCATCAAACCATTAAACCATTAAACCAATCCTTTCCCCCTATGGACCCAAACCAATAAACCATTAAACCATTAATCCAGCCCGAACCACGCCCGAACCGCGCCCGAACCGCGCCCGAACCGCGCCCGAACCGCGCCCGAACCGCGCTGAGCCCGAGCCACGCCCGAACCGCGCCCGAACCACGCCCGAACCGCGCCCGAGCCACGCCCGAACCATACCGAAACCAGAACATGTGATTCCTCCGCGAAAAAATAGACGGATCAGCGGCAAAACACAAACAAAAAAAACACGAAAATAGCAAAAGAAAGAAACAAATAAGGACAGACAAGGAAAAACAAGGAAAAGTTAAGGACACAGGGGTTTTCCAGCCTTTTTCGGCCTGTGGTCGTTGCTGGACGGGAGCGCTGGGAGGGCTTTGGGGCTGGGGGCTCTGGGAGAAATGGCAGGGCTGGGCTTGACTGTGGGGCGTGGAACTGGAGGGCTGGGAGGGCCCGGAGGGCTGGGAGGGCTGGGCCCTTCATGTATAGAACTTATGAACTTAACTTCACCCCTTTCGACCCTAAACCTAAACCCGACATACCGTTCTGGCTCCTTCAACCCTTCACCCTAAACTCTAAACATCTCTAAACCCTACATGCCCCTTCTGGCTCAAACTGGTTGGCTTAATCTGCTTGGATGTTGGTCCTGAATGAATCAGCATCTGTTCCCAAAGCAAGAAACCAAACTCGCAGCTTCGAACTAAACCCTACATCCCCTTCTGGCTCAAACTCTTCCTAAACCCTTCACCTTCAATACTACACTCTAAACAGATACAGTCACGCAGCGCAGAATTCGTACATCGTTCAATGTCATGGTTTCCCACGAAAAACAAGACCAAACAACGACGCTTTGCAACCCACCACTGTAGAGCTGCGCAGGTGGAGTCTGTCTAAAGCTTCTGTCTGGCTACCAGAACGAACAAGCCGAAATCAAGCTGTAGGAAAAGGTGACGATTCGACGCTGGAAGAAATCCGCTAAAAATTGAAAATGCACCCGTTTCCACTCCAAGCAACCAAGCCATCACTTTCGCAAGCAGGCAAGCACAGAACCAGAACGGGGCTGTTCAAACTCAACTACAGTCAGCCTTGCACGCTGGACCTCCAAACAGCAAACATCAAGGCTGTCGCAAGGTCCGTGCAAGCCATCTATCGGATCGGCCTTACATGTCCAAGGAAGCAGCTTTGAGGTCCCAACATTCAAAAGGAAACCATGGCACAGAAGACATGCCCGGACCAACTCAATACAGGCTCTTTGCTACTCTCCAAAATACAACAATCATGTAGTTTGAATTGTTTTTGAAACCCAAAAGCGAAACACCTTGAACTTAAGCTTTCAGCGGGTTTGCATCTCGAAGAAAGAGGAAACGGTATGTCGTTTCAAGTTCAGTTCTGATTGAGTGTCACACTCAGTCTTAACAGTAGACGGCGGCTAGCTAGTGGTACTCGTCTCTGCCAGTCCAACTTCCGGGTTTTGTGGCTTCTGGCTTGCGAGAAGTCGTACATGGGTTTCCCAGTGTCACTGCCCACCTGCTCCTCAGCTGCCTTCCTGGCAGCATCGGCTTTCGCGATCGCTTCCTTCTTGTCGGCCTGAACATACAAAGCGGACAACTTCATGCGCCTTGTGTACTTCTGGAGTGCACATGACCAGCATTGATGCCTGTCCTTGCAAATTGACCACATTGACCCAATCATTTGCCTATGGGTCTGGAATTAGTTTGGGATTTTTTTTTTTTGGGGGGGCATTTTTTTTTGTGTGGTTTGCTTGGCCGTGTTGCATTGCCTTGCAGGGCAGCATCCTCGGGCGTTCAAACGCGAGGTAAAATTACACATTTTGCGGGCGCCGCGCAACCCTTCACAGGGTTTGGGTGCATTGAGCTGCATTTTGCAACCCTTCACAGGGATTGGCATTTTGCAACCCTTCACAGGGATTGGCATGGTCGAATGCACGAACGCTAGGTAAAGTTGCATTTTTTGATGTGCATTGAAATGAATTTTGCAACCCTTCACAGGGATTGGCGTGGTCGAGTGTTCGAACGCGAGGTAAAGTTGCAATTTTTTATGTGCATTGAGATGAATTTTGCAACCCTTCACAGGGATTGGCGTGGTCGAGTGTTCGAACGCGAGGCAAAGTTGCAATTTTTGATGTGCATTGAATGAATTTTGCAACCCTTCACAGGGATTGGCGTGGTCGAGTGTTCGAACGCGAGGTAAAGTTGCAATTTTTGATGTGCATTGACATGAATTTTGCAACCCTTCACACAGATTGGCGTTGTCGAGTGTTCGAACGCGAGGTAAAATTATTACTTTTGATGTGCATTGAGGTGAAACTTGCAACCCTTCACAGAGATTGGCGTTGTCGAGTGTTCGAACTAGTACTAGTACTACTACTACCACTACCACTACTACAACTATTATTACTACTACTACTGCTACTACTACCACTACTACACAAGAATACTACTACTACTACTACTACTACTACTACTACTACTACTACTACTACTACTACTACTACTACTACTACTACTACTATTTTTCAATTGAACGCTGCGCGAGCGTGCTCTGCGCTTTGCGGGCGCCTTTGGTCTCGTGCACTCGTGAAACTGCTTCTAGCATGCATCGCTCATACCTCTCGAATCAGCTCAAACTTGAAAAACTACAGCTACAAAAGCTTCCTCCTCCGACACCTTGGAGTGAACAGACGCGTCCATCTGTGCACCTGTCTCAACAATTAGGCCGTACCTCAGACGAAGCCGACACCTGGAGTATCCGTCTAGTGGCGCCCCACACGGATTACTCATGTTGAAGACAGAAGGCCGTAAGGGTCATATGCCCATGACCGCATGTACCTGAATGCATCTCCGATGGAGTGAGGCTGTTGGCAACTTGGACGTGGGCAGCTCTCTGATGCAGCGATGTGCTGTTTTAAGCAAGGTTGGCTCGCGGTTCACAGGCTTCCGAAGAGATTTGCTAAGCGTCGGAAGAGTTCCGAATTCCCAGAGTCTGTGACATAAGGGATCAAAGAGTCTGTGACATATCTCTACCCTCACTGATCGTGACCTTTCGGCCACTGCTGGGAGTAACTGTGCCAGGACCACTGCTGCCACCAGTCCCAGTCGTCCTCTTGAGCGGAGCGTGCCTGCCTGGCCCACTGGGTCGAGGATGAAGAGGAGGGGGCATCGCGCTGTCGCTTGCCTTCTGTGTCAGCCTCTTGCAACTGTGGGCGCTTGTTAGGGGCAGCAGCAGCCAGTTTGGCCATGCGCTTGTCTTCCCCGTGCCCCTTGTCATGCTGAATCCGCATCTTCATGATGGAGTAGGCATCTTTGTTGGGTTTGACCCTGAAGACACGAGCTGGGAGTCCGGCTGATTTGGCCGTCTCATTGTAGACGGCCACGATGGTAGTGGCGATCATGTTGAACTCGACCCACGAGGGGAAGTGCTGCTGAAAGTCCTTCTCGTCCCACATCTTGTTGAAGCAGGCATGGATAAGGCCATGCACCTTTGTGGGGGCATCCAGCTCGCGATAGGCTTCTCCCGCGCCTGTGGCTATAGTGACCTTCCCATCGCTGGTGAGGACCCGCCTCACCGACATGGCGATGTCCCATGTGAGGCCTGTTTGTGTCCTTACTGACTTGATGGCAGAGAACAGCGGGGGAACCTCGCGGAGTGCGTCCATCCTGGTAGACCAGAGGGTCTGTTGCTCATGGTTGGTGAGGCCGCCGAGAATGACGGGAGCCACCAGGATATTAATGGAAGCCAAGGCCCGAATCCAGTCCTGGTGGGACTGGGAGCTCAGCAGTTGAGCCAGCTCCTGCCTCGTGTATCGTACTGTCTGTTGTGGAGCCGGCTGTGGAACATAGCCAACGGGTGCCGCATTGGTTTCCGGGGGCTCATATGCTGACGGGGGACGGGGGGAAGGAGGAGGGGGCGTGTGGGAGCACGCAGCGGCCAGGGCGGCAGGGGCGGGGGAAGAGGCGGACTTGGGAGGGTGCGGAGGGATAGGGGAAACAGGGATAGCCGGTGGGGGAGCAGGTGCTGCCGAGGAGGAATTTGCCGGAGGCTGGGGGCATGGGGTGGGCACCATGGACGGTGGGGCCTTAGCCGGAAGCACTGGGGCCGCCTTCGGTGCATCCGCCTGGCTTGCCTTGAAAGCCGCCTTTTCAGCCGCTGAGGAAGTGAAAGGGCACGGGGGGGAAGGCGGCGGCTCAAAGCCGGCTGCTTTGTCTGTTCCTTTGGTCCTGGTACTGCTGGGGGGAAGAGGAATCTCCTGTGGGTGCTTTGGGGGAGGGGGAGGAAGTGGTGCGAGGGATGCCGACAAGTCGCTTGGTGCCGCAGGTTGTGACACCGGGTCATGCTTCTGCGTGACAAAGTGGTTTTTGAGGCCGTGGCCAGTACTGAACTGGATCTGTCGGTTATGCTTCCGGCAGTGGAGGCAGCACAGCCACATGGATCCTGAAACCTCCATTTGTCCCAAGCCGCGAGGGATGAGCTCCAGCACATCCTGCTCTGTAAGATCTTGGTTATAATGATGGGTCTCGCGGACTGTGGCCATGAGCGCCGCAAAGGAGTTGTGCTGGATGCTGTCTGCCACATAGGTTTCAATATCCTCCTGTGTAGGAGGAGGAGGAGGAGCTGATGTGGCGGTTGCCGTGGTCTGTGACCTAAGTGGCTGAGGTGAGCTGTGCTCTTCAGGTCGATCGGACTGGATTTCCAGGGAGATGTCGGGAAGCTGGCTCTGCAGCATGCGATCGGTTCGTTCCTTGGTGGTGGGGTCTCCCTGAAAGCCCTTCATCCACTTCCAGCACCTGGTGTAGGCGACTGTCGTGTTGTTGGCTGTCACAAAGTAGTGGCCATCGTTGTCATACTTTTTGTTCTTCACGCGCTTGTCCCAGCGCTCCGAGAACAGGTAGATGGGGCCAAACTTGGCGGATACATTCCAGCCCGCTTGAGGGGAATGACCAAGGTCTCGACTCAAGATCTGCCAGAGAAATTTGCAGAAGATCATGTATTCCAGGTTCGCCTTCGCTGTCATAACCTGACGGCTGAGGCGTGCTGTATGGCCTCCCTCATCAAAGGGTGCCTGGGCTTGCCATAGATGATGCCTTGAAAGATGTGATCTCCTTTGACTCCGATGGCCATGACCATGAACTCCTTTGGGAGTTGGCCAGGTGGGGAGGGTCTGTGACCCACTTCACCTGCCTTCGTTGAGTGAGCTGTGCTCCAATCTGCTGCCAGGAGCTGCAGTACCTGTTCCCAGGGTACCACAAAGCCACATTTGATATCGACATAGAGGCCGCCGTGCTGGTAGTGGTAGACGTAGCGGAACACGTCAGCTCTATGAGCAGGTTGACTGAGGCGGTCCAGCAGATTGGAGCCGTACTTTCCGGCAAGTTGCCGCAGGGTAGCCCGAAGGATACCATCGTCACAGAATTTGCGGGTGAAGCCTGCAAACATTTTGACCGCAACTTGGGCGGGCTCCGGCTTGTCGTCGTGGACATAGGTCTGGAAGAGGAGGGCCGGGACGGGGGCGGCCTCCCATTCTGGGAGATGCATGAAGCGCATACCCGAGGGGCCATGTCCGTACTGCATGGCTACCTCCGAAAGATCTCGGACAGTGCGGCATTGTGACAGAGCCTGGGCTGCCAGCATTTCGACATGCATGTCCTGCTGGCGAGCATTCCAGCCAGCAACCACGAGGACAGGCAGTCCTGGGGTGTTGCGCATTTCCTCGATGGCTCTTGTGACAAGTGCCGGGATGACGATGTCCGCAACATCGGGGCGGAAGTGGAGATTCTTGGAGTTGTAGAGCCATTCTACCCCTCCTACACCAGGTATCTGTGCCAAATCCATGATTTCCTGGTTGGGCAGGTTTTTGTCCGCAAAACCATATTGGACCCTGCCGTCTATCAGGTAGTCATAATTGACTTGCTTCTCCGGGCGCAAGCTTCTTGACAGCGGAATGAAGCGAACGTTGATTTGTCCATCAAGGTGGCTCTCCAAAATGGAGGCCACCGGCTGACTCTGAACCGCCGCCTTGAATTTGTGCGGCCCAAAGAGGCCAAATTGCCAGTGGAGGAGCTCCATGATGGAGGGGACGCTGCTAGCAGAAATGTTGAGGGCGGCGCCTGGACAGCTTAAGACCTGTCCCGTCAGCAATGGGAACACTCCGTACGTATGTCCCCGCAGCATGTGCTGCAAGGTGCTATCGCTGAGCACCAGAAAGGGTCCCAAACTTGGAGGGGTGTCCATGGTCTCAGCTTTAGCTGATGGGCCAGAGTCTGTGACACGCGGCCAAGAGGTGAGCTGTGCTCTTCGCGGAGTCGCAGTTTGTTCTGAAGTCTTAGCTTCTGCAAGGCATGTCTTTAGAGCAAGCTGCTTTACTTCTGCTGCTGCCTACTGTATCGACAGTTCGAACTGACAGCTGCGGTATGCATGCACAGCATTACAGAGTCTTATGGCCAAGCATGAAGCACAGGGCAACGCAGGACGACTGGAGACAAAGAACATCAGCAGAGGGCACGCGAGCAAGGACTGCTGGTGCCATGTGGTAGCTGGGGCCTCGGATTGCAGGATAGAGCAATCGATGATGCAGCAGTAGCTAAGTTCAGGCATGC